AGCCAGCCATCCATCCATCCATCCAGCCAGCCAGCCAGCCAGCCAGCCAGCCAGCCAGCCAGCTATCCATCCATCCATCCAGCCAGCCAGCCATCCATCCATCCATCCATCCAGCCATCCAGCCATCCATCCAGCCAGCCAGCCAGCCAGCCAGCCAGCCAGCCAGCCAGCCAGCTAGCTAGCTCTCTCATCTATGTTAGTTAAGATTGGTGGTTTGTTCAACTGCAATGAATATTAAAACTGACTTGCATTTTTTGCCTTTGTGTAAGTCATAGATTTAAAATCAAATAACTAAGATGAGCATCATTAACCCTCAACAAGCCTAACATTCCTAGAACTGTCTTGTTCAACTATCATGTTGTAGAACGACACAGTTACAGGCGACATGGGATGGCTTCCCACTCGGATAAGACAATGACGATAAGTACTTGACCATTGGTTTAAGTTATAAATAATAATGATGCTATCGACAAGACTGTCATATAGTAATGGTCATATAGTATACGAAACAAAATAAGAAAATGGTGCTATGATATAGATACAATTACACAATTAAGACAAACTGTTTCTGGAATTCAAAAAAGATTTGTAAACGAGAATAAATTCAACTACTGGTGTTAGCGGACGAACAAAAGGCAACAAACTAAGACAATATAAACTATTTAAGAAAAAATATAAAACTGAACACTATGTACAGTCAGAAATAATAAAAAGACATTATAAGGGCGCATTATCCAAATTTGGATGTGAATTCGCTCCTCTAGAAATTGAGACTGGTCGTTTTGAAGCTTTACCAGTTAATGAGAGAATATGTTTTAATTGTAGTAATAACATTGACAATGAGCTTCATGTCCTTGTTAAATGTCCACTTTATTGGGAAATAAGAGAGGCTCTTTACAGCAACATAAATTATGTTAAACGAATGAAAGATTTCTAATGTAGCGTGATAATGAGAAAATCATATATTTTCTATCAAATGAAAATATTGTAAAATATTATGCTAAAGCCTGCTTTGATTATTATGTGTGAGGTGCAAGTTATTATATAGTGGCTAATTTTATTCTTTAAACATGTATCATAGTCAAAATTTGAATATTAGTTTAGCATGCTACCACTTATTTCAGCATTTAACAATATTTTAATTTTGTTTTAAATGTTGTTTTTTTTATTATTTATTTTTGATCATGTTCTTAGTCTCTCATAACTCTTTTAGAGTGGTTTTGTACACGTATTTCTTTTAAAACTTTATTATATTTGTACCAAAATTAGACTTAAATAAACAGATTGTCTTGTCTTGTTTAGAACTTGCCTTTATCAATTTAGGGGATATCAAGATGAAAATTTGAAGTTGGTCAGACAGAGGAATAAAACATAGTCATTCTTCATGACATGTAGGCTTGATTAGTTGTAAAATACGTTTATTTTTGATACAATTTTCTAATCGTTATATTGACCAAATGATAAAAAAGAGAACAGGATATACTTACCATATATGCATTTTGCCAAATATTTGCATAACCAGTAGTCTTTAGTTCTTCAAGTATTTTATAAATTCAAGATCGATTTTTAGAATACCAACTGAAAACAGTCTTGTATATAACGCAGGAAATTCGCATGAACATTTTCTTAGAGGTGCGTTGGTTATGTTTAAACAAACTATATAAAATAAATAATTGTTTTGCATTTCTTTTAAAATTAAGGCATAGCTTTCACTTTACATATCTGATATTCTGTAATGCAAATAAAAAACATTCATCCACAGTTTTGTTTTGTTTTTCAAAGCTATTTCTTATTATTGGCGTAAACTTTTTAAAGCTATTGTTCCGAGCCAAGCTTTTTGTATGGGTAGTTCTGCGTCGCTACTTTGGTTTCTATATTTTGTGCTTACATTTATAAAGAAACAAACAGACCTTTATTAATAAAATATAATGTCAGAAATATCTTTACATTTATTGGTGAATGAAGGTGTGCATTCCCTTTAATCCTGCAAGTATAATGAAATATAGTTTAGACTTGAAAGTTATTACAGTCAGTCCTTTTGCATCAGTGCACTCTGAAATATTTTATTTTATTATTAGAAAATTAACTAGATAGTTTAAGTCTGTTTTAAATAGTAGTCAGCGCCGGTACGTCTGTTAATGGTTCAATGTTGCCGTTAAACCAGGACAATGAAACAAAAGAGTCTTGAATCCCAGGGACATAGCTAACCGAACCTTCTGACTAGGAGACTATCACCCGTTCGAATATCTGCTGAAATAACATAAAGCTCTGTATCCTCACCTGTAATCAATGGCAATCTTGCTGAAACATGTCTAGCTAATAGTGAGAAGTTAGTAGTGAAATACTAGGTGGAGTTACGCCCCATCAGTCTACAACTGAAAGCTTTGAGATTAAAAAATAAATTTATTGAATTTTGGTTGAAGTATTGAAAAAAAAAATCTATATTTGATATGAGAATAATCGCTCACCCCTCGGTAAGTGAAAGACGAGAGGCACAGGGCATCGTCAGAAGACTTGAAGAACTAGGGATGGCGAAAAGTAAATAAAGACCAAACCTGTACCTGCGGACCAGCTGCCGATGTCCTGATTGAAGCCGAGAGTAAAGGTCCTACACATTAGGCAGGGTCGACGAAAAAGCGTACTAAGTCGCGTAATCCGCTAATAAGGCACCAACCTTTTCAGGGCTACCTCAGCTTTTCATACTGTCTCAAATTACTGTATGTTAAGGTGATCATTGACCGTTGTACAATGACCTATTTTCGGCTCATGATTCATTCTTTTGGAAATTGTACAAAGGTAAATAATCACCGCAAAAACAACACTTTAACAATAGCGAAAGATGCTGCTTGTGCTTTAACTTGCAGGTGGACCCTTATTAAACACAAACTGTTTATCTAAACTTGACTAAAATTAAAATAGTATTGTTTAACATCTTGTTCTGTAACTTTCTTTCTGAAAATAAAATAATTCGAGCATACGGTTTACAGTATAGGTTGAACACGTATGCATTTACATACTTGAGATTAAACCGTTAAAATTTCAAAAATATGAATAGTTGTTTTAAAGTAAAGTAATAAGACACATTTCGAATACATAATTTTGTTAGCAAACATATGAGTATACACCTCACATTTTTGGTAATGCTGAAATCAAAATATGTGTTAAGTGAAATGCTAGAAAATATAAAACCACCCATATCAAACTTTTATTTTTGGTATTACAAATTTATGATCATTTCCAAAATCTTTTTTATAATACATGTTTATGACAATCAGAATGTACTTGTAAACTTATTACTTTTATTTTTATTAACGCTTTAGCTTTCTTACCTGTCATGTTTTCATTGCTGGAACTGTTAATTATTATAATTTCGGGGATATAAAGATCAAAATTTTAAATAAATCAGCGAAGAGTAAAGACCCTTGTCAAAATGCATTTATGTGCTTGTGGTGTCTGTGTGCTTAACATAACAACACATTTTGGTCATACAGACCACCATGGTATGAGAGAGAACAAGGGCTACATTCACATCATTATTAAGATTGGCATTATAATCAATGTAAGTGGAGTTAAAGACATACAGTATACATATCATTACATATACATTTCATGGCGGTTGAGACTTACCTTGCTCTGTAACAATGGCAAAAGCTAAACATCTTTCGGTCCCATTAGGGTTAAAGAAAAAGAAAAAGTAAAACTATACTATGAATAAGCAAAAGTTGACGCCGATGATTTAATAATACAGCATTGTATGCTCGTGTTTGTGACAATCTGTCCTTTCAGTATGTTATGCTCTATAAGTAGTCGGTCACGTGCAGGGATATATTATAATCAAGAAAAGCCTGATAGACTGATTGACCGCCAAAATATGACCATAAACTTTTGTTTTATGTTGTTTTTTCTTCACTATAATGCTCTCGGGGTCTCCCCTTTCCAGAGTTTTATGCTTTATACCAACTAAACAAAAAAAAAGTTTTTTTTATTATTGTTTGACAATAGTGACCTGAGACCGTTGAATATTCAATGACCTTTGTCGGTATTTATCGGATCCCGAAGTAAACCGTACGTTACCTATGTGTTATGCGAATCACTCATTGTACGAATTTACACATTGAAATTAATTAAATGCAAAGGAATGTATTGATCAAAATGATGAAATTGAATAAAAAATGGTAGAAATGAAACAAATACTTGATCAACTCGTGTTTCAAATATAATTAACAGAAATAGAAAAACAGTTTATGAAAACTACAAGAAAAATTGTTTAATTGGTTTGTTTAAGATTTTAACTTGCAACTACGTGGTCACAATTCCGTCGTTCTTACTCGTAAGCCATCGAATAGTATTTATTGATAAAAGTATCGAGATCTATAGTATCATTAAAATCTTAAGTGTAAATCACATCAAATTACGGAAACTACGAAAAAACGTCCCGAAAATTAATGAGTCTCAGGTCAATATTGCCAAACAATACATTTTGATATCTTGGTCACAAACTCTTGTCAACTACATATTGATCGTGACTCTCATAACTCGCCTTTAGTATTAGATTAAATCATGCCTATAACTTATTCTGCTCCCTTCTCTAACTTTATCTGCTTAATTTTTATACCAGCAATTTCTAAGTTGTAGACTTTTTAGACAATGTTTCAAGCAATACGAATTTAGTTAATTATACATGTCCATATACATGTATCAGGGTTATGTAGGATAGTACATTAGAAAAAACAACCGTTTTTCAATGTTAACTTTTAAATTTATACTGACAGTCATTTATTGTGCCACCGTACTTCATATTAAATGACTCGAAATTGCTTTTATGAAATTACTGAATCTTTTGATGTAGGTCTTGACAGATATCTAGAATGCAAAATTAATATCATTTTCTTATCATGTTTTTTTCCTGAAAAAAAACTACTTAAATGAAAAAAAAAGTTCAATTAAACATTTTTAACTTAAATATGGTTAGGCATCGCAAAAAAACAAACAACAGAATATCATTATCCACAAATTATTTTAATATTATTTATCTTTTTGTCACATACATAGTCACTAATAATCAAAAGACAAACAATTTGAATACTTTACTTTAAATATGTTTAAATGTTCAATTAAATTGTAAATTACATTTTTGACAATATTGTCTTGCCCTTTAAAGTACTTGAATCCATTTTAATAATGCCTGTAACAAGATGCGCTACTTCTTCCGCACAGCCCCAGTGAAGTGTGACTCCTGCACCTCCGTGCCCATAGTTGTGGATAATTGGCTGGAAGTATACAGGAAATAAATGGTGTCAAATTTGACTATAAAAATAATTGATTTTGTCACAATGAGTCTGAGGTTAAGATTTCAATTGTAAAATAAAATGAGCATATATTTATTTTATAGCATACAAATTACATAAGGCATAGTTTACATTTTTATTTTACCGAAGGGGGTAGGCACAGGACTTTTTTTTTTATTTATTTTATCAAAAAAATAAGCAGAAGCATAGAATTAAAGGAATAAGAATGGCTGACATAAAAGCGCTTTTATTTTATTGAAAATATTTAAAATAGTAGCTTTAGGATAAAAATGGTATTAAAGTCAATCGTTTATGAGACAAACGAATCATTTATTTATTTATTTTCTTGAGCATACGGGCGCAGCCATGTTAACGATTTAAATCTCGCGAGACGAGAATGTGATGTCATACACCCACTTCCGGTTAAATCGCGCGTTATGAAAAATATCCGTACTGTAGCGGACAGAAGATACCGTATATTACTTAAATTTTATAATTTGATTATTTCTTTATTAACTTTTCTTGATACGGTGTTTTATAATAATAAAATGATTTTATATGCAATATATCGTTAAATTTGGTTCATAAATAAAAAAGTTGTAAGTTATATTCGTTGCGTTTTCTACAAAAGTCATATCCGTGAAGGACGGAAGATGCCGAATATGACTTATATTTTATAAAGATTCTGATTTTTGTTGTTGGTTTTTTCTTGATATAATATTTCAATATAATAATATGTAATAACATGAAAAAAAATCCATTTTTGGTCCATAAATAAAAAAGTTTTCTATAAAAGTCATATCCGTGAAGGACGTAAGATACCGAATATGACTATATTTTAGAAAGTTTCTGTTGCTTTTTTCTTGATACGATATTTTATAATAATAAAATGTAATTACATGTACATGAAAAATCGTAAATTTTGGTCCATTAATAAAAATGTTATAAGTTATATTCGTTTACGTTCTAAAAAAAGGCATATCCGTGGAGCACAGAATATACCAAATATGACTCGTTACTTTTTTGTATTTTTTATGTCACATAATACATAAAGTTTAAATAAAGGTTTCTAGCATGTTTGTTTTTACATCAAGCTCTATACTGTCGCGAGATATAAAATATTCATTAAGAAACAATTAGGGAAATTTTAATTTTAAAACCATGCTTTGTATATGCCAACCAATTATATGTATACATTAATCGTAAGGAAATTGTTCATTTGCATAATTTATGCAGATTGGCAGTGTCACCTAAAAGCACACCCGTTGTCGATAAAAATGTAAAATTCAAAACATACATTATATAAGATATCACTTACCATTATTTTACCTTTCAAATTAACTGTTTCTAATTCTAATCGTACAGACGGACGGGATGGCCTCAAACCAACACAGTCACTATCTATGACAGCTTCCTGCAAAAAAAAAAAACGTCACCATGATTGATACTCTTAGCCGGCTGACTTTTCGTAACTTTTGTCCAGCTTTAAATTGGAACAGTTTTCATTATACAAACAAAAACAAAAATCTAGCTACCAACACGCATGTACCGGGTGGTTTGGCTCTATACTAGTGGCAAGGGCTTATGTCTTTCGGTTCCAGCAGGTTAATGTATATACAGTTTGAACCTGAGCTAAGTGTAATTTTCAAGCCTTCGCAGATTAGACTTTTCATCCATTAATTAAGCGACATTCATTTATGATCAGTTTGGTGAATGTTTAAACCTGCAAGATGTGCGATTTTTATTATGAAAGGAAGTACAGACTGTCGATTTGACAATCGGCAAACTGCGTTCGAACCAAGAACTTTAATTTTAGAGTAAAACAAGAACAAAATTAAGAAAAAAACTCCGGAATTCAGTGTAGACCGGTTCCAGAACCGAAAGTTGTTTTTTTACTCACTAAAATATAACGAATAGAATTCCGACCGGATAAGAAAGGATTCCGGATTAATAGAAGGCTTCGAATTAGAAGGGTTTGGATTAGAAGGGTTCGGATTAGCAAGGCTACGTTGTACTATAAACAAGAGTAATCATGTCTATGAAATGGTCTGAGAAATTATGTATACTTCAAATCTTCAACTTTGATTACTGTTGCAAAGTTGTTATACCATGAATTTAATATAGTATTTGTCAAAATAATATAAATTTAGTTATTCAATAATCAAATTTAGGTATCAAATATATATCTATAGTGTGTAGTATGATTCGCTCGTTTGAATTAACCTAAAATATATATTTTTTAATCGTCATGTCAGCAAACGAATGTTAAATACCATTTTTAATATAAGTTACGTTATAAATTGAATTACATAATTGAACTTACTGTTAAACTTGGAACATATTTTGTGCAATTTTCCCAAATCAATTTCTTGTCCTTAGAGGACACTTCTGTATTCCAATCACCTCTGTATTCCACACCGCCCATCACAACATAGCTGGATCTTTAAGATAACAATATTAGACATTATACATTCAGTAAAGTTTGACTGATTCTATAACTTCATAAAGGTCATTGAATTACCTATATTTGTATAGTTATGTTAATTAAATCATATTATCAGTATCAGTAATTCAAACTAAATTTTACATGTGTACCGTAACATTTTCTGCAAAATGACTATTAACCCATAAAGATGAACTGTCTTTTGCTTTTTGGAGATTTGTACAGTTTTATTTAGTATGTAAGTTGAATACCACTTTATTTACATTTCACTTCTTTTATTTAAAACCACTTCAACATTCATCACTGTTTACTTCCGGCGAAAATAAACGCCTAATATGCTTTAAATTCAGTATTCAAATATTATTAAACACACATTTTTTCTTCTAAGGAAGAATAAAATAATAAAGTGCCTCTAGAAAAAATTAAAATATAACATCTGCCAAATAAAAATGATTTTCCACGGATTTGAAATTATTTGTTTCATTATATCATGTCTCAGAAAATAGCTAGATATAAAATGACTCAGTTGTTGAAAAAAGTCATACTTTCCAATACTTTTATTCAGACACATTATGCCTCAGAAATGAATATTTTTACCATGCTATAGAAAGGGCGAATATGAATTTATTAATGTTTAAATAATGGTCATTACTACTGAATATATGACACTTACGAGATTACATTACACTACAAGTAATTATATAACACTAGAAGTGATTATATGACACTAAACGGGATAATATTACACTAGAAGTAATTATATGACAGTAGAAGTGATTATATGACACTAAACGGGATAATATTACACTAGAAGTAATTATATGACAGTAGAAGTGATTATATGACAGAAGAAGAAGAAGTGATTGTATTTATTTGATACTAGAGGTAATTGTATGACGCTAAAATTGATTATATGACAAAAACAGGTGTTTATATACAGTAGTAAGAAATGTGTTTATCAAATATGAATATTATAACAGGAGAAAACACGGTACAGAAATTTTTAAGTAGGATCATTTGAAACTTAATCTGCTGCAAAAAAGTGATTAGCCTTTTTCATCAGTATAGAACCAGGCCAGCCTGACGCAATGTCATCAAAATCTATTTTTACTGACGCTCTACTTCTTTTCGCTATATAAGCATAGCGTAGAGCAAAGGAGCGAAAACAATGTTCTGACTTTACTGAGATCTAAGCTGGCCAGGCTCTGTATTGTAATTGAAAACAGCAGATAATGGATTAAAGTCCCTAGCCGACTATATACAAATTAAACATACTAACGAGGGCAAGATATATGCAAGTCCATCTTGTAGAACAAAAATACCAAATTCTTTAATCCAGGGAGCCCGTGCCTGTGCAAACAAAATGAATCTAATTTTAATTCATATACTTATTTTCATACAATTTATGAAGAATTTATTGATACACCATTGCAATTTATTGTGTATACATACAATAATGTCTGACATTAATTAATGTAAAATGAAAAGAAAACTTTTCAATGAGGGTCAACCATTATTTCATTATAGGAAATATATTTTGGCTTTGTAATAATATTCGCATAAACTTTTAGTTTATTGGTGTAAGAGAATCATTGACAGTCGGACATCTTTCCCGGCCTGGAACGTAGGTTGATACATATCCCGATCGGGTGAGACAACACAATTTTCATGAACGTGCTTATTAACCTCCGGGCTTAGAGAAAACATATGAGCCGCGACACGACAAAACCAACATAATGGGTTTGCGACCAGCATGGATCCAGACCAGCCTGCACATCCGCGCAGTCTAATCAGGATCCATGCTGTTCGCTATCAGTTTCTCTACTTGTTATAGATTATGTAAGCGAACAGCATGGATCCTGATCAGACTGCGCTGCGCAGGCTGGTCTGGATCCATGCTGGTCGCAAACGCACTATGTTGGTTTTGTCGTGACGTGGCTCATATGAGTTTTATCCTGATTGTTTCAACCCAATCTTAAAAAAATACCTTAAATGAGTTTGAGACATCTTTAAGATGTGTTCTTTGTCTTCGAATAATTATGGTTATTTTGTTTGGACATATATTGGTCATATGTTTTCTTGTGTTATATTTTATTACATTTTGTTATATATTAATTGTGTATGTGAATATTGAGGATATAAGTATGTTAAAACCAAGGGAGTGTGGATTTATACGTAGGCTGGTATTACAAATGGCTACATGGATGAATCATACCCTGGTAAGATATAAAAATCATTTCCATGTAGGTCTTGAAAATCATAATGCATTTTTATCCAGGGAGCTATTACCTGTATATACATAAATATTGAAACTATTACCTGTATAAACATGAATATTGAAACTATTGCTTTCTTTGTAAATCAATATCATAACAAAATATGATGTAATGAATAAATGAAAAAGAAACTAAACAATTACAAAGACAAAAGATCCCTAAAAGAAACAGAACAAACAACACAAACAACACCAACATGCAAAGAAAACAGAAGAAAGAACACACTTAAAATACAGAAAAGAACAGCAACCAAAGATAAAAAAGAAACAGTTAAAACAGAAACATAAAAACATCAACAACAAACACAAACATATTAAGAAGACCAATTTATTCTTATCAGACAATTTAGTCCTATAGTAGCAGGAGTTTCGGGGGTTTTTGTATTTTTTTGAAAACCCAAATTTTTTTTCCCAACTAGAAAACTTTTCAAACCCGGGACATTTTTGGGTTATATCCCTAACTTTTCCCAAAATTTGCCCGGGTTTTATATTTAAAAAGGGTCGTTACTAAAAGAAAATTTCTTTTTCCATTATTTAATATTCAAACATATTAGAAAAAATTTTAGAAAAGAAAAAATATAAAAAAAGCTTTTTGGGGTTTGGGGGAGCAGGGCCTCAAATTTTTCAAAGGCCCCCTTGATAGAAAAAGGAAAACTTTGTTTAAATTTTTTTTTAAATTTCCAAAAAGGGGGCTAATTTTTTTTAAATTTCATTTTTTGGTTTTTTGGGAGGAGTCAAATTATACAGTTTGGTTTGGAACTATGGGAAAAGGGAAATTTTGGTTCCAAAAGGGGTTTTTTATTGAGTATAAAATTTAAATATTTAACCCTAGGGAATACAAAAAAATTTGACAAAAAAAAGGTAAAAAAGGGCTTTTTATTAAATTTTTTTCAAGAAAATCACGCTTTATTAAAAATTGGAATGCCAAAAAATTTTTCCCAAAAAAAGGGCAAAAAAACCCTTTTAAAGGGTTAGTTTTTTGGGAAAAAAACGGGCTTACAAGCAAAATTTTTCCCTAATTTTTTTAAATTTAAAAAAAAGGGGGGGAAAATTTTCACCCTTTTAATTTGCAAAAAATAAAAATTGGGGATTTTTTTGTCGGGGACCTAAAAATTTATTAAACCCCCTTTCCCATATTAAAGGGGTTTTAAAAATAAAAATCTTAATAGTTTTTTAAATAAAAAACATTAAAAAAAGGAGACTAATAGAAAAGGGGGTTTATAAAATTTCAGCCTTAATGCAAAAAGGGAAAAAGTTTGGGGAACCCCTTTAGGGGGAGTCGGAAAAAAAACCAAATTTTTAAACCCCATTTTTTTAAGGGACTCAAAGGGTTGCATTTTAAAAATTTTTTAAATTAAAAAAACCCTTTTAAAGGGATTTTAAACCTTTAAACCCCAAAATTTTTTTTAATTTTTTTAAAGGGGGGCAAAAATTCGGGAAAAAATTTGCGGGCCCAGATTATGAAATTTTGAAAAAACTTATTACATTGTTTACTAAAAAAAGGGTTTTTTTAAAAATTTTCAAATTGGGGGAAATTTTTTTTAAAAAGGGCCCAAAAAATTAAAGGATATTTTGGACTTTAAAAAAAAAATTTTAACCCAAAAAATTTTTTTAAAGTTTCCAAAGTGGCATAATTTTAAATATTGTGGGGCGAGTTTCCAATTTGCAACTGATTACCCTTTTACTCTAAATAAAATTTGTAAGTTTCAATTGAATATTCAAACAATAATTTGGGTTTTGACTTTTCAAAAAATGAAAATAAAATTTTAAGTTTAAAGGGGAAATTTTTTCATATTGTGGCAAGTTTTTCCAATTGTCAATCTGATGTACCTTTTTAATAAATATTTTAAAATTTTAAGAATATTTTAAGAATAAAATTTAATTTTTCTTTTAAAAAAAACTTTTAAAAAAAAATTTTAAGTTAAAAAAGGCATAATTTTTTCAATTAAGGCAGAGTTACCAAATGTCCTTTATGTACCCCTTTTTATTAAATAGTATTGTAGTAAAATTTAATTCAAGTAATAATTTTAGAAGATTAAAAAAACTTAACCAAAAGAGACGCCCCCGCTGACGCTGGGGCCCGACGCCAGGGGGCATACAAAAGCTCTCAATTTTTCGAATAGTGGCTAAAAATGGTTTTTTAAATACTTGCAAAAAAATTATTGTTATTTAAATTGTTGGGTTAACTTTGACTAAAAAACTAGTTTACCCCTGCTTTCCCCCCGGGGAAATAAATGACCTATTTAAAAAAAATTAACTATAAGGAAAAACTTCTCGAATAACTGGCCCCCAACCGGCTGAAATTTTTTTGGGGAAATATTTGCACCAAAAATCCTTTTGCAATGGACTATGACGTCATAATCAGCCAACTGTGAAAATTTAATATATATATTTTTGGCATAATAATTAGGGTATCATTTTAAAGCTGCATGTCTTCAAAAAAGCCAAATTATTTTAAGAATGTCAAACTTGAGAAAAATGTATTATGATTTAAAGAAAAGTAAACAGACACAAGAATCGAGTAATAATTTACATGTGACGTGTGATCAATGACTGATTTTGCAGTATTTATCCCAATATTTTTACTGCGTGACTAACACAGTAAAGGCATATTTTGACCATTTTTGGTGATTTAAATCGGTTGCAAATGCCTATGCAATGTGTAAATTACTTTCTTTGTTCACGTCACAATCTTTATCTTTTTAAAATACATTTTCAAAATGAAAATTTGAATTAATCTGGAGGCATGAAAATCTTTCTTTCATATATTAAAATGATATGTTCTAACTAGCTTTAGATATTGAAAGCTACGATGTTTCGGGTTTGACAATTGTGACTTTTCTTTTATCCAAGCCTGCGATGGTATTATAATGAATACGTGATGGAACGATGGTTTATATATAATGGGACGATGGCGAAATTGTGATAATGTGACGGTACGTCAGTGAAGACGCGATGCTGCATCAGTGTAACGTCATGGTTTCACCACGATGCCATTTTACGATCGCGATTTCACCATCGTAGATTAATATATATTAATGTATATTAAGTAAAGCATAGTAGAATTAAACAATACCATTTATACGCTTGAATGCATGCATGTCCCGCACATTTAGAGATAGAGCGTGAAACTAATAAGGTGCTTACCTCTCTAACAATAGATTGTGTGGTTCGAATCATTCGTGTATAAAGAGAAATTTTTTACAAAAAAAAACCCCAAATGTTTTTTAATTAAAATTACCTGTGGGTTGGGTGTTTTAAGGGCAAATCTCGAAAGGGGCATTTTTTTTTGTGACGAAGCTACCCCAAAACTAAGAGGGGTTAGGGTATTTTTACTTAGGGCCTGAATTCACTGAGGGGGGCCCCCTCGAATTTACATTTTTTGTAATCAAGTTGGAAAATTGGTACGTGCTTATTAAAAATTGTACTTAAAATTGCCAATAGAAAAATAAGAAATAAAGTCAATAAGTAAAAAATAAATGATAAAAGGATAATTAAAAATAAATAAGATACTATTCCCATCATCAATATGATCTTGATGTTTGTTTCTTCGCCTACACCAAGCCTTATGAACCACCTTTAATCAAAATTCTAAGATTTAATTCATAGGCTTACATTGTTTTTCTAGTGAAACCCCTGCGGATTATAACTAACACAAAGTTATAAAGCTAAAGGGTAGAGGGGCTTCCCGTACCTGAGTTGAACCACCGATCGTCCCTTAAAGCTAACTGGATAGTTCTCTCATGGATAGAATCCAAGTCCGCGTTCGAAATTCGAACCCACGGCTTACAACGTGATAGAAGCGTGGTTATTTGAAGTCAACGATTTAAACCCCTTGACCACAAACGCTTTTCAAACTCTCGTATACATGTAAAATAATAAATTTATTTATACATGTTTGAAATATTAGCCATAAGACAAGAGCGATCAGTGATCACATGTGTCGCTCATGATGGCCAATTTTCCATGTTTGGGACAGTTTTGTGACAGACAGACGACAGACAGACGGTACAGTGCACAACTATATATCTGGAGCTTGGTCTGATCATTCCTGTACAGTTTGGATAAAGTAGTAGTTTATGAGGAGTAGTCCGGACAAGCTTTGTGTATCTGGCAACATAGTTAAAGAAAAAAAACCCTTTTTATCAAATTGGCCATAACTCGGCCAAAAATCATTTCAATCCGAAAAACCGGCAGCAATATGCGCAAGCGACTTGGAGCTACAGATCAATCCTGTTAAGTTTCATTGAAATTGCATTAGTGGTATAAGAGAAGTAGTCCGGAGAAACTTAAAATAAACTTAAAAATAAATATTATTAAAGGGCCATAACTCTGACAAAAATCATTAAACCGGAAAATGCTGACAATATGCACAACTAGACTTGATACTGATCATTCCTGTAAAGTTTGGATGAAATTGCACCAGTAGTTTATGAGGAGTAGTCCGGACAAGCTTTTGTGTATCTGGCAACACACAGAAAAAAAAACACCTTTTTATCAAAGGGCCATAACTGGGCCAAAAATCATTCAACCGGAAAACCCGTGCAATATGCGCAAGGACTTGAGCTACTGATCAATCCTGTAAAGTTTCAATGAAATTGCCTTAGTGGTATAAGAGAAGTAGTCCGGACAACCTTTAAAAATAAAAATTATTAAAGGGCCATAACTGTGTCAAAAATCATTGAACCGGAAAATGCTGACAATATGCACAACTAGACTTCGTACTGATCATTCCTGTAAAGTTTGGATGAAATTGCACCAGTAGCTTCTGAGGAGTAGTCCGGACAAGTTTTGTGACGGACGGACGGACAGACAGACAGACAGACAGACGGACAGACAGACGACAGAGAAGTGATCACTATATGTCGCCACTACTCCGTAGAGGCGACACAAAAAACGAAAACGTATTATATCTTATCAACAAACATTTTTACATGGCCACATAGTATCATATGAGACGCCTTCCTTTCATTAAGGTCACTGTTTAGTACAGTGGCGCAGAGATGACATGACTTCTGTACTTCTCCATTTATCTCAATTTATCTCGTAGAAGCGAGATGTCATCTCGCGACAATGAGATAATACCTCATATATAGGTACTAGATAATTCATCATGGGAAAGAGATATTAGCTCGTTGGAACGTGCTGTCATCCTTTGGTACAATGTCGCATTTTCGCACCGCAAAACGAATACTGTAACTTTCAAGCCATAATAATATACGAATGAATAAGCTTTTAACCGAATACCTTTTCATCAGCCATTGCAAATACATTTGTGGCTCCAGCATAACGGTTGTGTAGAAAAATCCAAACCTGTAATTGAAGGGAAAAAGCGGATAAATCAACTTAAATTTACTGCTTGTTATTAAAGCTGTGTAATTCACTGATTAAATACAACGAAAAACAGTGCGTAGCTATGCGCATGGATTGTTGTGCATATATGTATAAATTTTATGAACAGCAGTAGCAGCAACATGAACAAAAAGCATCAACAACAAGAACAAAACAACAACTTACTTCATGTCCTTGTAGTCCTTAAGCTCATCCTGGGTAAGAACCCGGAAGTTGCTCACTAGGTCTGTCCAAAATGGCGCCTTAAATGATAAAATTTAACATATACATTTTTTAATTAGACTAGAAGTATTTAAAGCAGCTCCTTTCCTCCCAAATCAAGGATTATAAAACACTGTTAGGAAATAATAGAAGAGTGATTTTGAAGTGTGCACTATAAGAAATTGATATCGGTTGCCGGTACAGACTGGAATTTATTACTCGTGGTTAACGGTGGCAACGAGGGCCTGCCTAATGTCTACAAATAAATAAAAATAGAAATTAAGGTGTATACTCGTACTTTGGTATTAGGGTCTGCACTCATTTGATATCCCGATACCACACTAGCACCCGTGTATTTCGCACAGTCCGTATTTGCAAGCAACGTCATATGCTCCAATGTTCGTCCACTCCATTGTCTGTAAAAATATGCATGTAATTTTCTTGTCATGTTTTTTTATTTTTTTCTTTTCTTGTGTCTCTTGATTCAAAAATTACTATTCCTTTTTTATTGGTTTTATTCACAATTAACTCAGGACTATAATCACTGACTCTAATCACTACCATCTCAAAAGAAGAAAACGGCATATTTTGAATAAGTAAGTCTTCTAATTAACTGCACCTTTAAATATTATAATACTTAAATGTATTTTGCAGTTAACTTCTTTCATATATCCAAAATTTGACTTCGGTTCAACTTTGACGGACCCCCTTTCACTATTTTAGACTCGAACCGGACTGACCCCTACACTTTTTGCGTTGGTCATTTCTATTCTCCCAAACACGCAAATGAAAAAAGAACAAAAAAAAACATATAAAGAAAAAAAACAAGAGCCAAAGTCACATTTTCACGGGAGTATTTGATATGCCACACAAGCATCTGAGTAGAATCACCGAAGTAATGTCAGTCAGCTATACGCTCCTTAAATTTGTTTTTCAAATCGTTGATAAATTTCATTTCAGAAATGATATCCGCCCGAAATTGTCAGATCAAAAGATTCTAGTCTTATTTGTGTAGAAAAAAAAAAGCTTCAGGCCCATAAGAACCTATAATGTTTCAGTTTTCCATTCTTTTTACAAACCTTATCTTTTCCTCGGGGGTATCACCAAGGAGATGGGGCTCCCAGAATCCACCAGAGACATCTGTCGTTGTGACAGGTGAAAACTTATCCGCAATTACAATCACTTCCGCATCCGGGTGCAGTTCAATGATGCGTAAAGCAGACGATAAACCTATTACCCCTGCACCGATGACGCAAACTTTCACCATTGTTATATTCTAAAACCTCCGTGTCTGAAACGGAAATGAAACAAACTTCATAGAGTCGTAATTTCTGATCTTTGAAAATATATGAGCCGCGTCATGACAAAACCAACATAGTGCGTTTGCGACCAGCATGGATCCAGACCAGCATGCGCATCCGCGCAGTCTGATCAGGATCCATGCTGTTCGCTATCAGTTTCTCTACTTGTAATAGGGTTTGTAAGCGAACAGCATGGATACTGATCAGACTGCGCGGATGCGCAGGCTGGTCTGGATCCAAGCTGGTCGCAAACGCACTATGTTGGTTTTGTCATGACGCGGCTCATATTAATAATGATAGTATCATCACATGTAGGCGATTAAAACAAGTTTGCTTCTTTAAAAAAAAGGGATTATTTATTATTATTATTATTATAATCATTATATTATTATTATTATTATGATTATTATTATTATTATTATTATTATTAGTGTCTCATTATATCGTGTGATAAAATGTGCGTTCACATATACAGTCATTTTATGTAATCTTTCATTTAACCTAACCCAAAAATGCTGTAAAGGTTGTCAACTTAATATAACATGGTCATAGACTTGTTAAATATATAAAATGACAAGGAATAACATGTATCCACCCACAGGTCTACTTCTATGCTTCGCTATAACGAAGACAATCGAAACACCTCGGCTATATCCTTCATAATTTCGACCACGTGATTTCACATGTAAAGAAAACAGAGAGTGTAATTTTTGATAATGTATGACGAATGTAACTAAATAGTTAACAGTCAAAGTAATATTAAGTATATGACTGAAAATGGATCTGCAATCATAATCAATTTTAAAATGCTCGTTCAAATGTAACTTTATTTAAAGTTGTTCGATTCCGAAATTCAGCGGCATGTGTGACATTTATCGGCGTTATTACAGTCATGTGACAGTGTCACACATTGTATAAAGCTTATCGATAATCTTAAGCAGCTAATTTAGAAATGAATTGTTAAAATTACGTTCCGCATAGGGCTGACATTTGTTTCAAAAATAGAAAATATATCATAGATTTGTGTATAGATCTCTCGTGAAAAACAATGTTATAAGCATACTTACCCAATATTATCATCAAGTACACAGTAGGTATATCAACATAATCCGTTAAGATTAAAAATCGTAGTGTAAACATACTTACTTATTTTATTACGCTACGCAATAATTTTCCATACTGATATTATTATTCAAAAGCATCATCGACATGTAACTGCGTAATGTCGGCTGCTTCATAGATATATATTACACATTGTAATTCACTTTTGAATAATGTACGTTTATTTACGGTGAAGAAATAAGGTCATCTTTATTTAATAGCACTTGAGGCCGTGTTATCGCATCGCATATCAACTAATGGTGATATACACATTAGTATGGAACGCTACATGCGTATGAAATGTTATATTTCACGTTGTGATGTTCTCAATGAATGCCATGCAATATCTTAGCAATATAGCCGTGAACATATAAATACTAGTATTTCCATGACAGTGATACCTAGATCTATAAAAATAATGTATGTACCAGCATTCAAAATACTATAGCAACGGCGTTCGCCAAATATTAGTTTGCATATTTTGGCGACTCCGTTGAGCGGCGTCGTCTCTTATGGCCGATAGTAGTTAGCAGTTAATGTCATTTTGTGTTAAAATAGTTTTATTTTAATTCGTAAAAATCAAGAAAACAAATATGTTGTTATATTTGTATTTTATAACTTTATGTAAAGAGCATGTGCATTGTGATATTATTTTCATGCTTTTATTCTTGAACTTAAAAAATGATGTGTCACCAGGAAGCTTAATTGTTTTTTTAAGGGGAACAACTGTAAATAATCGTGAATTGCACGTTCACATCGCTACTTCCCTTTCTAACCGATAGACAATCAACGCTGCATAAACTGCGCGTTAGTTTTAATTTATATCGAGGTAGCCCAGCTAAATGATTAACTTTGATTGGTTATTACATAACACACCCGTCATATGATAAGCTATTTATAAAATTGATTGTAAAATCTGGTATCCCAGTTGTATTCATCACTCTGATTGGCTATCGGCCGCAATACAATGGTACACATTTTCGGGATGCCAAAGAAGCAGCTATAAATGAGTCTATTACTAAGCAAAACTCCAAAACAAATTAAACAAACAAAAATCATTTTATAAATTTGCACCTTATCATAAATAAAATCACTCTTAGAGTTGGCACTATAGAGTTTAGAGCAACTCAATTAAACTCATTTATGTGTGTATTTAAATTATTTTAACGCTACAGATATGATGTTTTTATTTATAAGTTTAGGAATACTCCTTTGTTTTACTCTATTGTTATTTTGGAATGCACTAACGCCTGTTGGGATTATATTGATTTTCGTTTTGTTATATGGACTCTTCACAGCATTTGAGGTAAGAAATAGAAAGTAAATATTAACACCTATAACATGAATATGATTATTATTGCGTTTTATAGGCGTTCGGAATAAAGCTTAGGAGCAATCGTAACTTTTCGGTCTTTTCCGTCATATCTCAGATGGATAATCGGCATTGTGTTCTGAATGATCCATTATTAATTCCTTTTGCGTGTTTTTTGTTTTTGTTTTGAGAATGCGAATCCTTTGATTTAAAACTTGTCTCACTATAATTTCAAGCGTTTGTAAATGAAGCCGATTTTTATGTTCTAAGTTTACTAAAATTGTCATTATGAGAAATTAATGGGTTACATGTATCATCGATATGAGAAATAGTGTACATTGTTAGTTTAAATCTAGTATAAAATGAGCCATTTAGCATTATGAAAATATTTCTCAATATTAATTATGTGTGTATGACCACTCACTTACCTCACGGATTTCCGTGCTTATCTGTATCACGTTAAAAAGTCATTTATATCATCTGTGAAAATTAAGCCTGAATTGAAATCTTTGAAATGTTTTAATATCTCTCCCGCTGTATAAGATAAGGCATGACTGTAAATTGCATAATAATATATCTATATTTACACATATGTCAATGGTCATTGTTAAAAGGAAGAACGAATGAATGATAGATTGACAAAATGGTCCTACATTCCGAATTTTAGTTTTAATCGATAATTGATTAGGTTTGATGAAGGCGACAATGTGCGCAGTTTTTTTTTTCTTTGTTCATGTACATTTTTTAACAGTTTTTTTATTTATACATATGGACATCGTCTTGAGAAAAACTTCAAGAAGACAGAAAAAAAAACGAAAAAAACACACACAATCAGAAAAACAACAACAAAATAACAAAAAAACAACAACAAACAAACAACAACAACAACAACACACAACTTAATTAAAACAGCTTTACTTCGCGTTGAAATTAGATCTATTAGGACATATAGATAGTCTAACATACACACATGATACATGTAATAATACTTTTCACGGTACTGAACTCATAAGGACATACAAATATAAAGTGATATTAATCCTCTATGTCAAAGTATTGCAACATAAACAAAATCGTTGATCACGAGGAGTATTATTCCTAATTAAAATTGTAACGAAATTGAATTGGTCTACAATTGGGACATTTTTGTATGTATTTCAAATATCCATGTGAATAATAGAACTGCATTATTTGGGTAGTGTCATGACCCATGAAAAAGTAATGTTAATTTATAGAGTTTTTAAGTAATTTAGTTTGGACATTTATATGAATTATTATAATATTTTGGTCTAGAACAATTCATTATCTGTTATATATAGACATGTAATATAAAATCATGTACTTCACATCCATATACAGTACTGTCTAAATATTCATTATTTTTTTCATGGTTTGTTGTATATCGTATGATTTTAAATATTATCGATATAATTATTTACGGTATTAAATACCTTCCATTATAGACCAATTCACATTTAAAAAGTATTTAAAGTATAAAGCATATAGCCGGTAGATATTTTCTGTGTAGGTCATACAACTTATATTTACACATAAAATTATTGGATAATAACGAGCTCATGATTAAATGATTTATTTATTTTCTAAGGATATATCCTTTTCATGACTATAAAATCCGTTTAATAACTATAAACTAGCAACAATATTTGTACTCAATGAACTCCATGAAAGCGCAGATATATATGCTTAAGCAATATCGATGTTACCTTATTTACTCGATTATTATATAACAGTGTTTCAAACAGAAACAAGCGCGCCTCAAACCGAAAGTAGAAATGTTTTTTTTTTAGTGTGTGTTTATAAATCCCTAAATAATTTTACATTAACAAGTTAAGAATCTGTTGATGCACGGACGATTTTTACTATTTATTGCGAATTTAAATACTTCCCTTAATGGCAGGATTATCACAATTGATATTAATAGATTTTCCAGGAATTCATTGTTTACTATGCGGTGTTTGCTAAAAATAGCTGTGTGAATTATGTAAAAATCATAACAAAACATTACACAAAAGAGGCGGAAGTGAAAATGGAACTAAACTTAAATCAAGGTATTTAACGTTAACTATATCCACATATGCATTAGAATTAGCGTATTGTTTATCTGAGATTTTAGTGTACTGTGTACGATTGTTACTAATTTGAGGCATCTCCGGATAAGCCTTTCTAGCCCACAAAAAATGGGCCACATAAAAACGGAGTCTGGCGTCTGCCAGGGTTTATAATCACAGTTACAACTGTGTGCCAGTTTAGTTAACACGTGTGTAATAGGTTGGAAATTAAATATTTTCTACAGATCAAATACAGTACATGTACTTAGATCTGGAAAATTGTCAAAAATAATTAATTGCAAATAATGTCATGACATAGTACTGTACAGTACTGTAGCGTCACCGAGGATATTTTTATCTGTGCACAGACCTTATGTTGTTTTCCGAAGCCCTCAAACCAGGGTGATCTACATATATTTGATTCAAAATATTAAATCTTGTTTTAGATATTGAATTGCAAAAAAAGATTGTAGAGAATATGATGATCTCACTCGCTTTTACTCTTGTTCTATATGTTTAACATTACTTTGTATATATTAAATATTTATGTGAATATTTCACAAAAATGACGTTTTTCCCAGATTCTTTTGAAGATTGAGAAGAAAAAAAACTACATGTAAAGAATTGCGCCCAAAACGTGCGTTACCACGTGATCTCACTGTTTAGATATTAGTATCATATTAATGTTTATTACACGTGTTGTATATTCATGAAAAAGGTTAAAATTTCCAAATATCCATTAGCTTTCCATACTCAAAATTTCCAAGTTTAACTGTAATAACAGTCATGGATTGTACAAAAAATATGATTAAAAATAAACACTTCAAGATTCAAGATTTTATTAAGGCACAAACATAATATTTATTGCCATAAAAAAATAATAACACTTGTATTCATTGGAAATATAATTCATATTAAAGATACAGACTATACCACTACTACTATGCTCATCCTTGCGTAAAATATTTTTATCAGCGAAATTTATTGAAATCTATGTAATTCCTACCAAATAATTGGGAATATGACCGAATATCGGCTATAAATTATGATGACATGAGCAAATTTAAGTGTGACTGTCACAAGGATGCTACAGACCAAATTTGAAGTAAATCTGCCCAGCAGTTTAAGAGAAGAAAGCGATTGTTGACGCAGGACGCCGGACGCCGGAGCATCCCCCTTTGATACTTATAGCTCACCCTGAACCTTCGGTTCTGGTGAGCTAAAAAAACAAACAAATAAACAACAACAGAAAAAAGAAGAAGAAAAAAAAACAACATTACATGATAGGTGTCCGTTGGAATAGCCTTACTTTATAATATACATGTTTGAAACATGATTGAAACATGTTTGTATTGTGGGCTTTTTGTTTTATGGGACACCCGTTATTTTTTTCGACCTCGACCGACATACTCTTTTTGTGATATTTTTCGAAAATCTAAATTTAAACAATAGTGCAGAAGTTACGAGGTGCAGTGCAATTATATCTGCTTTGTGCGGTGCAATTAGATCTGAAGTAACAAAATACGTAATATATACCTGTAGTAGTATATTCTATGTTATTTACAGGTACTGTTCAATTAGTGTTATTATTATTACTATTAATAATGATAATAATGATAATATCTATTATTATTATCATCATCATCATCATCATCATCATCATTATTATTGTTATTATTGTTATTATTATTATTTTTATTATTATTATTGTTATCATTATTACCATTATTTTTATTATTATTATTATTATTATTATTTGTGGAAGTTAAAGAGATATAATAACTGTGGCAGACTGTCACTAAATCAGACACCAGTTGGCAAAGGAGATAAGCAAAGCTAGTAGGAAAGCATTCTTGTTTTGTTTTTGTTTGTTTGTTGGTGTTTTCTTTTTCTGAAGAGAAATATCCTTTGCAGGATTAAAATGTCCCTTCTCTACATGTCAGTTTAGCTACGTTCGGTGTCACTTTGCAGGCCAAAATGTCATTTATATGGCATCTGGCCAGATGTGACTAGCTTACCTAGGTCTTTTTGTACGAATCTTTTTCTTGGATTGACGTAAAATTTGGCATTTTACGTTAATTGCCAATGTATTCCTGTTGTAGGTTATTGAACAGATATTAGTTTCTTAAAGCATGCATGTTTTAAGGAATATTCTCGCCAAAAAGTGATATATATATATAAATATATATATATATATATATATATATATATATATATATATATATATATATATATATATATATATATATATATATATATATATATATATATATATATATATATATATATGAACGGGGAACATGATGCACCCTTCTGTTATAGCCCTTCTTTTTCATATACCGCACGCTTGCAGTTTTATCTATGCATATAAAAATAGCCGAGACTTTAACCGGTTTAGCCATCTGATTTAATCCTGAGGGACACAGCTTTAAGTCTTTGTTGGTCCTTAAGACGAAGTTAATGAAGTTGGAGGGGAGCTCATGCTAAATATGAGAATATAGCCGGGTGTTTAATTTTGATGCGTCTAATTAGTCCCCTACCGGTTTACCGGAGGGGACTTTAGGTTTACCCTCCGTCCGTCTGTCCGTCCGTCCGTCAGTCCGTCCGTCTGTCCGTCCGTCAGTCCGTCCGTCCACAAAACTGGATCCCACGATAACACAAAAAGTACTGAAAATATTTTAATGAAACTTGATATATGGATAGATGGCAGTATGGAGATTATGCACGTCTTTTTCTTTTCTTCCTATGATGAAAATTCTGGTTGCTATGGCAACAAATAGACTGAAAATATGGCAAATTTTACACATAACCTGGATCCCGCAATAACGCAAAAAGTACTGAAAATATTTTTATGAAACTTGATATATGGATAGATGGCAGTATGGAGATTATGCACGTCTTTTTCTTTTCTTCCTATGTTGAAAATTCTGGTTGCTATGGCAACAAATAGACTGAAAATATGGCAAAATTTACACATAACCTGGATCCAGTGATAACACAAAAAGTACTGAAAATATGTTTATGAAACTTGACATATGGGTAGATGCAGTATGGAAATTATGCACATCCTTTTTTATCTTCCTATGTTGAAAAATTCTGGTTGCTATGGCAACAAATAGACTGAATTTCAAGATTTCTGATTCTAGTTTTTAAGTTTTTTCACTATAAGTTCTTTATTTCTTAAGGTATTTTCTTCAAACTTTAAATATAAGTTGCTTGTCATCAAGGTTTACAACTCTAGCACAAAATTTATCAGAATTACCTCCCTTGAACTTAAAATTTTCATGAAAAAAACATTGTTTTTTTTTAATAACTTCTTTTTCTGAATGTATCTACTTCAAACTTCATATAAATGTTTCTTATTGTCACTCAACATTTGTGAGTGTTCAATACTCTAGCAAGACTATTTCCAGAATTATGCCCCTTTTGAACTTAGACTTTTTTTGGAGAAATTGGTAATTTTTACTCCAACTTCTTCAATCATGATAGGATTTTAAAAATGTTATATTTTGATAACAGGGATGTTTAAAAAATAGCTTTAGAGTGTCCTTCAGTCCGTCTGTCTGTACATAAAAACTGTTTCCTGTGATCACTTTTAAAGAACTTTTTCAATAAATTTACTTAAAATAGGAACCTAAGTGAATGGCCAATGGCCCTTCAGAATGTTGCTTGGGCTCTTACCGGTAGGGGACTTATGGATTGCTTGCAATACTATGATAATTGCTTGTTGTTACTATACTGAAAACATTGTACATGGTATTATACACACGAGCATATTTACATATTTCCAAGAGAGCTGTTTACCAATACAATTAAACATGTATAGAAACCGAGAGACATTGAACGATTTTTAATTTTAGCTGATTCTTAAATAAGTAGAATGGAAAATATTTTGTTTTCTTTCTTGTTTAATTTCAGTCTAGTGATGACGATTCACAAACGGTCATTTTTCGAGACACACATAAGAACCAAGACAAGTCCAGTAATGACCAATCAAATCTAAAGAATACCAACGCACAAGTTACGAATTCTAAAAATAGGTCCAAGTCAGAGCAAGGGATACCACAGAAGAAGCAATCAATTAGATTGCCTGATAAAGATAGAACGTCACCGGATAGCCGATCGTGTCTGACGTCAAAATCTATAAATAGAGATTCAGAATGTAAAAGAAGAGAACAGTCTACTAGTAGACCAAAACGAAGGCATAAAGGTGCTAAACTAAAGTTTTACCAATCAAAGCTTACATCAGATGAAGACAGTCATCCGAGAACTGAATCAGTTTTAGCAAAGCCCGAAGATAAAGACAAAGATTTGATCACGAAATTGGTAAAGAAAAACCAAGACGTCAGAGGTAAGAAGGACGTTCTAATATATGATAAGAGAGCTCCCGATAAGACAGTACCTGATTTCGAATATCAAATAAATGTAGGTGGTCTGGAAGAAACTCAACCGCGGTTAGCACAGCATGGAAATAAAGGCATAGAGGTTACCAATAAATGGGTAAAAGAATACCAAAACGTTACCGCTAAAGAGGACGTTACTGCTAAAGAGGACGTACTTTTAGTGACTAGTACATGTAATAAGAATGTTTCTGATGAGACATACCCTGAATCCGACAAGCAAACAAACGAAGATAATGTAAAAGTAGATGAAGTTCGCGACATAAATGAACACGGACACGTTTTGAAAGAAACGGAAAGAGATTTACATTCTGAAGGAGTACAAATAGGCGATGACGTAGGTGCAGGCGGTATAAGTGACGTTTCGGTCAAAACAAGTTCATCTGTAAGTTATTTTAAAAGTACTTTTAGTTCCTTTTACAAATTTTATATATACCTCTTGACTTAGATTGTTTAGCCTTGCCAGACGTGTTTTTTTTTTGCATTTAACACATATCACGGTACATACCCATATCTTTGCGCAGTGTACGTCAAGGGTACCATCTGTGCACTGTTGAAAACAAATCGACGAATGTTCCATTGAATGTTCATTCTACTGATCAAAGTTAGTATGTGGTGTGAAAAGCACGTATACCACGTAACATTAAATGAGTTAATGTTTTAATCGTGTTATCGTCGATTTGTTTTCAGCAGGTATACTAATGAATGACCTGTGTATTGGCAAAGAGGGTATCGATTTAGTAGATTTCACACAAAGAGGATACCGATATGGATATGCACCATGTATATACACTATGCTGATAAAACAATTGTTTGATTTGAATACCGGAAATTTATTTCAATCTTTATGTCATATCGTCGAGGAAGCTCAGTATTTGCCGCATACTTGACAAATTTCATACAAATATTAATATTTCAACAAATAATATACGTCAAGCATCAGAAAAAAACATGTCATCAGCCGGGAGTTATATTTATTTCTTCCTCAATTACACATTTGAGCTATATAGGCCAAATTTGGTCCTCTTGTCACCGCAATCTTCCTTATGGAATACCCAGATGTTTTCTGAAAATGGTAGACTGATAGATTTTTATTGTTTTTATCCATTGATTAACAAGGTAGTCTTGGCAAGAAATCAAACGTCCTCGTGACTTAGCTGTCAGTTACTAAATATAGATAGTTGATTACCAGTTTAATATAAACCTTCTCAGAAGTGAAACTTATTTATATATTTTTTAAAAATTTTGCAAAGTTGACACATAGTTTAACTTATTTTAAAGTATTAAACTACGCAAGAAGGGGAGTTTAAAAGATTGTTTTACATGTGTCCATGATTGATCGGCAAATATGTAAAGGTAAATTATTTGTTGACATTGGGTAGTTTGACATTAGTTTTTGATGTATGTCTTGTCGGTAAAATTAGATATGGGCTATTTATTGCATACATTTTAGATTGTATCATATCAGTCGGGTATGTTAACTTTATCCTGTAATATATACATGTATATATTATACATGCATGATATGCACATTTACCATTAGATATTGGGTTCATATTTCGTAAATCTTTATATGCTTAGTCATTTATTCAGTGTTAAAACAGATATATGGTATGTATATTGTTTTGAAGGCTTTATTCTTTTATTGCGTTTTTCACTGAAGTAAACTGTATGGTTGATTTGGCAGTGTTATGTAGTATATGGAATTTCAGTTTATTGCAAAAGAACTATTTAAAGGGACTTACAGATCATGGCTAATTTGCTTCAATAATAAATATTACAGTTTTATTTGTTATTTTTACTGAGGTGTAAAATTTTGTTGAGGTACGGCAATTTACTAAGGGCTGATAATAGTTTCTGCTAAGCGTTTTAAAAAGATGGGGACTGAAAGATTTTTAGGGGAAAAAAACAACAACTAAAACCAACACTTTTATTATTGTGTTTTCCCTTGAAACTATGTCAACTTGCATACAAAGAATCACATCGTTTAAATGATACCTGAAATAAAATCCGTATTTGTTTTGATGATAAAGTTATTTTTCTGCATTTATGAATTGTTCTTCAGTAACAAGCTAAAGATCAGCCTTTCAAAATAGGCTTAATGTTTAGTTTCTAGAGATCAGTATTTTAAGCCTGCTAACTAAAGTAATGAACATTCATTTATGTTCATCTTTCAATTTGTACAAATTTCATCTTTCAATCTGTACAAATTTCATCTTTCAATCTGTACAAATTTCATCTTTCAATCTGTACAAATTTCATCTTTCAATCTGTACAAATTTCCTCTTTCAATCTGTACAAAAGCATAACTTTTAGGGTAAAAAAACAACAAAATATTTTTACTGACTGAATAGGGGGTCTACAGCTGGGTGGCTAATGTCGTGCACTTTAAACCTATTGCCTCTCACTGTTGTAGGTTCGAGCCGCGCCAGCGTCTTCGGTGGTTCTATTCAGGTGCTCTTTTGTGTCTGAAATAATGCACAGAGGAGCACTCTAACACAGTAAAGCTGGTAAATCGCCATATTGACCGATACCTGAACTGTGTTCTTTGTCGGCACTGGTAGCTTGCGTAGAATTTTGTTTCTCCGGTAGAGTTAGTATTAAGGGTTTTGTTATAAAGGGGAAAAAAGCTGTAAAAAATCAAGCGGGTTTATTAAATTGAATGTGACAAATGTATGTATTTCTTTTCAATGTAATTATGTAAATATTTACATGTATATAAGTTACAGAGGTTTAATTATGACTGACAAATAACAGTATTACGTAAGAAGCACATTCAATTTTTAACGGAGAATTTTGCCCGTTAAGAGCTTTTATTTAGGTAAGAGTTTTTATTAAGGTACTTTGGTATGGTTTTATTGATATGCGTTTTTCCTGCAAGTGCAGACGGTCTTGTATAGCTTTACAGTCTTTCATTCCTATATTTGTCAAAAAAACTCTACCTTTATTGATATATTATAAATTGTATGCAAAAATCAATATGAATTATCAAGTGTTCAACTATCGATGATCAAGTAACTTAAAATAGAAAAAAATATTACGTGGCTACTTAAATTAGAAACGTTTGATTCGTGATTTGTGACGTATTTATAATGCATATTATTATAGATAAGAAATTAGTTTACCTTTACTTATGATATATTTTAAACCTGTATTTACTCTGCCACATAATTTATTCTGTTTGAATAGCCTTAACAAATCATGCACTAACTTACCAATACAATATAACCCTGTTTGGCCGTGCTGGAACCTTTTCATTGCGTAATGAGCGAAATTTGAGCTCAATATTAAGATACAAATAGCTTAATCTTTAACCCTACTATATTTCTATAATGGATCTGTCCAGCTTTGAATTTGAAACAGTCCATTCAAAGTTTAAGGGATTTCAATATCAAAGTATAAAAATTGAGCTACCAACAGTATAGAGCCTGCACGGACGATGTCTGGCACTATACTGCTGGCAATGGTTGGTCACTTCCGGTTTTAGCGGGTTAAGGCCCAGTCACTTTTTATCTGGGGCGTGTATTCTCCACTCGCGGATGAAACTAGGTCGTATCGTACGAAACAGGAAGGATAATTTGTTAAAAGTTTCAGATCGTACGTGTAATTGCTGGCCGCACGGGTTCAAACCCTATAATGGGAAACCCGCTTTTTTCTTGTTCAGGCGTACTCTTGTTACGTTGGTTGAACGAAACGAGAATTTGTCTATTCGCTTAAAATTAATATTCCTTTTAAAAAAATTAAAATATATTCTTTATAAAGTTTCAGATGATCATTTTGTTAAAAAAAATTCTATTTATAGGTGATGACTATGTTCGTAGTAAGGTCATTAGTCCTTAAGTCTTGAAAATTTAGGACACTCTGTCGCTTTAACGCCATCAGACGTGGGTAAAAACAACATTTTTTTCTCTTGCTCATTTCGCCGCTTATTGTTTCAAGGAAAATGTCAGGTTTTATCTAATTAATACCCACTGTCGATGGGTAGAGAGCGTTACTGTACACAGTTTCCAGCCTCATGTCAACTGTACATTGTTTTTTTGTAGACAGCGTTACTGAACAGATTTTCCAGCATCATGTTAACTGTACACTGTTTTTCTTTGTAGACAGCGTTACTGTACACAGCTTGTCCAACTTCATGTCAACTGTACATTGATTTTCTTTGTAGATAGCGTTACTGAACACAGTTTCCAGCTTCAGTTTATCTGTTCATTGTTTTTCTTTGTAGATAGCGTTACTGAACACAGTTTCTAGCTTCAGTTTATCTGTACATTGTTTTCTTTGTTTAAAGATGGCAGCTAGAAACATATCTAGGCTTATTCAAGAAAGCCAAGATGCCCTTGAGGCACAGGACATAGCAGGTGCGAAACAGAAGGCGCTGCAAGCTATTGCAGGCATCAACATTGAGAAAGATAAATTGCTAAAAGATGTACAGACGGATATAGACGAGCAACAACTCGGCGACTGGTATGGTGGATGTTCCTTTGTTATGAATAGGGTATAGTACTTGCTTCAAGTGTTACAAATAATTGAAATTTACATCGGTGCACGCGAGCATAGAGAAAGTAAGATGCACGCGATAAAAAACTTGATTTACGGTAGTTTGTATAACGAATATGTAAAAAGCCTTATTAACATAATAATCACATGCTGTATAAAATAGGTCATCCTTTGAAATATCTTATTCCTACTGTATAGTTTATTGAATGTTATAATATATAACTAAATGTAAGTGCTGGAACAGCTTAAAGTACCTTCTGATTGTTTGACCGTTGTTGTTGTCATTACTTTCAGATTGGAGAATATTTCACTGCAGTCAAGTGCTTTTATACAGGTAAACTTGCTTTTATCAAAGATGTGTCCAAAAGTTTCTTAATCATTCAAGTATACTTCCATACCTACACTCCTTTTAAAGTGCACCAATAAACAAAGGGTGGAAGTTATTTGAATATATACTTTCGAATAGCAGACGACAATTTAAGCAAAAGTTTTGTTTTAGCTAAAAGCAGATTTTAGTAAAGAGCCAAAATATTAAGTAATAGTTGTTGGATTTTCTTCGGACTTTTTCCTGGATACAATTTATGTCTTAAATTATATAAATGGCTTGTTAATGAACATACACGATTGAATATTTTTATCAAACAGTTCGTGAAAAATTCGTTAATTTACTTTATTGAAGCGACGATATTCGACCCAACATGGAATGTTGTTAACCACAAGAGTGTGTATAACGTTCTGTGGAACTCATTAGTGTTTTCTAAACGTACAGAGGAGCTGACCAGGCAGTACAAGGTTTGTCTTTATTTAATCATACATATCCATAATTCATTAAAAAAGACACTGTTAAGTTGTCCTACTCAAACTGAAAAATAGAAGGTTCAAATGACCATAGAGAACTGAAAACTGTAGACCAACATATTGTTTATAATCCTTTCAATTAACACTTTTCAAAAACGGCAGATGTTGCTGGTTTGAAATTAATTTGGAGGGAGAGCAGCTAAGGAACAATTTGGTCGTTTGCAATAAGAATATCATAATATTGCTTGAATGATATTAGGTTTATTGTTATTGTTAACTGCAGAATGAAATTTTGTAGTAGTTTAGAAAATAATTCTAGCAAATTCTGTGAAATGAACAGGAAATAAAATCAGTCAGGAGGTTTTATGTCATTTATTTTATTTATCATATTGAAAAGAGGGAAGATATTTTTTAAAAGCACATAAAATAAAACATGATGTTTACACAACTTCAGCATGAACATAAGTGCATATGGTGCCTCGAAAACGAATGATTATTTTCCTTCTATAAAAAGGAGTAAACGTGAGTTTTATGACGTTGAAATATATATAGAGAGAGCATTTAACCCTTTCGGTGCCAGAGGGTTATTGTTTTATTAATCACCTATTTGCCAGAGGGTTTTCTAAAAAAAACCTATATTATTATTATTATTTGTTGTTAGTATTATAATAATTATATATGTTTCCAAATATGCTAGTATAATACTAATTATTGTTGATGGTATAATTTTCTTTATATTTATTAATATTTTTATTATTATTATTAATTTATTATTATTATTATGATTATTATAAATAAAGCCGTCCATATGGCAAATACGCAAATACAAAAAGGGTTAAGATGCCTTTTACTTTACGGAAGTAGCGCTGAATGAGAGTTTTATGTGTCATGAAATTAGCGACATATTAACAAAGTGGTACTTTGACTTTAACAAAAATATTTCATCACTATAATTATGTCTCCCCCACCTCGGGGGGAGACATATTGTTTTTGCCCTGTCCGTCAGTCCGTCCGTCCGTCAGTCCGTCCGTCAGTCCGTCCGTCCATTCTTCGTTTCCGGACGATAACTAGAGTTCCTTTTGACCTACAGCCCTCAAACTTCATAGGATGATTGGTCTTATAGAGCTGATGATCCCTATCTTGTTTTTTGGGGTCAGTAGGTCAAAGGTCAAGGTCACAGTGCCGTTGGTCAATTTCTCGTTTCCGGATGATAACTAGAGTTCTTTAGACCTACAGACCTCAAACTTCATAGGAATGATTGGTCTTATAGAGCAGATGATAACTATTGTTTTTGGGGTCAGTAAGGTCAAAGGTCAAGGTCACAGTGACCGTTGGTCAATTTCTCGTTTCCGGATGATAACTAGAGTTCCTTTTGACTACAGCCCTCAAACTTCATAGGATGATTGGTCTTATAGAGCTGATGATCCCTATGTTTTTTTGGGGTCAGTAGGTCAAAGGTCAAGGTCACGCTGACCGTTGGTCAATTTCTCGTTTCCGGATGATAACTAGAGTTCCTTTAGACCTACAGACCTCAAACTTCATAGGGATGATTGGTCTTATTTGAGCAGATGATCCCTAATTGTTTTTGGGGTCAGTAGTTCAAAGGTCAAGGTCACAGTGACCGTTGGTCAATTTTTTCTCGTTTCCGGATGATAACTAGAGTTCCTTTTGACCTACAGCCCTCAAAATTGCTTCATAGGATGATTGGTCTTAACGAGAGCAGATGATCCCTATTGTTTTTGGGGTCAGTAGGTTCAAAGGTCAAGGTCACAGTGACCGTTGGTCAATTTCTCGTTTCCGGATGATAACTAGAGTTCCTTTAGACCTACAGACCTCAAACTTCATAGGATGATTGGTCTTATTGAGCAGATGATCCCTATTGTTTTTGGGGTCAGTAGTTCAAAGGTCAAGGTCACAGTGACCGTTGGTCAATTTCTCGTTTCCGGATGATAACTAGAGTTCCTTTTGACCTACAGCCCTCAAAACTTCATAGGATGATTGGTCTTATAGAGCAGATGATCCCTATTGTTTTTGGGGTCAGTAGGTCAAAGGTCAAGGTCACAGTGACCGTTGGTCAATTTTTCGTTTCCGGATGATAACTAAGTTCCTTTTGACCTACAGCCCTCAAACTTCATAGGATGATTGGTCTTATAGAGCAGATGATCCCTATTGTTTTTGGGGTCAGTAGGTCAAAGGTCAAGGTCACAGTGCAGTGGGGGAGACATGCGCTTTTTTACAAAAGCATCCTCTAGTTGTACTTATCTAATATAATTACCAAAATGCAAAAGAAGGAAACGAATAGTTCAGGTAATGGGCCATCTTGTAACTCTTTGGAATCTATAACGCAGGACTCTGAAAAAAGAACGTTTACGAAATTGAAATCAAAGTATTTCTTTGGCAGAATGGACCTTTGAAATGTGCTACTGAGCGATTTTAGTATTTGACACCATGATAATGTTAAGGGGTCTTGAAGACATTTTGAACATGCTTCTACAAGAATTAAAAAAGAAGGATCGTTTTAACAAAGGAAAAAATAATGTTTTATCACAACGATTTGAATCGCACTAAGAGTATAACTTTGCAGTGCTTGGCATTCCGCCAATTAAACATTAAATAATATATATATATTAATCTATAACTGTTAAGAATTTAAGAGCCCCGACGTTTGTTCAATTATATAAACATTTATAAAAGTGATTTAAAAAATTAAAAAAGTCATTTTAGATGTCATTTAATTTATTTATGTTTTAAATGAATGCAGAAATTGGATGCATGTATTAATTTAAAAATTTAAGATTATCAGAGAACCTTCATGTGTGTATTGCTTAACATGATCTGGACTTGAGGTTGTTGAAAAAAACTCAAAACACAGTTATACATGAACATATACTTTAATTTGTTTAGGGAAGAAAATGTTTGTATTATTGACAAAACATATTTATACGCATAAAAGATAGACCGATTTATATCAGTATTATGCAATCACATGGTTAAACATATCTGATACATGATACAACAATAAAGCAGAAAAGTATGTATAAGATATAAAACCACACAAATTACATCATTCTAATAATAACTCAAAAATAACATCAAACCTCTTTTTTTCTTTATACCAATAAAAGCATGGCTTTGGGTAGTTTTATATATTAAGTGTATAGTGAAATTTAATTGTTCAATTTTTAAAGGGTCTGAGACGCCTCCTGGCAGAGATAGATGACCTTGCTCAACTTGCAGAACGTCGGGGAAAATGGGATGTTTGTGTGGCTGCAGATGGTGATGTCAATCAAATATTTTCCTACCTAATGCAATGTGGCATAGTGGAACATGAGCTGATTAAACAACCAGGACGTAGGGCTTCCTTATGGCGCTCTGCTCGATGCTTCCTACGAATGGTATATAATGTTGTCCTATTTTATTCTTTTGTTGAACAAAATTTGCTTTTTTTGGAAAACTTTTATGAAGTTTGTGCACTGCACACGCCATTCTCTTCGAGGCAGTACATCTGAGTTTTCAGTTATTCTATGCTCAATATGCATCAATCGCTGACTTTGTACTTATTCTTTCCTGTAAATGATTATGAAATTTACCGTTTTTATTCAGGGAATGCATGAGGATGCACGAAAACTTTGCAGTACAAGTAAGTATCCGCATTCAATTTGAAAGATAATCACTGTATCAGGTTTTGTACATATATTAAGAAGGTATCTATGAAGGTGTTTTATCATAAATGAAGTGTAATTTCAAGTGGTTTCTTAATGAGAATGGTTTCTTAATGAGACTTACTTCATTAGTTATTTGAGTTTATTGTTTATGTTAAATGTTTGTCATTTATGTAAGTTTTTTTTTTAAAATTAATTCTTTAAGGGGCGTCCGTGGCCCAGTGGTTAAGGTCGTTGACTTCAAACCACTTGCCCCTCACCACTGTGGGTTTGAATCCTGATAGGGACTTTGGATTTCCTCGTGTGAGGAATCTATCCAGCTAGCTTACAGAACGTCGAGGGTTCAACACAAATGCCCGTTTGTGCCTGAATACACGGAAGGGCATCTGAGGTTTTCCTTCACCAGTAAAGCTGGAACGTCGCCATATGACATAAACTGTGTCGGTGTGAAGTAAAACCCAATCAAACAAATAATTCTTTAAAGAGGTTCATATACAAGATACGTTTTTCTTTCAAGTTTCTTGATATTTTTACCTGTAAGATGATAAGAACGGATGACACTCTGAATTCTAAAAGAGTCGCATATTGATATGCATGTTTTAATAAATAAATATCATAATTATTAGAATACTTAAGACTTAAGGTATACTAATAATAAGAATTTACTTAGATGTTTGATATTAAAGACCGAATATTTTCAAAGATATTCCATTTATGTTTTAATAAATCACAGTTCTTCAACATGCATGTGATTATGATGACCCGGAAGCTTTTGAGATTTGGGCTTACTCATTGTGTGCTACCAAAGATTTTGATATTGCTTTAGAGAAGTGCGAACTAGCTATAAATTATTGTAAAGTAAGTATTTTAGATTATGCATATTTTACATCTCTTATTGATATATAAAAGGTAACGTTCTTATTTGATAACATACATGTTAGTTAGTTTTGCAACCGTATAGAAATAGACACAAACCTACATTAAGAGAACTTAAACTTGCAATGTAAAGACATCTTTGTAGAGCAATTGATTCAATTCATATCGCGTTTGACTCCGAAAGATATTTGCTTATATTGAATGTAATACTAAGAAGCTGCATAAAGTTGGAAACTATTGTCTATTTAAAACATTTAGTACATGAATACTGTCGGGGAAATAGTTTCCTGCAACTAACATTTATCCATCTAGAGTTTGCTTTATACAAGTAACAAGTGCGGATGCTTCGTTGGACCCGAATAGTGCTTGAACTTACAATCCATGTGCTGAAAACATTAAAAAAACTAGGCGCCTGACTACCTTCACGTCAAATTCAAAAAAATTTTTTTCTCACTTTTTTGAAATTTCTGTTTTTTTTATACCCAGGATAAGTTATAAAAAACGTTTGGAGGGTTTTCGGGAGAATTTAAAAAAATAGCTTAAATACCCCCGGACAACGGGAATCAATGCAAAGTAAATAAACTTTTTTTAAAAACATACATTTTTGTGCTGTCGTTATTAAAGTAATAGATTTTGATATTTGAGTGACTTCATACATTAATAGATTGTCAACTCTTATTGCTTTGATACAGAAACCTTATTATTAGAATCTTAAGTGATTTAATGGCTTGATAATGTAATCAAAATTACGAAAAGGTTAAACAGTTGATGTCCAATTTTATGGAAAGGGGAAAAAGAAAAATTTAAATAACAATTTTTTATATCATTTTTGAAAATCAATTATGATTCATGGTTTGTTTTGCCCTTAGTCCTAATAACTTGCATTATACATTTGGGAGTATGGGAATTGCAAAATTGAAATGTGTTTTGACTTACGTTGTAGAATTCAGGTACTGTAAATAAGCAGTGGGAAGCACAGGGAAAGAAAAAGAAAAGAAGTAACCGACATGGTATGTATAAGTAAATGAACTGTGCACATATTGTTTTGTTGCATTCATATTACATGAGAAAAGTACGGTGTCCTTATCGTGCCATTTAGAATGTCGTCCGTCGCGTCTAAGGGTAGACACACGACAATGCGAAGTGACATCGCGACAATGCGAAGCGACGCTCGACAACGCGAAGCGATATGCGACAATGCGAAGCGACGCTCGACAGTGTCAAACGATATGTCGCACTGTCGCCTAGAAATGTCGCGGTAAAAAAGGGCGACATTTAAGAAATGTCGCTTCGCGTTGTCGAGTGTCGCTTCGCATTGTCGAGCGTTCGCTTCGCGTTGTCGCGATGTCCTTCGCGTTGTCGCGATGTCACTTCGCGTTGTCGCATTGTCACTTCGCATTGTCGAGTGTCGAGGTTGGTAGAAGTGCATAACGCACGACACTCGACAATGCGAAACGACAACGCGACAATGCGATACGACGCTCGACAATGCGAAGTGACACTCGACATTCGCGAAGCGACATTTTTTAAAAAAATGTCGAGTAAATGTCGCGTTATTTTTATGATTTTTACACCGCGACGCTAAACATTGCGAAGCGACACTCGACAATGCGAAGCGACACTCGACAACGGCGAAGCGATACTCGACAACGCGAAGCGACACTCGACAATGCGAAGCGACATTTGGAATAATATCGTATCGCATTGTCGGCGTCTACAGGTGCTTGGTCAGAATTTACTAACTCACCGACAAACGGTGCGATCATGGAAGGGGTCGCACTAAAACTGCTGACGAATTAGCTGACGATATAGAATATAGGAAACTGCTGACCAGTTAAACAAAGAATGATTATCGAAAACTGCTGACCAGTTAGATAAAGAAGGGAAAACAATGAAGGTGTCAAATTGCCGTTGGTGATATTACAGGCGAGGTCGAGAAATACTTGATAAAATGTTTTTTCAAGATGTCAATATTACAAATGATAACATATTAATTATAAAAAATTTCAATTGATAATATACTGTATATTTCTCAATTTATTTTGATATAATATTTTATTTAAGTACCTTAATGAATTTTTCTTCTATGTGTTTATATATTGGTTAAAATTTTAAAAATGTAGTCAAAATATGATGTACGAAAAATCATAATTTGTTTCAAGTATGTATAAAACTATGCATCATAGGTTAAATATATACATGTACATATACGTAATGTATATTTTAACAAAATATAATTATTATGTCGTATTTTAGTGCAAATATGAAATAAAGTGATTTCTGTTTCCTTATTTGTTGTTCGTATAATTGTATAAGTAATATTGAACAAAAATTAATAATGTGCTAAATTGTTATAGTTAATAAGCTTTTATTACATTATAAACAACATGTTTCCACAGATATCCATTAAACTGATAATTTATCGAGATCGATATGCCCCAAGGTCATATTAAAATCGATTTCACACGCGACGTGTCATTCTTGATTTATCTATGACAAAATACAATAAACAGTCAAAAAAATATGTTATTAAATGCTGACCATATTGTAGAATCTGCTGAAAAGTTAGATATATAGAGAAAAAATATTTAAATGCTACGAAATTGTTACTCATTATGCAAATTTAATATATTTTATAAAATAATGTCGACATTTAATTAAGTAAAAACACTGCTGACCAATTTAATGTTAATTCAAATTGATTTAAGCCGTAAAACTCTCTTATTCTATATGGTTAGCAAATTTAACGCTCTTTACATTCAGGCGAGAAAATGCTGACCAGTTAAACATATACACATGTAGTAGAATCTGCTGACCAGTTAGATATATAGGGAAACTGCTGACCAGTTAGAAATATAGAAAAAAAATATATTTTGTCGTGAAATTTTTAATTCATTTTATAATGTACGAAATTCAATATATTGTATAAAATTTTGTCGACATTTAATTAAGTTAAAACACTGCTGACTTATTTAATATTAATTCAAATTGCAATTATTGCTTTTGAAAATACATTTTTTTTCCGTTACAAGATTTTTCTATTGAAATATCACTAACAAGAGATTTTGATAAAAATCATAACATCATAATTCTTTATAAAACATTAATTCAAATTTTTGCATATCTTTAGAGGTATAAAAAGCTGTTTAATATATCCTTTTAAAATCACGGATTTATATTACATGTAGTAATGTAAATCCGTGTTAAAATGTATGATATTATGGTACTTTAAATGTATATATTAATTTAGTTTATAAACATAGTCATATAAATGCAAAAATTAAAAATATAATTAAAAGAATAAAAGTAATTTCCCATCTTTTTATTACCCCCTACGGCGTGTTTATATAACTTCACACCTTCAATGTTTCCCTTCTTTGTGTAACTGGTCAGCATTTTCCGATAATCCTTCTTTATTTAACTGGTCAGCAGTTTCCTATATGTATAGGATAGATCATGAGTACCAGTTGGATGTGAGATTTATCAACGAGCGAAGCGAGTTGATAAATCTCACATCCAACTGGTACGTGCGATCTATCTGACTTAGACCACAGGTAGTTTTCTCTGTTTAAGGTGAAGATTTAATATGCGTAAACGATTTTTTTCTCCGACAATTACATAGGGACATCCAAATATTTCTTACTCAATCTATTTGGCCTTATTGTAGGCAAAAAAAGCACGAGAAAATGGCATAATTCATGTTCTTTCATAAGTTACTGTATACACAATCTTATGAATGATAGATTTCACATTCCGTCACAAAGGTGCAGTAAGATTAATTTGGAAATAATTTAACATTTCTGAATGTGATATTATTACAATTTTGCAAGTTGAGAGATTTTGTTGTTATTCCTGTTGATTCTTCATTTAAATGATTAAATGACATTACACCGTACACAGCGCTTGAATATGAAGTCAAGAAGCAAAACTGCTTACCGAAAAATACTCTTAGACAGAAATCATGGGCGATGGCTGCTTCTCAAGAGTGGGCTCTTGGAGAAACGGGCAGGTAACTTTCATTTAACGTTTTCCTTAATGCTTAAACAACCCTAGGGTTCAGGATATTGATTGGTTGTCCGGCTGAAGTTGAAAATATTTTACTTGACATGTAGATTCGTGTTTTTGTTATATGCTTTATATACAAAACGTCCCTCTGAAGCCTTAAAGCATAGCATTGCCTTAGCGTTGCAAGCGCAGTCCAGTCACCGTTCGGAAACTCCACCAGTGGAATCCCCTCATCCCAAACGAAAATGAATGTACATCTACAGTGTCTGCTATTAAGAGTGAGCCGGGCATAATAAAAGCGCAAAAGCGGTCGTAAAATGTAGATACATATATAGATTTAAATAGATTGGTAAACGCATTTCATTTCATTATTGCTTGTTTCTTCTTATTTACAAGTACAGTAACTATTCTTGTAAAATGATGAACTGACGAAATAAATTGGTCAAAGGACTGTTGCTATCTGTTATTTTTTAAGAAGGGAATTACACTATGAACTTTACTATATACATATAAATTTTCCCCGCATAAAGCGTGCACATAACGGTTTTTTTCTTTCAGTTGAATACAAACATGATAGTTATATCAAACACTTTACTGTGATGTGTGGGATATATCAAACACTTTTAAACTATTCTGATTGGCCGAGAGAAAACAGCTGTGGTCTAAATCTATATCGTCAGCTAATTCGTCAGCAGTTTAGTGCGACCCCTTCCATGATCGCACCGTTTGTCGGTGAGTTAGTAAATTCTGACCAAGCACCGGTAGACGCACGACAATGCGATACGATATTATTCCAAATGTCGCTTCGCATTGTCGAGTGTCGCTTCGCGTTGTCGAGTATCGCTTCGCGTTGTCGAGTGTCGCTTCGCATTGTCGAGTGTCGCTTCGCAATGTTGAGCGTCGCGGTGTAAAAATCATAAAAATAACGCGACATTTACTCGACATTTTAAAAAATGTCGCTTCGCGATGTCGAGTGTCACTTCGCATTGTCGAGCGTCGTATCGCATTGTCGCGTTGTCGTTTCGCATTGTCGAGTGTCGTGGTATGCACTTCTACCAACCTCGACACTCGACAATGCGAAGTGACAATGCGACAACGCGAAGTGACATCGCGACAACGCGAAGTGACATCGCGACAACGCGAAGCGACGCTCGACAATGCGAAGCGACACTCGACAACGCGAAGCGACATTTCTTAAATGTCGCCCTTTTTTACCGCGACATTTCTAGGCGACAGTGCGACATATCGTTTGACACTGTCGAGCGTCGCTTCGCATTGTCGCATATCGCTTCGCGTTGTCGAGCGTCGCTTCGCATTGTCGCGATGTCACTTCGCATTGTCGTGTGTCTACCCTTAGACGCGACGGACGACATTCTAAATGGCACGATAAGGACACCGTAGAAAAGACATGTTTCTTTTAGAAAAAAAAATCATTGATTATGCATATTAGAACAATAAAAATCATAGTTGATAATCGGTTAGGTAATTAATATTGAAGTATAGTCTAACCTATGAAATAAATAATATGGTCATGAAATTATATTAATTTATATTTAGAAAATTTAAGTACACTGCATTATTTTAATTCTTTTAGCAAAGTTCAAACAAAACGGACAAAACTCTCAGTCGTCCAGATCCTCTTCCAGAGGAGGTACTCCAAATACACAAAGAAACCAGGCCATGCCAAAGCCTATTCAGAGCATTGCAAAAAAGCTCCAAAAACAGTCTGAAACAATTTTATATCAGAGAAAAAGACATTTAAGTAGCTGCAGTACAACAACAACAGCAACAGACGATTCTGAATTAGAATCCGGATCACAGTTTTATGACAGTGATCAAGAACTATCATCTGATGATGAAAGTTTTGATTTTTCATCACGAGAGGAAACTCCAGAAGCAAATGTTGGTCCGGAACTTGATCCAGAGGAAGAAGCAATGAAGGAGGAAATGTCTTTTTATGAGCAAAGTCGACGCTACTACCAACAGAATGATGACAGCTCAGAATATTTAGGTCAGGCTGATTCAGATGAGAAGCTATTAAAGTATGGGGTAAAGCTTAACTTGTCCTATATGCACCAGTTTGAAGACAAGCATCCGGAGATACTTAAACGTGATCAATTTTACACCGATTTTCTGAACGAAAACGAGCTGAAGCAAAAGCTCTTAAATTATCCAAAGAAATACAAAAGATGCGTAATACAGATTGAAGGGTCTCATGAGGCTTATTGCACGCCAATAGACACCAACGATTCCATTCACACGATTGAAATATCTGGTCGTTCGAAAATTGGTCAGGTCTTCAATGAAGATGAAGTTGTGGTTGAAATCCTTGATGAAGATGTCAAAGATAAAAAGGATACACGTTTCGGTAAGGTATTGGGAATTTTAAATAGACAGCGTCATAAAGACACAAAACATCCAGTATTTATTTGCACACTTGATGATATGGAAAGTAACCTAGTTCGACCTTTGTGCAAAACCATCCCTAAGATTCATATCATTGACAGAGAAATAACACAAAAATACACTTCACGTATTACCAAAAGATACAAAATTGAAACGTATGATTATGATGGACAGGCTGAAGTCCTTTGTAATCCAAAAATAATAAATTTGAATCCAGCAGAACAGAGGTCCTATATCTTCCTTGTGGCTTTCATTAGCTGGAGTCCACGTCATATATACCCAAGAGGAGCTATAATTAAGATGCTTCGAACTGGTCTGTCAGAATCAACAGGATTGATGATCTTAAATCTACAACATGAAGTTCCTACATTGTACAGAAAAGCAACAATTGAACAAGTAGCCAGTACTACAAATCGTCTTGGCGATGAGCCCTCCAGTGATCTTCTTAAAAATAGAAAAGATCTCACTAATCTCAATGCATTTACAATTGACCCAGCAGATTCAAAAGACCTTGATGATGCCCTTAGTGTCCAAAGTATAGAAGGGGGATACAAAGTTGGTGTGCACATTGCAGATGTAGCCACGTATGTGCCTCAGAAATCACCACTAGATGAGGAATCAAGCCAAAGAGCCACAACCTTCTATCCAGGTATTCGTCGTCCGAGGAACATGCTACCCGAACCTTTCAGTACAAAAGTGTGTAGTCTCTTACCTAATAAAGTCAGATTAACTATATCCCTGTTCTTTTACCTCACCAGTAAAGGTAGACTTATGCAGATGGAGGGAAGTAATTTTGAAATTGTCCCATCTTACATCAAATCAAAAAAGCAGTTCACATATTCAGAGGTTCAAGACATCATCAATACCCAAACCACTGACATTGATACCGACATCACAAAAGATATAAAGACACTGTTTAAAGTAGCGAAAGAAGTAAGAAAACAGCGTCTTGGTAATGCAATGTTTGCTTTAGATTTAGACTGGGAAGAGGCCGAACAAGGGGAAGCAGAAGGTCAAACAGTAGAAGCACATTACCTTGTGGAAGAATTCATGGTAATGTCTAATAAGAAAGTTGCTGAATGGTTGCTAAGACACAAGTATGACGGATATAAACAATGCGTACCACTGCGTTGTCAACCGCCACCGTCCAAAGAAGGTATGGAGCAGTTTCTTCAAAAGAATGGTTGCTATATAGATATCCTCTTGAGACTTCAAGACAAACAAGTAGGTCCAAAAAAGCCTAACTTCCGAGAATGCTTTAATGAACCAAAGGCGAAAACCGTTATGCTTGCGAAAGATGTATGGAAGGCTATGACAAGTGATCCGCAAACTGCTGCTGAATATATACAAAAAGATGACCTGCACCCTATTCAGCTGACTGTTTATCAGCACTGGTTAGCGATCCAAGAAAAGGCAGGCTATAGATGCTCTGGAAGCATAAAGGGTGAGGAGGACGGGAAGCATTCTAGCTTAGATGTATATCCTTATACACATTTTACATCACCTATCCGGAGATACAATGATTTGATAGTCCATCGACTCATTCATGCGGCTCTTCGAAGAAAGCCATGCCCTTATAACAAAAGTGAAATTGAGGGTATATGTATCCATATCAATTCTGTGGCGAAAAGGGCTAAAGAGTATCAGAAAGGATGCAGTGCACTTGAAACGGCAATACGATTTAAGACATCACCACGGATGCTGAATTGCTGTGTAGATGATGTGTCAGACAGGGGTGTAACTCTTTGTTCGCCTTGGTTAAAATATGTCCCGAAACCGCACCGTGAACTAACATTCAGTTTGCTCGACATGGGTCACAAGCCTGTACCTATTGAGGATACAGATACAAAATGGACTAAGATGAAAGCTGTTTGGAGAAAAAGGCTGTATAACTTGTCAGTAAAAGCTATTAATAAACCCGATAATGGCAGAGAACATAAACTTAATCCATACAGCAGTGTAGTCTTCCTCTCAATTCATGAATGGGCGAAAATGCTTCGAGCAACAACTGATGAGCATAAAGACGATCTACGGCGTGCTTTACAAAATACAAGGCTGATTATCCATCAGAATGAGGTATGCGAAGATGTGACTACCGAATGTGTCAACCAACTAAAGATTCAACCCAACACAAAGTTTTCGATGATATTTTCAAGGGGACAACAGCTAAAGATACAAATGTCCGCTGCTCCTAATAAAGGAATATTGACACCAAAGCCAGTTCTTTATAGTATGACAAATAACGTGAAGTTTTGTCTTCAGCATACAGAAAATCCTGTTCTTCACTTGTATCGATATGTGACCAAAGCAACTTGCGACAAGTATCCGAGTATAAGAGTCTATCTTGAAAGATGGCTTCCAATTATTTTAATGGAAGCTGCAACCGGTGTTATTCGTAATGAGGAAACTTGCTGCATTAATGATGTCCCAATTAAGTTTCTTGAAGACAGAAAAGGAAGGTTTTCTCTCGATCTTGCTAAATGCGAAGTCCGGAATATCGAATTGTCAGGGGTTGTATCGGAAGATACCGATGATATTAGCACCAATGAGAATAGTGGATCATACGACTGGTTATGTTTGAGGGCAAATGTTCCAAATCCAAAGAAGCCAACAAGTGGCAAGGGAACACTTGAACTTAATTGCTACGACGCTGTATGGATTGGACATGCCGAAGTTATTAAAGCTGTGAAAAGAAAAGATCAAGAAACCAGTGATGGAAAGATAAACGTTACGTTTCAACTGCATGAAAAGTGTGAAGCTCTTCCACCAAATCTTCCACGGAATGTGAAATTCTGCGTTGAAATATTGAAGAAGTCTGAAGTTGATAGGTAAGCTAAGTCTGTAGTTAATAATTTAAGATTGTTATCCATTATTATGAATTAACCATTGTAGGGAGATGTACGACATAACCATATGTGACGAATGGAATGTAGCTATTGTTTCTACATCAATGTTAGGTTACTTTTGGAAGTGTAAAACAGTTTGTAAAATCAAAATACAAATATCATGTGCCACACTTCAAATTTCTGTAAGTTTACTCTTTTAAGAATGAATTAGCATGGTATAATTTAGAATATTATCATTTTTATATGCCCGAAAGAATTTCGGGCATATGTTATACCCCCTGGCGTCCGTCTGTCCGTCCGTCCGTTAGCAATTTGGTTTCCGGAGCATAACTTAAGTTCCATTTGGCCCACAGTATTCAAACTTCATAGGATGATTGCCCATATTGGGTAGAAGACCCCTATTGATTTTGGGGTCACAAGGTCAAAGGTCAAGGTCACTATTACCCTAAAACTGAAAATGGTTTCCGGAGCATAACTTAAGTTCCATTTGGCCCACAGTTTTCAAACTTCATAGGATGATTGTCCATATTGGGTAGAAGACCCCTATTAATTTTGGGGTCACAAGGCCAAAGGTCACTATTACCCTAAAACTGAAAATGGTTTCGGGAGCATAACTTAAGTTCCATTTGGGCCACAGAATTCAAACTTCATAGGATGATTGTCCATATTGGGTAGAAGACTCCTATTGAATTTGGGGTCACAAGGTCAAAGGTCAAGGTCACTATTACCTAAATACCGAAAATGGTTTCTGGAGCATTACTTAAGTTCCATTTGGCCCACAGTTTTCAAACTTCATAAGATGATTATCAATATTGGGTAAAAGACCTCTATTGGTTTTGGGGTCACAAAGTCAAAGGTCAAGGTCACTATTAGCTTAAAACTGAAAATGGTTTCCGGAGCATAACTTAAGTTCCATTTGGTCCACAGTATTCAAACTTCATAGGATGATTGCCCATATTGGGTAGAAGACCCCTATTGATTTTGGGGTCACAAGGTCAAAGGTCAATGTCACTATAAGCTTAATACTGAAATGGTTTCCGGAGCATAACTTAAGTTCCATTTGGCCCACAGTATTCAAACTTCATAGGATGATTGTCCATATTGTGTAGAAGACCCCTATTGATTTTGGGGTCACAAGGTCAAAGATCAAGGTTACTATCACCTTTAAACTTGAAACAGTTTTCGCTCAATAACTCAAGCATTAATCAACCTACAGCTAAAGTACTTTCGGGCATATAATGCTCCGCCTAGCGGGGTTCTTGTTACATCTTAAGTTCTTTTTATTAATTTTAAGGAAATTACTCAATCCTCGGACATTACGAAATTTCCGCGTGGCAATTGATCTCAGACATTGAGTCTAATATTCAGCTGTCTGTCACTGCTGATTTTGAAATCACGTGGGAAAAATAGTCGGTACATTTTAAAGAAATTCATAATTATCGGTTTGTTATACATTATGAAAGCCGGTAAGGCGGATGTACGCCGAACTATGCGCCAAAGCAGACAAGCAAATAGTATTCATTCTTACAGTTGTGGTGTAATAAAACTGTTTATTTTCTAGGAGAACTGAAAGTTTCATTAAAGAACTTCCATCCCAATGTGACTCACTGTCAGCGCAAATTGCCCTTAACAAACGTATTTCAGATTTTGGTAAGTAATCTTTCGACTTACTGCTGCTATACTTGTTCTGTTTAACACAACATGCGGTTATACTTGCACTAGACTTTAACACAAAAAGTGCAGACTTTGTCACTTTCAATATTTTAACGCAGATATACCCATTTATATACCATATAATAAATAATATAACTTTGACCAGCAAAGACAATTGTGTAATAAATTTAGACATCTGAAATAAACAAGCAGATATTAAATCATTCTCCCTGTTAACCTTTACAATCGTTTAGTGCTGCAATGTATATCTTGTTTTTCTTAAACATTATTTTGTAACTGTACTTTTGCGGTTTTCTATTGAATTATTTAGTTTCTAATGTCCTTTTGTAAGAATTTCTTTCATTAACAATTATCCTAAACATTTATTATCTGAAATGATCTTTTGAATATGTTTAAAAATTGTTAAATAACTTCTGTAAACAAGGTGAAACATCTAATTGCAGACAGAAGTCGTGCACATATTGCAAGTCTAAGACATAACCAAGATTTGTTTTTTGAAACAAATCGTGATGATCCTCAACAGAGAAAAACTGTTCTTCCACGTAATAATGCAAAACAACAAGAGGCAGTTAATAAAGCACTTACGTCACGTTTTTCGTTGATTCAAGGACCACCAGGTATGTACATAACAGTGCCATCATACAACAGTTTGTATAATTATTTAAATGCATCGATCAGCTAGCTAATGGTAAGCTTTCTATATCAATTGAAAACTCACACACATGTTTTTTAAGACGACAATAATTTTCTGAAGAAAAAAAAAACAGTTACTTTTATATAAAATCAGGTTTGATTAAGATTTAATTTCATATAACGCAATTGTCCTGTCATCATTGTTAATCAAGTAATTATATGTATGTATGTTATGTTTAAAATGACATAAATTGAAGTATACATTATACTCCTTGTTTATTGTCAAACTAGATACAGATTTGGAAACCGTTATCAATTGACAATGGTACTAAATAAAACAGAAACATAATAAACTGTATTTTTCTCAGTACCCAGTTTTCTATTGTGTGGGTTAATTTAGTTCAGTTGTTAGCAAATATATTTTGTTTAAAAAAACAGGTACAGGGAAAACGTACACTGGCATCAAACTGATGTATCTTTTCGACAGAATCAACAACCAGATGAGCAAAGAAGGACATCCTAGGAAACAAGTGCTCTTTTGCGGACCGTCGAATAGATCCGTCGATTTAGTTGCCAGTAATTACACTCTTTTTGAGAATTTATACTTTTAAAATAGAAAAGTTATACTTATAAGTTATTAGAATCATTTTGTTTTTTACATGTTAATGCTTTGAAAAATATGTGGGCATTTGAATCATTGCTATACATGCTTTATTTACAGGTCATTGTCAAGGTGCATATTGCAAATATGAACAAAAATATTATACAATATTTTTCTTTATCTGGATAAACAAGAATTTACATTACTTTACATTAGGTGCCATATAAGGACGGTCAACATTAAGTAAAATAGCTTCTTCGTTACCTTAGTGCTTAATAAATGAATAAATTTGTTATCATTTTAATGGTCTCTTATTTAAATACAGTTTTCTTTTATCTTTCGTTTTTGTGATTTATAATCATTTATATTTACAGCTTGGATGCTGAAGCGGATGGAAAATTATAAGCCAAACTTCATACGTGTATACGGCAGGTCAATTGAGGCACTAGACTTCCCGATACCTGGGAGAACTTTCCTTTCTAAACGAAGCACAAGAAGTAACCACACCAATGAAGAACTACGTTGTGTAGCTCTTCATCATCTTATTCGAGAGAAAGGCAAGAAATATGCTGAGGAAATTAGGGCCAAAGATAAATTCTTCAAAGACAACAATTACGAACCTATGCCCGAAATTGTTAAAGGGTATGTCCATATAGTGAGAGAGGCGTCGATAGAAGAAATACGAAAATATGATGTGATTTTATGTACAACAGCAGTAGGTGCAAATCCGAAGGTACTCGAGGCAACAAATGTGTACCAGGTAATGCTGACATTTTTGTTTCGTTCAGACTGTGCGAATCTGCTTTGTAAATAGCCAAGTGTGTAAAGACTTATTTGTATAACTGCTTCCAATGTATCTCAGCCTTCCAGAATTTAATTTGCCGTTTTAACTTTGATTGATAGCAATAAACGATTTATTGGGACTTGAAGGTTGTAACTCCGTGTCATATCACTATCTTAAATCATTTAACACGTTAAAGTCTTATTAAATTTTGATCAATTCAGAATTTCAGAATTTTATTTTCCTTCTTTATTTCTTTTTTCATTATAAACAGTTTAAAAAAAGGTTTGTAAGTTATGTCCAATATCATTTACTTACCCAATTAATTGATTTATAAATTTCTTATGTATTACATTTGTATTATAGGTCATAATTGACGAAGCTGGAATGTGCCCTGAACCGCAGGGACTTGTTCCAATTATTGCCTCTAAAGCTGAGCAGGTTGTTCTCATAGGTGATCATATGCAATTACGACCAATAATAATGTGCAAAGAAGCAGCACTCCTTGGTTTGGAAAAATCACTGTTTGAAAGATATGCAACAACAGAATCTTCCAAAAATGTTAAGTTTACTCGTCTGGAAGACCAATACAGAATGGTAAAAGGCTATAAATATAAAAATAGATAAATAAAAAAAATGCAGAATTTACTGCTAATTCATTGTATGTTTTGATTTGCCACTATTTTTATCTATTGATAAGACTATTGCTGTAAATCACTTTCTTTTTAGCTCCGTCCGTCTGTCTGTCCGTAAAAATACTTTAAACGACATCTCCTCATAAACCTTTAAGCCAATTTCATCTAAATTTTACAGGAATGCTACTTGGATGATAACCTATGAAAATTGTTCAAAGAATTATATTCCATCAGAATTCTGTTTGCCATGGCAAGTCAAAGAAAAAAACGTTAAATCTTGTTTTCAAATCGTCAAAGAGCTTAGATATTTAGCATGAAACATCTTCTTGTGTGTCTCTACCAAGTTTGTTCAAATAAAAGTCCTGGGGTCAAAATTGGCCTCGCCCAAGGGGGTAATTGATTTAATCTTAAGTTATACCATAGAAGCTTTAGCTGAGATATTTAATATGAAACATAATCTCATGGACCTCTACAAAGATTTTTCAAATTTTAGCCCTCCGGTCAAAATTGCACCGCCCCGGTGGAAATAGATTTTGCCTTATATGTATATACTAAAATTTAAAAAAAAATCTTCCCAAAGTTTACAAGCTCAGTTTCCATAGCAACTAGTGACTTCATATCGGCCATTTACTTTTCATTGCAAACTGTAATTTTTTTAGCAACCAGCAAACATTAACTGTCCATAGCAACGAGAGAACCAACCAAGAAATTTCATATCAGGCACTGCATGACTTCCAAAGAAGTCATTTATTTTGTATAGCAAACAGTGACATCTTATGGAACTGTTGTTTTCCTTTAGGAAAAGCAACCTGTAAAGTTTTTACACATGCACTATTTCAGATCCAAATATGAGCTTTGTGATATCAGTTTAAGATTTATTTTTTAAAACTGCTTTCATTTATACTTTACAATATTACTTGTTCCTTGTCATGAAGAATATGAATATTCAGGTGAGCGATATTAGAGCGATCATGGCCCTTTTGTTTTCTTTATCTGTCAAAAATATCAATTTAGATGTTATTTTCTGTTTATTCATGTACAGAATCCAGAAATATGTAGATTTCCATCAAAACAGTTTTATGAATCGGCACTAAGAACAATGCCAGGTATATGGAGGGAAGAGACACTACGTATTTGGCCAAGGGATGCAAAAGGAACTTATCCCCATGTATTGGTTCATGTCGAGGGTGAGGAGCATATCCTCACTGTTTCCACAGAAGATGGGAATGAGCAATCCAGGAGCAATGATGCAGAAATCGACCACGTGGTAATTGTTTAAAGTGCCATTGTTGATGCAACTTGATTGAAATGTTTATTCCTTGCATGAAGTCCTTGCAAAATTGTTTTAAGGATTCCATTCCATGGAAAAAGTGAAAGTGAAAGATTTTTGACCTAAGGCATAAGCCTACTATTTTAAATTGTGATAAAAACATATCCAAGAGGTCCCTAATAAAGTTTATCATTATGGTACTAGATTGATAAATTACCATTTTCACATACCGTTTTATAGAGAAATCTTAAAGGAAGTTCTTAGAGATATTTTGACATGATGGAACTGATTTTTTTCTTTCGAGATTTATGAACTATTTGATCAGTACAACTTGTCTGTAAAATCTCAGATTATTCGCTCCCTCTATTCTTTCCAAAATTATTGTTTTAATTTGGACTAATTTCCCAAACATGAAGAACGTTATAAGCCAAAGCGGGCCAAGAATTCAGAAATAAGAGACAAATGTTATTATGATTAATTTAAGAAGCTTTCAATTTTTCTTACTAGATTTAGATTCAGTTGCAAGTTTACACAACTCGGTATATTATGTCTTCAAATTTCCGTTATTCATTTTTCCAGTCATAAAACCTTTTTAAATATATGACATAAATATATGGATTATTAAAAATTACCTTGCACGCTCTAATAACTTTTAACATATTTGTACATGGCACGATTTATTAAAGTGTAAAATTCTATTATTCTATATTCAGAAGTATATAACACGCCTTACACTATGTAACCACTTTTCAGAAATTTGGCAGAACATGAGTTTTCTTTATTATATTTGAATTCAAATCTCTCACCATTAAGGGATTTTCTTTTAAAAAATATCAGTGGCTGACCTCATTCGCTATGAGTTTTATTTATAGTGGTCATTTTTATCATATGCAGCAAGAATTGTTTTGTCTCTTTATGCCCCCCCCCCCCCCCCCCAAAAAAAAGAATGAGGAGAGACATAAATGCCCTTTACAAGCTTTATAAATATTGCCCCTAGGATATTAAATGACCCTTCTCTAAGTATCCCTAGTTTACAAAGACATAAAAAAATAATATTTAAACCCTTTTATAAAACAATATGGCCAAGAGTTAAGATATACAAGTATGACGTGTAGCATTTTCTAGTTGGTTTCACTGTCCTGTGTTTGTGTGTCTACTTTGGATGATCAAATGATGACCAATACATACACTTTAAAATCTTTAGATTTAATCGTATACTTGTACCTACTTGTTCACTTCAATGCGTTAAATCAAAACTTGACCATGGATAATCTTGACCAAACAAGCATCATTTTCAAATTTTGTCGTGTCAGTTGACGTTCATGTTGTTTTTTTTTACTTTACCATTTTACTTCAAAATGAAGAAATTTTTACTTTTTTAGCATCTTGAGTGGGCTTTGGCTTCGGTTTAATGTCACACCTGTCCTTTTAAGGTCAACGGACGACCTTTGAGTCGAAACAGCGTTTGAGTTGGTATAATCAAATAAATTTTGAATTGAGCATTTTCTCATTTATTATATGCACTAAAGTCTTGGTTTTTCAATGACATGCGATTAATTCTGAAATGAAGCAAGAATAACGTTGAATCATACAACAATAATTGTTGTTGATAAGCCATTACAAAACAATTGAATATTTTGCAGATAACGACATACAACTACTTGAGGAGAGAAGTCCCAAACGAAAAGATACAGATTTTGTCTCAGTATAATGCTCAGTGTTCTGAGATTAAGAGAAGGCTTTTAAAAGATGGTGAAGCAAAAGCAGATGACCTTGTTAGCACAGTTGTTTCAAGTCAAGGTTTGTTTGTAGATGAAATTAGTTATGTCGCTTTTTTAGGTAAACTTTTCGGAGAAAAGGCGAAACTATTGAAATAACCTTCCCGGCGGCGTTGTCATGGATTAAATCTACGTTTAAGTTCTTAACGTCAATATTTATGAGCCTAAAATGTGAATACTCCTTGATGAGTTATACTTGCCACACCCATTCAACGTCAAAGAGACCTATTGTGATATAGATATTAAACTGAAATTAAAGCAAAAGTGCATTGCCTAAGAAATTTCAAACTTTGTATGTGAAAGAGTCCTACCTGCCATGCTCATTTTAAATAAAAAAGTTAAAAATTTAGGTCACAAAGATCTGTTTTATGAAGTTTCTGTTTATACGTACATGGTTTATACATATGATTATGACTTTGAAATTTGATATGTGGATGCACATTGGCGAGTTCTTCCAGCCATAGGAAATTTTGGTTCACAAAATCGAAGTCGAGTTCAATGTGACCTTTAATTAAAATAATTTCTTTGTAAAAGCACGGTTTACTATCGATCAAGGGCGCTGCTCCACGGACAGCTCTAGTTTAAATTAAAAGTTAAAACCTGATGTTCTCAATTTCGGTGGTCACAATATATTTCGAATATAACATCAATGTTTTCAGTAGATAACAATCTGTTTTCATGTTGATAAATGTACATTTAAAACATGTTTGCTATCACTCATTTAGAAACGTGTAAGTAATGAAAAAAATTCTCAACAAAGGTATGAATAATTTTAAATATTAAATTTTGTAATGTGATTATATTTTTTAAATATATTTTGTCTCTCAATTAAGAGTTATTTATTGTTTAAGTCATTATAATATTTAACAGGAGGCGAATGGGACTACGTAAATTATTTAGCACCGTTCGGTCTTTACCAGATTAAAAGAATTAGAGAAAAAATCTACTCTTGGATGGTGTAAAACATAATTTGTGGATTTTTATAAACAGACCAAAATCAAGTCAATGTGGCAATAACAAAGAGCCAAGAAAGGGCTTATTCAATAATAGGTATATATAATTGATGAGAGATGGTACAGTTCAAAATTGATTCATTGTTACCTTTGTGGTTGTTTCTTACAATAATTAATAAGCACAATTAGTACCTGTTATGATTTGTATTACTTTCTAACTTAAGTAAAGCTTTTCTAAATTTAAAAATTAATAAACTAGACCTAAAACCATTCCACAACCTTTCGTTTATCTTACATATGCAGGTATGATTTATGAAATGTTGAAAAATTATTGTTTGATGAAGTATTGGTATAATTAATAACCCAAAAGATAGTATGTCTTTTCTTCCCTAACTTTTAGAGATAATTGAATTGCTTTGAGTGAGAAACAAATTGTCTGTCATGAAAATGTTTATAATTACAAAGTTTAATTTTTCGAAAAATGAATAATTTTTTAAATGGACAATCAATGATTAACATGTATCAAATGAAAATGTTCTATCACTGGAAAGAATGGGATTCTTACATAGTTCTTTTCTTATGTTTTCAGGTAATAGGAATTTGCTTGCATGTGACTACATTTGGAAAAAGATTAATTTATTCATTATGAGCAGAGAGGGTGTTAAGCACATCCCGAAGAATTCCCGCCGAGAAATATACGAAAAACTCGTCAGCGTTTGGGAAGAACCCCAAAAGAAAACTTTAAGAGTTTATGGAGAGCCCCATTTTTTAAAAAGGGGGAATACATCTTTTAAGGTGTTTTGGGGACCAGAGTTTTGAACTTGATTTTTGGACCCCCGGTTTTTTTAATTTATTCGCCGGGTAAGATTGCATACTCACTTTCAAAAAACCCTAAAAAATAATTTTTAAAATTTTTGCCATGAAAATTTAAGAAATGAAAATAAAGTTTTTTTGGATATTTATTTTTAAAAGTTTCTGGTTCTAAAAAACTCATTTTTTCTTTAAAATAACCTAATAAAAATTTGTTTAATTTAAAAATTTTAAACACTAGCCTTTTTTAAATCAAATTTTATACATAATTATGTTTAATAAAAATTTTACACAAACGGTAATTTTTAAATAATAAATGTAAAGGCCTCATTATTATTAGAAACATCATTTTTATAACGTTTAAATAATTGTTTCAAAGCATCTTTAAGTTAGATGTTTAGCATCTTAATAAAGTATGCTTAATGTAATATTATTTATCAATAAAGTGCCCAGCTCAATCACTTTTACTGTAATTGTTGTCAAAAAGCGACAGAAGTAAAAAATGGTCCTGGTAAGTTGCCAATGAGTATTTTTTTGGAAACACAAACTGGACACCTACAATAAAAAGCTTTTCAGAAATAAAAGCTTTTAATTTCTTGGGATTATGGGTCTTTAAATTACAGAATGATGTGAAAAGTATCTTCATGTATGTAATTATAGCTATTTAAACTTGTCTATATACATTCTACTATACACAACTGTCTTTAAATAATGCCGATTTATGAATTAATAACATTTACACCTTGTCTTTGTAGAGATGAGATGCAACCGTAGACAATGGCGACCTATGTGGTAGATAAACAAGCGTAAGACAACATCAAATTGGTTCCTATCAGCAGGATCAATACTTGAAGCAGAATTTAATCCGTTTCTTTTTATTTCATCATTATTGTAAGATTGTTAAAATGTTGTAAATATCTATACTTGTATATAATTAACTTTGATATTTGTGCGATTTTGTACCCCAGAGGTTAAATTTGAGTATGTGTTGTGATCTGTATTTATTTGTTTCTTAGATAAAGTCATTAAGTCATTTGATTATGATTTTTACTTTGTATTAAAAACCGGTGATATGCCTGTAGATTTTACTTTGTATTAAAAAACCGGTGATATGCCTGTATAATTTTGCCATGTGGTTTCAATATTTATAGTTAATATTGTTTAATTGAACCACCTACATATTTCTGTATATAACTTTTGGTTGCATGAGTAAGGTAGCACTTAAAAAATGAATACACCTTACATTTCACTTCTTAAAATATATTCATAGTTTTAATCCTGTAGATTATATCACAAGCCATGTAGGATAGTGTATTTCTTTTGCATCAAATTTTTAGATAACTTTTAATTCCATCTTGGCCTACATAAATTTGATGAATATGATATATTGCCATTAATGTTTGAAAAGTTCGTAAATCAGAAATCATCGATCAAAGTTTGTCTTATTTTTCATCATAAATATTTGTTTGTTTTTTTATTTTGTTATTGTTGTTCTAGACTTACGAGTGCCATTTTTGATTGTTTCTATTTGTAAAGTTGTCATTTCTTTATCATTAGTAGAAATCACTGATTGTTATGAAATTGCTAAAAATATATACATTATTCAAATGTCATTCACGTCACAACTCGCTGAAATGTTAATGACAGATTGAGTTGGACATTTACATAAATTTTGAATTAATTATAGCTCACAATACCATTTACATGTCACACCGTAGTCATCATTAGCTTCATAGAGGCGCAGACTTAATCCTGAGTATTATCTTTGGTGCCATAGTGTCATGTTTTTAATGTTTGTGTACATTAATTGTAATGTGTAAGTATAACTTGCACAACACTTTAAAATATATTATATTGTATTAAAATATATTATATTGTATATTTTGTGTGTGTTTTTCTCGCAATGTTGTAGTTAATTGTATTCGATATTGTTGATTCCATATTGAATAAAGTGTTGTTTCTTTCTGAAATAGTGTGTGAATATGTGCCGTATCGCTGTTACTTGTATTATTATGAAGGGCTTAGTTGTAACATGGCCTTTATGTAGCGATTTTTAATCTGATAGTGCTATTTGAGTCATTTAGACTCTAGAAGTCACCATGATTTGGTAGAGGCAGGTCAGTTTGTACTTTTAACGTTGCAGATTGGTTACACTTTAACCTTGTTATTGCCCAAATCAATGTATTATTTTGATGTCAAATTGTTCTAAATATTTTAAGAAATAACGTCCATTTGTCGAATTTTTGGCCATGTAAAAGGTAAAACAAGGTCATGATTGACCCTAAAAGTTGTTAGATTTCTTTGATCTCATGATTACCGGTGATCTATTTTTGTAATTTGTTGCTTTTTGCTTAAATTTGTATATTTTTAGTGCCCCCCACAGAGTGGGAGCATATAGCGTTGCACTTGTTCCGTCCGAGTGTCCGTACTCTGTCCGTCCGTCGTCCGTACGTCCGAAATCTTGTGAACGCAACTCCTCTTAAACCGGATGGTCAGATTTTGCTTAAACTTCCAGGGATGAACAACCTTAATGTGTAGATGGTAGTAAAGGAAGGAATTTTTGCTGCGACCAAATTTAACCAGAATTATGGCCCTTTGTTGATTTTTAGTTTTCAACTTGTGGCAGCATGTAGTCCAAAAAAATATTTGACACTAGAGTCATAAGATTGACAGAACAGTGGCGTGTGGGGCATCCGTGTCTTATGGACACAATTTCTAGTTTATTTTACTTTTGTTTGTGAAGTCACCCTATAAATGGATCATAATTATGAATATATAATCTTTTCAGTATTATTATAATTTCATTTGTTTTGCATTGAAGCAATATAAAGGAAAGTAAGTGTTTTGGTTTGTCTGAAACTATTGATATGTGATACACAGTTTACTTTTACTCATTCAAATAAAATCAGCTTGCTTTGTACAAGTAAGATTTCAGATAAATTTGCAAATATCAACTGATTTTTTTTTTAAAATGTTCAGACGAAGGTTACTGATGAAAAAAAACGTAGATTGGACTGTTTTGGGGAGTGTGTTTTCAATGCTTACTAGTTTTCTTTTTTCTAGAATATTAACATTCTGACTCATAGCAGAATGTGTTAATGTTTCGTGACAGCTTGTTAAAAGTTGATCATTGAAAATGTATTATTTTGGGTCGTTCAAAATCATTTGCTCAATACTAATATCTTTTGAGACATGCAACAGTTGATTTTATATTTCCCTGATCCTTCGAGATAATTGATTTCAATAATAATAGTTTTGAGAAATGAATACAGCATATAAGTCGTTTCTAAAAGTTGTGCTAGATGTTTCACATTCTTTAGTGAATAGATTTGATAATACTTAGAAACTATTTGCCTTTATAATTTTAACTGCTTTAAAGGGAGCGAAAGTTTTCTCACTTAAAATTTATTGAACACACAAAGACTTGCATGTCAACCTGATTTTTGTTCTTGTATTTGGTATATATCGTCGATTAATATGATCATTTAATTACTGTTTTTGTATTGTTTCGTTTTATCAAATACTGCATGTACAGAAAACTGAATTCCACCGAATGTTTACTTTGAACAAAAAAAAAAAAGAATACCACCGGTGTTGGGCGTACTTAGCCTGATTTTTTATCATCAGTTTTTAGCTCATCTGTCACAAAGTGACAGGGTGAGCTTTTGTGATCGCTTTTCGTCCGGCGTCCGTCGTCCGTCCGTCGTCCGTAAACTTTTACTTTAAATGACATCTCCTCATAAACCACAAGGCCAATTTCATCCAAACTTCACAGGAATGTTCCTTTGGTGGTCACCTTTAAAAATTGTTCAAAGAATTTAATTCCATGCAGAACTCTGGTTGCCATGGCAACCGAAAGAAAAAACTTTAAATATATCTTCTTTAAAAAACCATAAGAGCTAGAGCTTAGATATTTGGCATGAAACATCTTCTAGTGAGTGTCTACCAAGTTTGTTCAAATAAAAGCCCTGGGTCAAAATTGGCCCCGCCCTGGGGGGTCATTGATTTTCCCTATATGCATATAGTAAAAACTTAAAAAATCTTCTTTTAAAGAACTCAAAGAGCTATGGCTTAGATATTGATCATCAAACATGTTCTAATAGGTGTCTACCAAGTTTGTTCAAAGAAAAGCCCTGGGGTCAAAATTGGCTCCGCCCCAGGGGATCATTGATTTTCCCTATATGCATATAGTAAAAACTTAAAAAATCTTCTTTTAAAGAACCAAAGGATTTAGAGCTAAGATATTTAGCATTAAACATGTTCTAATAAGTGTCTACCAAGTTTGTTCAAATAAAAGCCCTTGGGTCAAAATTGACCCCGCCCCGGTGGGTCATTGATTTTCCCTATATATGCATATAGTAAAAACTTAAAAAACCATCTTTAAAGAACTCAAAGAGCTATGGTTAAGATATTTAGCATCAAACATGTTCTAATAGGTGTCTACCAAGTTTGTTCAAATAAAAGCCCTGGGGTCAAAATTGGCCCCGCCCCGGGGGTCATTGATTTTCCTTATATGTGTATAGCAAAAACTTAAAAAATCTTTTTTGAAAAAACCCAAATAGCTAGAGTTAAGATATTAAGCATGAAACATCTTTTAGTGAGTGTCTACAAAGTTTGTTCAAATAAAAGACCTGGGGTCAAAATTGGCCCCGCCCTGGAGTCATTGATTTTCCTTATATGTGTATAGCAAAAACTTAAAATCTTCTTTGAAAAAACCCAAATAGCTAGAGTCTAGATATTAAGCATGAGACATATTCTAGTAAGTGTTTACAAAGTTTGTTCAAATAAAATCCCTGGGGTCATAACTGGCCCGGCCCCAGGGGTGTCATTGTTTTTAACTACAGTTGACTCTCAATATGTCAAAATCGCTTTACTCAAAATTCCGCGTTAGTCGAAGTATTTCTAAAGTCCCGTCAAATTTCCTTCTTTATCTTTGTATTTTAACTCCGCTTAGGTCAAATTTTGACTTACCGAGACTCCTGTTTAGTCGAAAAGAAAATTTGGTCCCGTCAATTAAAGTCCAACATATTTTCATCTCAATTAGTCGAATTGGAAAACAGCCGACTGATCATAGGTCGGCAACATCAAGGTGAAATGTTGTCTCTTGTGATTCACACGTTCCATAGAAATTTTAATTGCCGGTCATCATGTATTATTAACACTTCGTAAAAGTGGCTTTAATCGGTTTCAGGACTTAATTGGTTTTAACGGTTAGATAACAAAATTAAGACGCGTGCCAGTCTGACAGGTGTTAGACAAAAAACAGCTTCGGTATTGATGTGTGTTATCAACGTAAATGACATTTGTATAATTAATGTTCCGTCATATTGCATCAGTGGTATAAGAGTAGCGGCTCCGGTTATATTTACAAATAGCCGTTTATATAGGGCCATATAACCTGTCAACAATCTATATAACTAATAATATACGTACGTTTTGCGGTACGGACATTTTGCGGTGTTACAGGGCGTTCATACTTATGTGCCCGAGGTTCTTATCCGAAGACTTGCGGAAACGACCGAAAAGATATCGAATGTACACCATTCTGATATTTGATATGTTAATAATAAGTTATTAAATTTATGTATTTTAGTTTCAAGATCAATAATTATAATTATATAGATCTATACCCAGCAAATATAAACAAACGGTCTTGTTGTTTGTTTTTCAATTAAAGACTTAACACTTTACCTTGAAAGAATAGTAGATGTCTTATTATTTTTTATTGATCTTTTCTTATTGTTCATTTTTGAATACATGTGCGAATGTTTATTAATACCAAAAGTAGAATTCCGATGATAATTTTAGAATTCATGTAATCGATAAGTCATTTATGCCACGTCGACAGACAGAAGGTAAATTTAAAAGATTTATCACTATTATTATAATAATTAATTACATATTGTTTGTTTTTTTGTTGTTGTTATTATTGTTGTTTTTTTATATATTTTCAAGACAACATTTCAAGACTCAGACATTAGTTATGAAAGCTTTACTAGTATATTAACACCTATGGTGACCCTATTCGTATTAGTGCAGAATGGCCGTGGACATTTAAATTAGTTAAGTCTTATGAATTAGTTTTAATAGATGTAGCAGGATTCATATTTGTTTAACTGATTGGCCAGAAACATGAATAACTCAGTCTGATTTTCTATATTACACGATACAAGCTTTTCTAATACTTAGATTTCTTTTAATAATCTTTTTTAGGCTACCAAAACAGGCCTGCATTGAAGGTTCATATTACGTATTAAATCGTGTTACAGTAATTGGAAGATATTCGAAATATGTATAATTGTTCATATATCAATTATATCAATGTAAAAAAGTTAAAATGTTTTAAATAAACTATATTTTTTCGTTGTTTTTTCTACTTTTGTACGAGTAGAATTTATTTTATTGAGAAGCTGTTTAAAAAAGTAGCTTAATACGAACCGACTGTTTCATGATTTAAATTTGATAATTATTATATCTTTGTAACCCAAGATTTTTTCTCCATATTAAACTACGTAACACTATCCGGGTAACCTACGAGTGTGTAACGAAGCGTGCTTATTGGCTTATTACTTCTATTAATATATACAATGTCATGTACATGTATAGCAATAAAATATGAACTATTTTAAGAATTTTGATCTATTTAAAGTATCTTGCTAACCACTCGTAGCTTTAAATTCAAATATAACAATTAAATAGAGAAAGGTTTTATTTATTTCATGTATGTATTCATGTTTGTTTTGTTGTTATTCAGGAATGCTTATTTAAAGCTTTAAATAATGGCAATTTTCTCTTTAAATGTTCTGTAAATTTAAAGCCAATAAATCCAAACGGACTGCGGTGAGTATTTTCTAAGATCTGGCCCTTCACAATAACTCTTTTTATTGAATATGACATTGACATGAACCGATTATTTATAGGTCACTGTAAAATTGAGATATGATTAAATATAGGAAGATTTGCTTGCATTCATGACCAGGATGGTCTTCTTATATACAATGTATAAATATATATTGAAAGACAAAGAAAGAAATACAGAAATCGGACCACGGGTCTCTTGATTATCAGTTAAGTATGTTAACCACTACCCCCACAGCGTCCGTTGTGATTTTAAGTTACAATTATTTAAACACGCGATCTGACATATTTTTTTAATAAAATGAATACTATCACCATTGATCACCACCATTTAACGTTGATTGTGGAACTTATTTTACAGCCCATGACTTCTTGTTTTTAATGAGAAATTCGACTTTTTTGAGGCTCTCAATGGGGAAAACAGATTTAAATATTAACGCAAATATTAAGGAAATTTCGTTTTAACTTGTTTTTAAGCTATTCTCACACGTCAGAATACTGTTTTTAAAGCCCACTCGATGAAATAAAATTTCATCTTACACACAAACAAACAAATATCCTCTATATAATAATAATAATAATAATAATAATAATAATAATGATAATAATAATAATAATTAAAAAAAATAAGTAAAAAAATAGAACTACCAACAATATTAATTCTGGCGGCTCTATATTGGTAGTGGAGCGGACTAAACGCTTTTTGTACTAGCAGGTTAAGTTGCCATTTCCGTTGATATAGAGCATGGCATGCTGGTATACATGCATTCTGACCTGCTGGCTGCTACATGTAATTTAAAGATCCTGTAAGTTGTAATTACTTTAAACAATATATTATGTATAATCCACACATTTACATAATAAGGTACATAATATAAGATTTACGGATTGAGTAGGAAGCTTGGAAAGCTTTTTTTGAAAACTCTCTCTGTTGTAATTAAGGTTGCAAATTACAATATATGTAACACAAATATTTGTACATATTATATGTAATCATAAAATATATGCATTCTTTCCTTATGGAAAAATTTGACTTCGACTTTATAGAATTTTTTTTTTATTTCTTCCAATTATTTACATGAAATGTAAAGTTCGGTTATATTTCTATACATAATGCTTTTTGGAACTTACACAATTGATAAATCTTAATTTGAGCATCATATTTATGATATAAAACCATAAAAATGTGGGTGACAGGACCTTTAAAAGATAGACAAAATAAAAAGGAAAATTTCCAATTTGAAGTAAGTCGAGTCCCTTAAATAGTTCGAATAAGTTTTAACTTTTGAAAGCTGCATGCCTTCAGATGAGACGAATTGTTATAAAGGTCAGAAAATCAGAAAGATGAACTAAGATTTTGTGTCGAGGTTTGAAGTAATGAAAGGTTGAAGTAATAATTTAAATGTAATGTGTAGCATAAAAAAGTAACATTCTAGAAGGGTGGCAACGTTTCAGCTCATACTACAAATATTTCCAATATGCAATGCAGAGTTGACTCGATTCATATGAATTTAAGTTATTCCTAAGCTTACCTTGCGCTAAAGGAATTGCTAGTACCTATAACAATAATGTGTATGCATAATTATATCTCGTGGCCATGAATTAGAAACGTTTGGTCTTGTAGTTTTTGGTTTTCTAATATCTCATGGTCGATTTTTCTTGCCACTGTAAGCAACTGTTATCTGACATTTGCATTTAATGTTACAAAATATTATCCTCATTTTTATTCGCGTTCCTATGCTTATGTTATAACTGACATATCAATAACTATATATTATATAAAAGAAAGCAGATTCGTGAAAGTGTGTTTTATTCAATTCTTTTATTTATTTATTTTTGCAGAACAATCATGAAAACGTGGATTATTATCGCACTGGTTTTGAGCACATGTGTTGTTCAGGTAGACGGTGGATTTTTGAAAAAAGTTTTCAAAAATGTAGGAAAGGTTGCGGGTTCAATAGTTACACCACTTCTTGGCATTGATAAGTTAGAGAAGCAAGCTGAACTTGGCATACATTCTGTTGAATCGGGAATAACAACTTTCAATGGCAAACTTGCTAACAAGCTAAGAAATTTAGAGACGTATTTAAAAAATGAACTTATTCTCGAAGTTAAGAAATTAGCAGACTCTGGAACTGAAATGACAAGAAGTGCTCAGGATATATCAAATAGTACACAGGAGGTTGTTGACGGTGTGATTAATAATTTGATTCCAGAAACTGTTGAAACCATGGAAACCGCTCAGGATATGATGAAAACAGTATCGGACAATGTTAATAAAGTTGGAAATGCAGGTGTTAGCGTACTGGACAATGTTTCTGAAGTTGTGATTTCTGAAGCCGCAATGCAATATTTCCGTTGGATGATGGTAAAATTTGTTAACAGCAGAGCTGCATTACCGGTACTGGTACTGGTACTGCAGTACGTACTGCTGTGAATTTGCAAGTACTGGTACTGATACTGAATTACTCTTTTAAAACGTTGCTACTACTGATACTGGTACTGCATTTCTGTCTTAAAAGTGGTACTGCTACTGCATTACAAGGCAGTACTTTGGTTTTGATAAAAACGTCATCATGTGTTAAAAAGTGAAGCTTTAAATCCCATGTATTATTATTATTGTTTTGTGTGTGTGTGAAAAAGTAAGTTTTCCAATCTACTCATAAATTTACTCATAACTATAGAAAACCAAAACTTAAGAAATTGCATTACATGAAACTTAAGCTTAGAGAAATCATAATGCATAAATAAATTATGCATTTTATTCTTGCATGTGTAACTGTTTAAATCGAAAGAATTTCATTATTACGGGATAAATTTGCGAATATAGTGGTTAATTACATTTATAGTTGTAGTTTAAATATATATCAGGCACATTTATTGAACTGATTTTAAGTTTCAATCAAATACAATTGAACACTTAAACTTCTTCTTTTATTCTTACTAATCCTATTTCAAGTGATATTTGTTATTAGCGACATAAAAAAGATGTTATTTACTACATTAGTATAATTGAACAGAGGTGTGAAAGGCAACAAAAGACTGTTGTGTTTTAAATGAAAGATGATTGCATTGTATTACAGTTGACTGGATACTGACATGAATATTATATTTTGTAAAATTAATGTTGTTTTGTAAAAAGTATGTTAAATCATTGAAAAATGAAAAATGTAATGTAAACTTTAAAGTTAAGAATAATTTTAATTTTTAGCTGAATAATGTTGCATCTTTAAAAATATGTAGTTAAAATCATTAAAATATGTCAATATACATAATATGTAATTTTTGATTGACAGTGTGTATCTAGGTGTACATAAAATTATTCGCCGATTTCAGTTAATTTTAAAAGGACCAATGAAAATTCTCCTTACATTCAGTCATTCCCTGTTGGAAGTCAAACCGACGAGAGACGGACTTCGTCTTTGCTATTGTTTGTTTGGGATATTTGTTGTTGATTTTTTTCTTTATTTTGTGTGTGCATGTGCGCGTGCTTTTGTTGTTTTTAATTTGCAGAAAGCCTGTACATTAAGCGTGTATTATGTTTAATTTCAGTATTATTTGAGATTGTATTTCAAATGCCATATAGATACTTTACAAGTGTATATGTTAACTCTAAGTATTCTGCCCATAGCCGACAGATAGATGACGAAAACAAGATCCAATTTGCTTCATGGAATTTATTTCATTTATGTACCTTATTACGCCATAATGGAGAAAAAAAAGCTGAATCATTTTGCCGCTGTGTTTTAGCGGAGTTCGTAATATCTTAACAATGTGAGAATTAGTAGTGGTTTTCGCCGTTCCAGTACACTAAGCGTGTACAGTATTATTAATTTTCTAAAACATAGGTTTGATTTACTCAAAACATTGTCGTATGTTTGTATATATTTTATTCATAGACAAGTCCTTGCAGTCTAAAAATGTCTTTTTGTACAGGCGGGCATGTTATTGGAAAAGTTTTAGGCAGAAAAGCTTGGGATCCATGTCACATGTTTTCTTTGTACTCTTGGTGGGTTTGCCTCATGCTGTTAGAATAAGTTCTGTGGTCAAGGTCAAGTCAGCGCACATTTTAATGTAGATTAATATCATATTTTGTTTTTAAAAAAATCAGTTTTGTTGTCAAAGCACTGGTTACGATTGGGTGAACCCATTTTAAAATATTCTTTTTATAATTCTGATTTCTACTTAATCTTTGTATCAGTATAATTTTGAAAACTTTGACAGTGACTAGAACACAATAACATTAAGAATTGTGGTGCAAAATATACATGTGATTGACCTTTGACTTTTTAGCGGTATTCTGGTACGAACCCGGAATGTTATTATTATGTACATATACAAACTTAAATACTTTATTACTCTACTTATGTCTTGAAGTTAATGCTTTATGATGATTATTGTCTTTGTTTGTTTGTTTGGTTTTATTATTGAATTATATATTTTATACATTTCTTATATTTGAGTATGTGTAATAAAGTGTATTCGGTTGTTAGCAATAAATTTTATCTAGAAATATGAGTTATGTTACTGAAGTCGGTTAAGTTTGTATTTGCAAAACATGTTTACTTCCATAAAGTATGTCAAGAAAATCTGAGCGAAACTGAAGTTCAGTATATATATTGTTTGGCAGTATTGCTATTAGACATTTAAATTTTTAATAACCTTTTTCGATAATAATTATCGGATTCCGACGATAATCTGACAGATTTTAAAGTACTGCATACTTTCACATGTTTTTTGTCTAGATTAAAGTAAGTAACGCAACACTTGCCTAAAAAGGCTCAGTGGCAAAGAGTAAAGACATTCAGTTCCGATTTGAAGAAACAGTAGGTTAACATTATTTTTTATACTTCTTTTTTATGCCAGCGCAATCTGTAATGTGTGCGTGCGCGCTCATGTGCGTGTGTAACATAGAAATAAAGTGAACTTAAAAAAGTCCTTTTCTTAAGAAACACAATTCCGATTTCAACCAAACTTGCAAGGATTGTTCTTGGGTTTACTTTGAATCCGGAGCTATCAATAACAGGTACCTAGCTCGAAGAATGTCATTTGCTCGATTATTGCTCGATATATATGTAATGTCATACATGTATGTTGTGTCGCGTTGTCAGATACCCCCAGTTTATGATCCTCAATAACTGTTGAATGTAAAAATGTAATAATCATTTATGTGTGCAATTGGTAAAATTTGCAGATGTTTTGCATATAAATCAAGCATTTAAAATATAATTGCCTTGGCAAAACTTTCTACATTCATACGTAGCATTTAATGTAACTTGGCACAAAAATGTTCACCATTGTGAGGTTAATTATTGCGCGCTTAATTAATCCATGTCCCTGCTACCAAAGTCAAGGTCACAGATCAAAGTTAAAATCAAAACAGATGTGTAAAGTGACCATTTAATCATCATTTTTGGGCGAATTGTACCACAAATGACGACTATCATGACCACAAGTGTGACACGTGTAATTTAGGTTAATATTTGCAAGGTGACGGTCACTAGCGATGATGAAATATCCAGATATTTTCCTGATATTGCTATAAGCATATTTATGATACCTAAATCCCTGTCAAAAGGCTTTTGTGACTGACGTATTTTGCGACAATGTTGCCCTAGTTCAATATAAATAGCCACATTATTTCTCCTGTCAAATAAATAAATTAATTAGTATGTATCGAAAACTTAACAAAAAAATAACATATTAACCAGATTTACTTCGGCCAAGTATCTTTTTCAAAGATACTTCTTGTTAACAGTTATCTGTTCAGATCTCATATGATTATATATATATGTAATAATAATATGCCCTTAAGATCAGCAGTAAAAACGTTATTTTAAATTGATTGCATGTAAAACAGGGGTGAGTCATGCGAAGCGAGATCTCTGCACGTGCCAATGTGCAACAGTGCGTCCTACACTACCGGATTAAAATGATAAGCTACGAAAGTGTTCACAAAAGTGTTATAACTTTACACACTTTACTTTAAACAAAAAGTAAGCTATTGACTTTTTGTTTGTTCGATGACGCACACATGCCCAATAGTGATCAAATCACTGATTATCTAATTTCTCAAGGCTATGGGAAACCAGATTAAACCAATGTTATTTGATTGGTAAATAAATTTAACAGTTACCTAATCTTTTAAACGCGATGCTACCTACCCGTTTTTTACGCACGCCATAGTAACATTATGTCTTATATAGACGGTGATGAGGTGTGATTTATTTTGATAAGCGTTGAACAACTTGAATTGAAAATATGATAAATAAAATTTTTAAAGTTTTCTCCGCTATAGCTCTTTTGTATCTCTTTTACTTTTTTGATTCTATCAATCGTTTCCTCATCATATTTGGTGTTGTTGGAGTTATAGGTTTAAATGTGTTAAAATTCAAAGGTTTTGGAAATAGGAAAAACACACGTAGAAAAGAATGCAAGACCGAGGTAAGTTTATCGAATAAATAATAGTAGATGATTATTTATATAACATACATGTACTTCTCAAGAATTGAAAAGAGTCACATATATATATATATATTCTGTTTAGAAAGTTTTTAATATATTCCCCACCCCGTCTCCATCCCCACCCTCATCTATAGGGAAAGAAAAATCTTATCATATTTCTTTGACTCCGCCACTTGATGCTGCATCCCTCATACAAAATCTGATGAGTTTCAAATTTAAGCCCCCCCCCCCCCCCCCAACACACACTACTAGGCGAAATATTCTTGATCCGGGCCTCAAAGTGATGGCCTGGGATAGAAATATTGGTAACAAAATAGTAATTTCATTCATTTCGCGCTTAAAACAGAGGCAAACCGCCACACATTGAATGTGCGTAAATATTAATTTATTCTTAGTTCTTACAGCATGATTATGAAACTTTACTTCAATATTGCACCACATATTGAAATCATTTGCATAGCTTAACACACTACAAGCCAGGGAGAAAATAACATATTTTTGGTACGAGAATTTTGATCAAAGTCTATTATATACGTTGTGTCCAAGAATTCACTTAAGATTTTGAAGAGGCCAGTGGTAAAGAACATTACGTTTAATTTCGTTGGCAATTTTAAAGTCTGCAGTAACTAGAATGGTAGTAATTTTGCCGGTGTAAAAAAAATAAAAACGCATACAATGTGAAATGACAGTGTGACAATAATTAGATATTATCGAGCTGGGGACCAACGTGATGTTTTGAATGTTTATTAAAACACCAGAAATACTTATTTTTTATATTTTATCTGTATACAAATATTTAAGGTAAAATATTGCCCGTCTAGTAGTAAATGTTTTATGTATAGGTGGGTTAAAGGTTAGGGGTCACTTTTCAATGTTTTAACTGACCAGTAAACCGTTGAAAAATGACTCGCGGGTCAATGTGTCATTACACCTTTCTGTAATGCAACGGCGGATGACAGACAACATATACATATATATGATAGTAGCAAAACTGTAACATGTTTTTCCCTCCCAAAGTACGTTTCTTTCAACAAGGAAAAACAAGCACTGTTAAAGTATTTTTATACATAATATTTAAAGATAGAAACCTACACACATTTATACCTCGTTTTCCATACATCGTTTTTTCCATTATTAATTTTCTACATTACGATATTAAGCGCCGGTGCAAAATAAGATGCAGATTGTTGATGAGCTGGATACATGTTATCCACAGAAAAATCGATAGTCAATTTTCAAAAAAAGCAACAAAAAAAACGCAGCAAAATAACGCTGCGCTCTAATGACCTATTTAATGATAGCATTTAAAATGTAATTTCCCATTTCTAAAAATAGATTTTCAGAAAATGCGTGAGACATATATCTAAAAATAGTTCATATAAACATAAACAAGTGACAGCTGATAACAGGACACAATGAGGAAGAGAAATTTGGATTATTTACATGTACCATTTGATGTTTAAAAGTATGTAAGATAATTTTTTTGTAGCAAATTGGCATATTTGATGAGGATTCCATTCATTCTTGATATTTAAATACACTGTATGTTGTAATTCATGAGTGACATACAATGATAAATAGCATTGATTTGACAAACATATATGTGCGCATTAAGCATAATGCACTTTAAATGCTTGTGTGATATAAAGTTTTACTTTAGCTACATTTACAGGAAATGAAGATAATTGATAAGCAGTTTATCCGAAGTATTATATAATCTTAAGTACATTAATATCTACAACTGCATAACTTTATTTATTTTGCAGAAGAAAAAAAAAACAACTTCATAAAATGCATATAGATTTTTATATGTGTAACTGTTCTAAATAGTCTGACGTTTGTAATAATAAGCATGCAGAACCGCGTATCGTACGTAGCAGACGACAGAAAACTTTGTAATATTTGACTCCTTCAGATTCGTTATTTCTTTGGCTATCAACAAGAAATCTCTTAAAATATGCTTTGACCGCATGCTAAAAGGGTGCAATGACATTATTTTCTTCTTTTTCCTTTTTTTTTTGTTTTTTTTGTTGTTGATTTTTTTTGTTTTTTATTTGTTTCTTTGGGTGTTCCTGTGCATGTTCAAATTTTAAAGTACACTATGAAAATGCATAGGAACACGCACTGAGGTCGTGTTTTTCGATTGGTAATACCCGTGGCGTACCAGATAAAGTAGGGTATATCGATCTTTCTTTATCATTACGTAATATCGCGTTAATGTTTTTTTTCAGAAATCAAAGTACGTGTGTTTTGTTAATATTGCAGCTATAAATAGCTGAATGGTATTTCCGTTGACTAGATTAAATTGCGTTGTAATATTTTTATTTAAAAAAGACACAAGTATTTTCTAAAAAAAAAAATAAAAAAAAATAAAAGATCAATATCTCTTTTTCTCAGGCTTTTGAATATATATATAGTAACCTCTTTCGATCAGTTCAATTATACGTATGATATATGTATATTAAAGGTGAATTTTAGAGTTTGGGGCTGCGTTCTTCTTTTAAAACAAGTACATGTCTATATTGGTTCCCAAGTTGTTTTTTAAGTGTTACATGAGCAAAAACAATCTTTCATTGCCTTTTGTTCAATCAAATGAATAAGTTTGGTGACACTTATTCATATCAAATTTCTTTAGAAAAAAGTGAAATCATTGCTACATTAAATAGAACAAAGTAAAACTAAACTTTTAATCCTTATCAGCTGTAACAGATAAAACACTGTAACCCAGATATTTTGTTGTTGTTTTTTTTTGTTAGACTGAACGAAATAAGAAGGCAAAAAAGACAAAGAGAAAGGCTTACGGTCGATATAAACAAGGATTTTCGGAAAATAACAAGAACAGTTCTTGTGAATTAGCTCAGGAATGGGATTTCTGCGGAATAGAACCACATATTAATGCAGACGACGGTATTCCAAACGTCTCGACTTGTTTTGATTGGCCGATTTACGATCAAGACGATTGGTCTGAACTCATTCAAACTTCAAGGGAAACCACGAAATCTAAAAATAAACATGAAATCGATTGTGAAAAAGAAACTATAAAGACTAATGATGCATCGTCAGCAATCAGTTATAACGACACAGGTGATCCTGTAAGTATCACACATACTGAGGAAACGAAAAATCATAGTTTAGTTGATAATGACAATACAATTGATGACACTCTATTATTTATAAAATTAAATACCAAAAAGAAAAAGAAAAGGGCGGAAAGTGTTTCTGAAATACAACAAAGGATCGAAAAGAGCGTTCCTGAAAAAAAGAAAGCAGCGAAAAGTGATTCCACGAGGCAGCGAAAAGAGAGAAAAAGGGAAACAAATAAAAGGGAAGAAGATACTCAACAGAGTAGTCTCCCTTCCCCTTCGGAGGTGCAATTAACACTAGTAGGTTGATTTTATTACTTTATGTTATTACAAATATTTCCAAAGCAGAATATACAAGTGTATATGTACTAATTGACGTATAAGAAGAATGTTAATCAAAAAGATATTCTTATTTTTAATGTTTTAAACCAGTTCTATTATTCCCTTTTTTCGTATCTAAGATTTGATTTTTTAAAATTTATACTAGTAAGTACTAAAACTAGTAAAAATACTAAAAAAATTTTTTTTTACAAAAACAGCAATAACACAAACACTTCTAACTTTTTTTGAAAGTAATATGTGATGGTATGGTAGGCAACTTTGTTTCCAAATTATTTCCAGGTGATATTATACACATTGTGTTAAACGAAAGTAGAAGTTTTTTTAAACATTATCCAAATATATTCACTATAAAATTCACTCAACCTTTTAATCGTAAGAAAAGGGATGGTGATACTGAGAAAAACAATCAATTTTTTCGTCATTATGAACTGATGATTAAAATATATAAATAGTTTCACGAGATATCTTTGAAAACTCTTGTCATGGTAATTATTAACATACTTTTGCTTTGAAGTTTCTATTCCACTCAAAAACAGCCATATCTGTTATAAAAGTGGGGTTTTGTAAGATAAATATCTTAAAACCAACTTTTGAAAATTTCATTACATGTGACAGTTACTTAAACTAAATGTTGATAAAGTCATTTTTGTTTATCTCTTTTAGAAGTTCTCTTCTGTGTTAATTACTTCATATGCCATCTTAATAAAAAGTCATATGTTCTACTTAGTATGGTGGCTGATTTCTGCCATATTGTATATCCGTGTCTTCGCCCCTCAAAAGTCGAAAATATGCTCACTTATGCTCTGAGTCTTCGCCTTCGACTTTTGAGAACACCGGCACGAAGACACGTTACATTTTAGGCGAAATAACGATATTTGATAGATTTTCTTCTCTAGAATTACCGTGTTGTCCGTTTCGGCGCCCTATATTTGTCGTATCGTCGTGTTTTCGCCTCATTAATGGCGAAGACATAATAATTGGCCCTTCTTTTGAGACGACACAACAGTTATAGGGCGCCAATACGAAGATTTCTACCCGCCGACATGATCATTGCACATCATTGCGTTTTTAGCCTTCGCCTTCGAATTTTGAGGGGCGATGACACGATTACACGAAAATTGGCAGAAATTAACCCCAAAGCTAAGTTAAAACTTTGTGAAATGTAGAAATAAAAATTCTTGAAAGCATGCATTTACACACTAACTTTCCAAAGACATTACTAAAATTTTATCCACAATATGCTAAAATATTCCTTATTCCGTTAGTTACGGGGTTGAGATATTTGTGATGGAATAGTAATATTAAATATAATTTGCATAAAAACGGAACTTGAATATTGAGTACTTAAATCATTTTCTTGCCTATATTTTTTCCTGGTTTTTAGGAGCGCAGCTTTTAAATGATTATTTGTCTTCAGGTGCACAGAAACATTTTAATACACACTCCGCATTAACTCTTATGAATGCATGAACCAAGACCTCATAACTTCTGGTGTAAAGCTGGATATAAATTTACTGAACTTATTGAATGAAGGAATAATACATCTTTAAAGTGACATTTATATGCTGTTTTTTATTGTCAAGATGATCTGAATTTACTATATATTTCAAAAGATTGACTGTTATAATGGTGATTGACCAATAGTTGATATGAATAAATTATAAATTTGGGTAAAATGTAAAAATACTGCCTCACTCTTTTTATAAATTAAATGTAACAGGTATATTGCGAAAAATTTATTATGCCACGAGAGTTATCAATCGTTCATGCAAAGTAAATTATAAGATTGAAAGGAATTGTGGCAAAATGTAAACTTATTTTAAACTTTATTTATCTAAGTTCCATTTAGATGGGGAAAAAAAGTTTTTTTATTCGCCCCTTTTACTAACCAATACTGGTGTCGTACGTTACCACAGAAGATAGATAAATTGATAATTTTATTTCCTGCAAAATGAAGAGCATAACAGTATTTACAGAGTAACAATACAAGTATAATACAACTTAAATATTATGCAAAATATGATAACAGAAACAAAAATCATACATAGTTGAATCTCAATTGCTTGTTAAACCGATAACCCACGATTCCTGGTTAACAAGCAGTAACTTCAATTCTGCACGAGGCTACCTCTCATACAATTATTGTATCGTAATTCAGTATTAAATCGATTTGTTTACTGTACGTTTTTCGAAAATGAAACGAAAAGGTATATTTTTCTTCCGTGACATAGACAGGTAATTTAAAGCAGGAACTTATTTTACGTGGGCGCGTTGAACTTTCCCGAAATTATATTTTTTAACTTTTAACAAGTGGCATATCTGTATTATCTAATTGTCATTGTAACACAATGACGGGTGGTTAGTAAACAATCGATTCACGTCACGTGATATCACACAGTAACTGATAAGCGGACTGAATCAACCTGTCCTTTTTGTATTTTTAAAAAGTAAACATAAAGTTAATGCGCAAAATATTGGATAAATATATCTGTACTTCCGAGAATAGCATTGAATTTTCCGTAAATCAATTTAATTTGAAGACATATAAATGATATATTTTTTATAATGTGCATAATAACATAGGTTCTCCTTTGATAGTTGGGGATAAATATGTTTAGGATCATTAGCCTTTTTACAAGGATTTAAATTTACAGGTATTAAAAATCAAGTTATTCATGCACACATAGTCAATTGCGATTTTGTGTGGTATTTGTTTTTGTTGTTGTTTTTTCTTTCGTTTATTCTTTGTTTTTTTTAAATTTGTTTTTGTTGTTTTTTGTTGTTGTTGTTTTTTTATATAAAAGACAACAGTTTTTGTATGTGTGTGGTGTGTGTGTGTGTGTGCGTGCGTGCGTGCGTGCGTGCGTGCATGTGTATGTGTGTGTGTGTGTGTTTTAATTAATTCGACAATTTGTGTGAATAAGAGTGGGTGATGTTAATTATCTATTATTCTTAAAGTGATGATGATTATCAACATCATCATTATCATTAACATAAACATCATCTTCATCATTTTATTATCCCCCGCCGAAAAGGCGGCGGGGGATATAGAAATAGTCTCCGTCCGTCCGACCTTCCGTCCGACATTTTTGTCCGGAGCATATCTCTAAAAGTATTTGAGTTATCAACTTGAAACTTCATAGGTGGATAGACCTCATTGAGGAGGAGTGCAGTGCACAAGAATGATAACTCTACCCTGCATAATTTTTGAGTTATTGCCCTTTGTTATTTTTCAAAATTGATTTTTGTCCAGAGCATAACTCCAAAAGCCTATGAGATATCAACATGAAACTTCATAGGTGCATATATCTCACTCAGGAGGTGTGCAGTGCACAAGAATGATAACTCTACCTTTTATAATTTTTGAGTTATTGCCCTTTGTTATTTTTCATACTTAATTTTTCACCTGAGTGGAGCAAAACTCAAAAAGTTTTTGAGATATCAACATGAAATGACATAGTTGGATAGATCTTATTGAGGAGGAATGTTGTGCGCAAGAATGATAACTCTTCCCTATACAATTTTTGAGTTATTGTCCAGAGCATAACTCAAAAAGCCTTTGAGATATCAAAATGAAACGTCATACATTGAATTGTAACCTTTTTAAGTTCTCAGTGGGCTGCTATATATTGGACTTGCTTGATTTTATTTATTACATATTTTTGGATTTTTTTAGCATATTGGCTTCTAAATTTTCCACTTGTGGCATGTACCACATTACATATCTTTATATATATTTCAAAATTCTAATTTTCATTTTTTGCTAATATCTTCAGGTAATTAGATGTAAATTTTTCTTCCTTACTTCAATTTCACTTTGTTACATATAACTTAACATTGCCTTATTTTTTTTATCTTTTATTGGTTATTTTTCTATTGATATTCCATAGATGTAAATTTGCATAGATCTCACTCAGGAGGTGTGCAGTGCACAAGAATGATAACTCTACCTTTCATAATTTTTGAGTTATTGCCCTTTGTTATTTTTCATACCTAATTTTTCACCCGAGTGGAGCATAACTCAAAAGTGTTTGAGATGTCAACATGAAATGTCATAGGTGGATAGATTTTATTGAGGAGGAATGCTGTGCACAAGAATGATAACTCTTCCCTGTACAATTTTTGAGTTATTGCCCTTTGTTCTTTTTCATACTATTTTGTCCGGAGCTTATCTCAAAAAGTATTTGAGGTATCAACTTGAAACTTCATAGGTGGATGAATCTCATTGAGGAAGAGTGCAGTGCACAAGAACGATAACTCTACCCTGCATAATTGTTTAGTTATTGCCCTTTTTTATTTTTCAAAATTAATTTTTGTCCAGAGCATAACTCAAAAGGCCTTTGAGATATCATTATGAAACTTCATAGATGCATAGATCTCACTCAGGAGGTGTGCAGTGCACAAGAATGATAACTCTACCTTTTATAATTTTTGAGTTATTGCCCTTTGTTATTTTTCATACTTAATTTTTCAATTCAATTTTTTTCTCAAAAAGTATTTGAGGTATCAACTTGAAACTTCATAGGTGGAGGGATGCAGCACACAAGAATGATAACCTACCCTGCATTATTTTTCAGTTATTGCCCTTTGTTATTTTCAGCCATCAGTATTCACATAGGTTTCAAATCTGTAATCACTATAGCCATCAGTTTTCATTACCAAAAGACCTCTTAAAATGGAATTATTCTGCTCTACTACATATACATTCTTCCAATAAGCAAACACATTCGGCGGGGGATGGCCATGTTGACATGGCTCTTGTTTAGATATGATCATCATCTATATCATCATCATCATCATCATCATCATCATCATCATTATCATCATCATCATTATCATCATTATCACTTTTATTATCATTTATGAAAAAGGGTAAGAAAAACATAATTAATTAATGTATTGGCTCTAATTTATACATGTATATTTTTTATTTCACAATAAACTCCGATCAACGATTTTGTCTCAATAAAAAAAATACATGTACTAGATTAGAATTGCTACTTATAGAATGTGTTGAGTTGTTTTTGTATTTCATATTACTAGGAGCTAAATATATGTATAAAACTTAGGTAATACATGTAATTCCGTAAAGTCTCAACATTCCAGGGCTGATATTTTAGCTGATACTAACTCATTGAACACAATATCATCCTCTCTATTTTTTGTAAAAAATTCCTTATTGATACAACTGAGTGAAAGGCAGTTATTGGCGACGCCGGTGAGCGGCGCGTCGTCTCTTATGGAATGCTTTTAATTTTGGCCTATGGAAGAAGCTGTTATTATTAGTAGTTAATGTCCTGTTGTGTTAATTAGTTTATTTTAATTTGTAAAAATCAAGTAAACAAATATATTGTTATATTTGTATTTAATAACTTCATGTAAAAGCATATGCATTGTGATATTATTTTCACGAAATTGTGATATATTGAAATGTGAAAAACAGTTTTTGCCTACAGATAAATCTAATGTTTATAAATGATGTTCGCGGTTAAATTCCCAATTTTGAGCCGAGCAAACGTTAAGCCATCGATGGCCGAATTGCAAAACAGTTGAATTTTAAACCCTTTTTTCAGATGGAGGCTGACAATATATCTGGTTTAATAGAAAAAAGTCACAAGGCTTTGGCGGAAGGTAATGAAGAAGACGCCAAACGATTTGCTTTACAGGCTATTATTGGTATAAACAATGAGAAAGAAACGTTCCTTACCGGACTACACGTTACGGTCACGGAACAGCAATTAGCCGACTGGTACGGCGAGTGTGCCTTTATTCTGAACACGGTAATCTATTTTATGTTTCACCATCAAATATTAAAAATGTTTTCTTTAATGAACAAAATTCAAATGTTATTGACAAATTCTTTTCACCATTATATTTTATAAAATATATATGCATTGCTTATTCTACCTTGTAGTATTTAAAATTAATATCAAAAAAAAAAAAAAAAAAAAACACATTGAGACAGAAACAAATAGCCTATTAAACTATTTACAGAATAAACAATTTTTTTTTAGATGACAATCACAGAAATACCATTTTTAAATAAGAGCAAATCGTATTCCCAGCCGGTATAAATATGTTAACAGTAGCTAAAGTGTACAGCGATGATTAGCAATTTATTGCTTGTCTCTGAGATGAGAGTAAAGGAATTTTTTTTTGAAAACCGGCGAGATGGTCAGTAGGAAAGACGAGTATCACAGTTAACATGTAAAGCATTCAAGTTTTGTAGAATAAAAAGCGTTCAAACAATTTTGATGCATTTAATTAAAAAAAACCCAAATCCGTGTATGCTTATTTGTTTGATAGATTTGTGTTTTCGAACTATTTCACGATTTGGATTATTATTTCTAGGTAAAACCTTTGGCCGGAAAAAAACAACAATGAAATATACTAGCTGAAACTATTTAAAAAGTAAATAAGAGTTCTGTATTTTTACAAGGGCAAAGGATGAACATTTAAACCCATATGCATACCTGCATCGGCTAAATGTACCTGGAACGATTTTCTTAATTTACTGTTGATAAATGGAAATATGGGCGATTGAAATATTTTTTCTCGAAGCAGAGAAAAACGCTCGATTTTTTTTACTAATGATATTTTGCTGATTTGTAGAAAATTTCACATTTTTTATAGCTATTTTTAAATGCTTACTAAAACATGCATTTTTTATTCAGATTGGGGAATTCATAACAGCTGCAAAATGTTTCTACACAGGTAATAAATTTCTTTATGTCCAAATTCATAAGCTTTTTGTTGAGCTTTTTAGTAATACACGATAATGTTATATGGCAATATGACCTATAAGCCTTACTAATGGATGTATACTACAGGTGACCATAATATATTATTTCAATTAAGACCAGGCCCCTGAGACTATCTTCCGCTCAGTTTGTTTTGTAGCTTCTCTTATGAATAGTTCAACGTGATCTACAGTGGTAATGAGCAAGTTATCTCTGAAGTCCTTCCTTTTTACCTTAGGTGAACTTCTCTCTTGTATGTTATCCGTTACAACCTGTTCGTCATCCATTGTTATCCACAATTTCTCGAAACAGCATACACAAATGATCCTTTGTTGGTAATAGGGTTCCAGATTGATGCACAAGGATTTCAAAGCTAAAGATAGACTTTAGAAATTTATTTAGACCATTCTCTTGGATCTTTTATGATGGAGTTTAGAAATTTGGAATGCTTAATTGTATTGTGGCCTTCAACAAAATGTATATAAATTACGCTTATCCAGTCCAAGGTCACATATTTTGAATTAATTTATATAGGAAACACACTTGGATTTTCTTCTCTGAAACTGTATGTCATAGAGTTTAGATGTAAACATGTATCATAGTCTTGTGTTTTCTACGGAAGTAATATGAATTATTTCCTTGGTTCCAAAAACGGCAACGCTGAAGACGTGCTAAAAATTCTTACGTTCTTCAAGTTTTCAAGGCCTTCAAATTAAAAAAGAATGTTGTCTACAGTCCATTTTTTTTGTATCAAAAGTACAACAAATACCAAATGATAGAAAACCCGCAATAAATAGGAGCTACTCTTATAGGCAAACGTGTCATTGTACTGCCTACAAAAATGAAATTAGTCAACAAAGTCTATATAGCTTCAGAGTGATGCTTATAATATTAAATAACAAAAACACAGAAAAACTTACTATGTTCAAAAGAATACAAAATTTACATACATGTTAGTTTTCATTGATCTGGTTTTGAAGGCTATAAGCTTATTGCAAATTGAAAGACTCTTGAATCCATTCCTGGAACCAACCAGTACTTAGCAGTAAAGGTAATGTGTTTTGCTTATTGGAACAATAGCTGACACCTGACGGGGTTTGAACACACGCGGCCATCAACTTTAGAGATAATTAGTCCGATGTGTTAACCACTTGGCTACTCCGACACTAAATAAAAGTTGGTTACAGATTTTGAAAGAATAATGAAAAATAGCTCATAAATATCTTTAAAAAAGACATGTTTTGTTGTACATGTATTTTAAACGCTTGTCATATACTTTCATATATTCAGCTACAATATTTGATGCTAAATGGAAGGTTGAAACACACACCGTTGTGGCCCAAGTACTGTGGAATGCTATAGTTTTTGAAGAAAATATATTCATTCTGTTTGGAAACCTTCAGGTAAATATGATGATATAGAATGTCCAATCTGTAGTTGCAGGGATAAAGAAAATTAGGTATGAAGAAAATAGGAATATGGTTAATGTGGTGGTAGGGAGACACACAATAGTAACAGTTTAGAGAATCTAGAAGAAATTATAAATGAAATTATTGAAAAAAGAAGCATTTTAACTAGTTCATTTTGGGTGTAAAAAGAACAAAATGATGATGTGAAGCAGGAAAAGATAATTAGGGATGAAAAGAAATATGAATGTAGGATAATACTGAAAGACAAAAAAGCAATTAAGGTAAGATTGTGTAGAAGTAGAGATGGAATTTGGTTATTACGACAGGAAATAAAGAACATAATAAACCTAAAAACACACAAAAAACAAAAACAAACCAATGAGGAAAAGTGTCAGGAAATAAGAACTAATATACAAATGAAACGTAGATAATTATGGATGGAAATGTGAAATAAAATATATAAAAATGGAAAGAAGTAAAATATTGAAAAAGTCTTTAAAATGTTTGTTAACTGCAGGAGCAGGATGTGTATAAAGTATGATAAGGCGAAACGGGAATAGTTGAAGAGAAGTTCAATGTAAGAAGAATGTTAATGGAAATAAGTAACGTATGTGTATATAAGTTTAAAGACTGGTAGGATGGACAAAAATGATGTGTGAAGTAGAGAGTAAAATAGAAAAAAGAAGACAGCAAGTTAGAAAAAGAAAGGGTTTAGATGTACATGTACAGAAGAAAGTAAAAGTCTTAAGACAAAATAATCTTTCATTTTTTTTCATTTTGTCTCTTATTTTGCAATATCAATATTTGCTTTTATCTGTAAAATAGACAATACTAAGCAAGGTTTATAATATGATATGTTGGCTTCAATCGTATATTGATGTTTCTATTATTTAATAATTTTCAGAAAATAAGGGTTCTCCTTGCTGATCTGGACACTTTAGCCAAGCTTGCAGAACGACGGAGAAAATGGTCGGTTTGCATAAATATAGATGGAGATATAAACAAAGTGTACAAGTTTTTAATAGTTATTGGCTGCATACGAGAGGATCTTATCAGCCAGCCAGGACGTAAAAGTGGAATATGGAGAGCGGCAAGATGCTATCTTCAGTTGGTATGTACAAGTCTTAAGATTAGTTGCAGGTATAAGACTGAATTGTGCCAACGTATTGAAGACAATGAGACTACGATTAAAATAATTGACATACAGTATTTAGTTTAGTACATCGCATAGATGAAATCATACATTGTGCATGTTTCTCATTTTTAAGGAAAAAATGAAACGAAAACACTGAAATTTAACCATATTTTAAGTGTTACATTTGTTACTAGTACATGCGATCACGATTTAAATGAACTAATCTTTCATCTGTCGATATTTTCATCATTATGTTTAAAATTATCTTGCCTTACGAAAAGGATTATATGTCTTATTAGAATACTTTTCCAATGAAATTATTTTTGTCGTCCTTTGAAGTGAATTGGTCTTCAATGGAAACAATTCTATAGGTATTTCAAATATTGGTAAAAACTATAGAATTAAATCATTTTGATATTCTGATAAAATATACCTTCAAAGGAAAAATGTTGATAAAGTTTTAAGTGATTTGGTATGATCATTATTTATGATGAAAATGCCATTTTGTTTTAGAACAATTATGTGCTGTATAAATACATGTTATATCGGATCATGTACCTCACACTTCCCTACAACACCCATGGATAATTATTTCATGGTTTGTTTTATACAAAATTCTATCAATGTAATGATGTATTGTATTACAGACCTTCCATTATAAACCGATTCACTTTAAATGGATAATTTCTAGACAGATATATGATTTGACTGAGAACACTTTTTGACATATAAATGAACAGATTGCTAGTTTTTAATAAAACATAGAATGTTACCCTTTGAATTTTATTTTGATAAGGTTTATAAAATATATTAAAAACTAGTGCATGCAATAGTGCAAAAATAAACATAAACATGTTCCAAACAAAAAGTTTTATGTACACTACAGTCTTTCTTGAATTGTTGCAGAACTTACATCAAGAGGTTAGGAAAGTATGTAGCACAAGTAAGTGTCTTATCTATATACAAATTGTGTAATGTTTGCCTCGACAAAAGTTATTTATTTTGGGGTATATAGGAGTCAGCTTGTAGGTCTGTCCACAACATTGTTTCCAAACGTTAACTAAAGTTCTAATCAAACTTGTTATATAGAGCAATCTTAGTATGTGAAAACCCTGGTTTTGATTGCTTTTGATTCCCATAGGTAACATCAAGGTCACTGTAACTAAAAATAGAAAAATGTTTTCCGAAAAATACTGAGAGTAAAGAGTGAGATATTGTAATCAAACTTGGTATAACGCAACCTTATGTAGAAAACCCCGATTGGGATTGCTTTTAAACCAATGGGGTCAAGTTAATTGTCACTGTTCCTTTAAATAGAAAACTGATTTTTGAGACAGTAACTAGAGTTAGGAATGAAATATTGAAATCACAGCTGGTATATAGTTAGCTTATATGGAAAACGCGCTTGGGATAGTTTTTGACACCCCCCCCGATCACTGAGGCCAAGGTCAATATCACTGTCACTAAAAGTAGTAAAACGGTTACCGGACGATAACTACAGCAAGGAATGAACTGTTGTACTAAACCTGGACATTTAGCAAACTTATGAAAATACCTTGCTTGGGGTTGTTGTCTGACCTCTTAGGTTCAAGGTCACTGTTACTAAAAGTAGAAAAATGGTTTCTTGAAGATTGGCAATTAATTGTAATAATTTTGGGTTCACAGATTGAAAACATTATACAATAAAGGTTAAGCTCAACTTTTCCTTAGACCACTTATTTGAATCAAGGTTAAGGTAGCTTGTGGGAGTATGAACCACCTTTATTGATAGCTCTAGTTTGTATATTTTATGCAAGAAAAAAAACCAACAACAGTACTACTGGAATAAACCGACCCAACCGATGATAAATAATAAATAATTTTTGCAGCGGAAAAAAAATTAAAATGCTAAGTAGCAAAATTAAGCAAATTCATCTATAAACGTTTTTACATGTTTTAGAAGAAACGTAATTCTTTTTCATTTAAACGTTCGGAGTTTTTTTATTTGTTTTATCATTTATAAAGGATAATTATTTATCATAATTCATTCCTGCAGTTTTGCAGCACGTTTGTGATTATGACGACTCGGAAGCTTTGGAAATTTGGGCTAGATCACTGTACAACACAGGCGATTACGATCTAGCTTTAAAGAAAAACAAGCTAGCTCTGAAGTACTGCTCGGTAGGAAGAACATTTACATATTTTTCTTAGAGACACACAATATGTTATAATAATCTGTAATGTGAAATTAATCTTATAGTAATGCATTCAAAAAGTCAAAAGTTACACATTTATTGTGGGAAACTTATTTTATCTTCAAATTAAAAATACTTTTCAGCTCAACTATACATGTATGATTCCTGGTTAGGTTTTTGTGCAATAAAATTCATTTTAATTGAACTCGTAATGCATTTAAAAAGTCAAAAGTTACACATTTATTGTTGGAATCTTATTTTATCTTCAAATTAAAAATACTTTTCAGCTCTACTATACATGTATGATTCCTGGTTAGGTTTTTGTGCAATAAAATTCATTTTAATTACTTCTTTATTTAACTCAAAATCTAAAAATATGTTCTTTATAACCATTATCATCTTATGTGGTAATGTATAACACAAGCACCAATATTTCTAGGACCATCTCCCTTTAAAAGTTAGTATTTTCATTAAGGTTTGTAATATTTTACTGTAACTTTTTAAAAAATTTTTTAAAAGGTTTTTCTTTACATTTCAAATTTATGCTCCTAGTTATCAACTACATCATATGTTGTAAGATTCATAACTCTAGCGCCAATATTTCTAAAATGATCTCCTCTTAAAACATTAAAAATTTCCCTTAAAATTGACGTTGATTTCTTTAGGGTTTCTCAGATATATGATCAATACTGTTGGTTCCAGTAACGAATTTGAGCGTGTGTCTATAAGCAGCCTGCACAATCGGACAAAATATATATTATATACTAATAAATGAAATATTGAGAAATATTGATAAAATAAAATGCGTATTTTCATTTTCCGTATTTTCACTGTAAAAATTTATTTTTCACTGCAGTGAAACATATTTTCCGTATTTTCACTGGTGTCTTGTCGGACTACTTTCTTTTAAATTCTGCCAGTACACAAAATTTAAGGGAAAGTCTTTCCAATTTTATCGCAAAAAAGAGAAAAATGTATATAATAAACAGAAAATTCAAGTTTTTTGTATAAATACATGATTTATTTTCATCTTGTGGCATGAAAATTACCATATTTCACTCGTGGCGACTGCCACTCATGAAATATTTATTTTCATACCACTCGATGAAAATAAATCATGTATTTATAGAAAAAACTTGAATATCCTCTATATATTAACCAAGGTTTATTTATTCATTTATTGATAAGTTGTTTTCTCACATTTTATTCGTGTAATTGCTTTTTCTTTAGAATAAAGGTGATCAAGAAAGACTTAATACTTTCGAAGCTGAAATAGCCCAAAAATTAGAAGAATCTTCTGTTTTGCAAATTGGTCCAGATGAATCTTGGCTAGAAGGAACAAATGCAAATTGTTCAGTGAGTATTGTATCCTTAAATTTTAATATTCAAATTAAAATAATATTTCAAAACGTCTGTTAATATTTAAACAATCATATTTTTTTAAAATGTGGTTTTTTTTGTCAGTATGTTTTTTAACAGTTTGTAATCTGTAGGTATGATATTGTTTCGTTATAGAATGAGTCTGCTAGCAGGATAGATGCAACTCCAAGGAGATTAAAGAGGCGACATAAAAGACGTAAGCTTTTTATTTCGAATAATAAATGTCATGATAAATTGTTGATAGTTCAATTAATTTCAAAACTTGCATAATTTTATGTGATAATATAATTGAACTCTGATTCTTACTCATAAAGATCAAAATAATTTCTAATATATTTTTGAACAATAACATTCAAATCTCCAACATGTTTATATTACTTAGTATAATCCTTTGAAAATGATTTATCATTGAATTGGTAAACACTAACGCTGCTGGGGATATCAATTATTTCAGCAAAAGCGATTGATCGATCTGGAAGCAATACGCCTATGTCAAGATCGCAGTCACTAGAAAGAAAGAAAGGAACAAGGTCATCATCATCCACATCGTTAAGAGACACCGAAAAGGTTACACTTAAAACAGTCACAACGGCAGCACATCGGCTTCAGAGTGAAAGATTCCGAAATGTTAGTGGTTGCAGTGCAGCGACTTCGACAACCGATACATCTGGTTTTGGAACAGAAACGTCTTTCGACTACAGTGTATCAGATAGTGACTCCGACGATAATGAAAGTGTTAATTATGATTTACATATTAGAAATGGAAGTCCAGATCTGAATTCGATTTCAGAGCAAGATGCTGAGATAGATTATATGCAAGAGCAAATGTCATTTTATGAACAAAGTTGCAGATTCTACCAGCAAAATGATGAAGTATCTGAAAGCCTAGGTAGAGCAGAGAGTGAAGAGACACTTCTTAGGACAGGAATTAGTTTGAATATGTCGTATATGCATCAGTTTGAAGACAAAAATCCAAATGTATTGAAAAGAGAAAGTTTTTATACAGAATTCTATGACAAAGCTAAGCTTCAAGAATTGATGTTAAAAAATCCGAAGAAGTACATCAAATGTACCATTCAGATAGAAGGATGCCACGAAGCATTTTGTTGTCCGGTCGATTCACGTGATTCTATAAGCATAATTGAAATTTCTGGTCGATCGAAAATTGGACAGGCTTTTAATGAAGATGAGGTTATAGTTGAAATTCTTGACGACCATGTTTCTAAAGAGAAGCGATACGGGCAAGTTATTGGTATATGGAATAGACAAAGACACAACAACACAAAACATCCGGTTTTTATCTGCACCCTTGACGATATGGAAAGTCATCTTGTTCGACCAATGTGTAAAACTATTCCAAAGATACATGTTTTAAATAACGAGATAAAGCAAAAATACAAAGATGAAAAGGACAGAAGAAACAAAGTTGAAATATACGAATATGATGAAAGGGCCGGCATATTATGCAATCCCAAAATATTTGAAGTTAATCCAGCTGAGCAAGGCTCTGTTATTTTTCTAGTAGCTTTTATCAAATGGGGTGCTCGACATATCTACCCAAAAGGGGCAATCATTAAACGACTGCCAAGTGGGAGTAGTGTCGCAACTGGCCTAATGGTTCTCAACCTACAGCATGAGGTGCCAACTCTTTATAAAAAGAAAACAGTGGAACAAGTATCGAGCATGATTAAAAGAGCGAGCGATGAAGTACCAGAGCAAATGTTACATGAAAGAGTAAATCTTACTAATTTGAATACATTTACCATTGATCCTCCTGGTTCTAAAGATCTGGACGACGCACTCAGTATTGAAATAATTGAAGGCGGTTACAAAGTAGGCGTCCATATTGCAGATGTGGCTATTTTTATTCCAAGGGACTCTCCTTTAGACGAAGAAGCGCGAAACAGAGCTACAACTTTTTATCCAGGCATACGAAAACCCAGAAATATGATTCCAGAACCGTTAAGTTCAAATATTTGCAGTCTCCTCGAAGGTAAATTGAGACTGACAATATCTGTTTTCTTTTACATCGGAAGTAATGGACGACTTCTAAGTATGGAAGGCAACAATGTAGAAATCGTAAAATCCTACATAAAATCTAAAAAGCAATTGACTTATGGACAAGCACAAGAATTGATATATGCTTCGCCAGAAGATAGCAATGACATTTTGTCAAATGATATCAAGTGCCTTTTTAAAATTGCACATGCAATCCGTAAAAACAGGTTGGGAAATGCCATGTTTGCTTTAGATGCTGATTGGGAAGAGATCGACCAGGGCTCGGAGGAAGAAGAAACAAGAGAAGCTCACTATTTGATTGAAGAGTTCATGATAATGACCAATAAGAAAGTAGCAGAAAGACTGTTGAGGACTTACAGGGATTGTGTTCCTCTGCGCTGTCAGCCACCGCCGTCAAAAGAAAGTCTTGATGCGTTTTTCAAAAGAAATGACCAATACTTAGACATTCTTGTAAGATTCCAAGATAAACAATTTGGACCAAAACGACCGAGCGTTTATGATTGCCTGAATGATCAAACCTCTCAAAGGGTTATGCTGTCAAAATCAATTTGGGAAGAAATGGTTAAATCACCAAAAATTGCAGCTGCAAAATTAATAAGAAAAGACGACATACACCCTTTGCAACTTGTGATTTACCAGCATTGGCTGTCAATCCAAGAACGTGCAGGTTATAGATGTTCCGGCAGCCTTGTCAGCAAAGAAGATTTTACACACTTCAGTCTAAACATGGTTGCGTATACCCATTTTACATCTCCAATAAGAAGATACAATGATTTGATCATACATCGTCTTGTCCATGCTGCAGTATTCCAAAAGATAAGGTCTCCTTATGAAAAAGAAGAAATTGACAACATTTGCATGCATATAAATTCCGTTGCGAAACGTGCTAAAGCGTATGAAAAGGGTTGTAAATCACTACAACAAGCAATGGATTACAAAACAAATCCAAAGATGATTGACTGCTATGTTGATGAAGTTACCGAAAGAGGAATGATGCTATGCTCTCCTTTTTTGAAGTATGTAGCAAGAAATTGCAGAGAACTAACCTTCAATCATCTAGACATGGTAGCCAAACCAGAAGTTTTAGAGGACCTAAATACACACTGGAATATGGTACGAGCAGTCTGGAGAAAGAGACTGTATGACTTTCACGTGCGTCCTAACTATCCACCTGATCGGGGAAATGAATTAAGGTTAAATCCACACAAAGGAGTTGTCTTCCTCCCACTGTATCAATGGGCAAAAATGTTGAAAAGCACCATAGAAGGTCATATTGATGATCTTTCCCGGGCAGTTAGAAATGCTGATATAGTACATCATGGGGAAGGGCTTGATGATGTCTCCACGGAATGCTTTGATCCATTGAATATTCAACCCAGCACACGATTTTCCATGACATTTTCCCGTGGGCAACAACTGAAGATTCAGATGTCTGGTTCTCCATACAAAGGTATGATTGCCCCAAAACCCATGCTTTACGATATGTCAAATAATGTTAAGCTTTGTTTGCAACATACAGAGGATCCAGTTTTACACCTCTACAGATACGCAACACGTGGGACATGTGATCAGTATAAGTCGGTTAAAGTATATTTAGAGAGATGGTTACCATTGATGTTGATGGAATCTGCTACTGGTGTCGTAAAGAATGAAGAATCATGTAACATCAGTAATGTACAAATCAAATTTTCTGGTGATAGAAAAGGTAAATTTGCTCTTGGCTTAGCGGAATGTGAGGTCAGAAATATAGAGTTATCAGGAACAGTTTCTGACGACGATGATGATGATGAATTTGAAAGTAACGGGGCAAAATCCTACGATTGGCTCTGCCTTAAAACAACATTACCAACAAAAAGTAAAGTTGTTGGCAAAAAGTCGCTTGATTTCAAGTCGTTGCAATCAGTTTGGGTTGGACATGCAGAAGTAACAAAAGTAAGGAGGAAAAAAGAGAAGAGAACCGCTGGAAAAGTTACTGTTTCTTTTAATTTGCACGAACGAGCGCCTGACTTTCCAACTGACTTTCCCGTAGATAAGCAACGTTTTAGTGTTGAAATTTTGAGGAAATCAGAAGTAGACAGGTTTGTTGATTAACTTTACAGTATAAAGCATTCTTAAGTAAACACTTTTATCGAAGGTAATGTAAAGCGACTTTATTTCTCTAATATCAGTAATTATGTATGAAGCCTGTTTGAAAATTTCTATTTTTATTTTGATGCTGCTTTTTCTTTTACAATTTGAATAACAATGACTAATATGAAGTTAATTTTCAATTTACCGACTTAATAACATTTAAAGATGAACATCTATATTATTTTTGTCAATGGATGCTGATCTCACATATATAATTTTACAGGAGAACTGAAACCTTTATAAAACTTCTTCCATCAGTTCAAAATACACTTGCCGCAAAGATTGCACTCAACAAAAAGATACCAGATCTAGGTAAGTTTGTTTACTTTGTTTCGTGTAAATCTCTGGATAATAATCAATATCGAAGTCATGATCATTTGCATTTGCCATGGTTTAAAAAAAATTAAATACTGTTCTTGAACGAGCTTATGACCTTTATTAATATGTAATGCATGTATATCATTAAGGACATGCATGCTTGCATTTTACCGGTACTCTTTTTATTCATAGAGGATTTGTTTGAAATTGCGAATTTATCAGATAGTGATGTTTTATTTAATTTATAGATAAGGATCATAAACATATTGCAAGTCTTATTGAACGTGACCTGTACTACGACGCTTGTAGTGATGACCCGAGACGAAGACCGTTGCCCCCAAACAACAAGAAGCAACAGGAAGCGATAGATAAAGCTTTGAAGTCTCGCTTTTCTCTTATACAAGGACCACCTGGTAAATATGCATCATACATGCGCGTTATATTTTCAATATAGATGAATACACTGAAATACTCATGTCGTAATGAAATATTGATACATAACTTTTATGTCTTATTTTACTGCTCATTTACACCTCTATTTTCTTGTTCTTGTGTATTTTGACGAACATCTCATGTATTTTATGTGTAGGAACTGGCAAAACGTACACAGGAATCAAACTGGTATCTCTATTTAATAAAATCAATGACATTCAACATAAAGAAGGAAAACAAAGGAAACAAGTTCTTTTTTGTGGACCGTCAAATAGATCAGTTGATCTTGTTGCAGGTAAGACAACCGAAATCTAAACGAGATAATTTGTTTTAATGACGCAATATATTGAAAGAAAGAATGCATAGATGCTAAAATGTTTCTATTCTTAGACGAGATTATTCAGTTATCTTCACCTGTATCAATGCAGCAATATTTTCATTTTTGTGAGTACAAGTTTTGTAATATAAGATTCATGTCGTAATGAATTTCAGCTAAATAACCCTATAATAAAATTAGAGAGAAACACAAAGTCAATCACCTGACGATGATGTTTTCATTTTGTTTGTTTAAATTTATTCATAAGATTCATATATTTTGTTTCATTAATTGAAAAAAAAACTTTAAAACTAATAAATTACAAAGAATTGCTAGTATATCGTTTATATCTCACTTACAGAATGGATGTACAATAGAATGGGCAATTATTGCCCAGATTTTGTTCGTGTTTATGGAAGGTCGATCGAAGCTTTGGACTTCCCTATCCCTGGTAGAACGTTTCTGTCGAAGAGAAGCACAAGAAATCAGAAAACATCACCTGTTTTATATCCTGTAGCCCTTCATCACTTAATTCGTCAAAAAGGAAAAAAGTATGCCGAAGAGATAAACGCATATGATAAGCTTTTTAAGGACAACAACTACATGCCGATGCCAGAGAAAGTTTCAGCGTATGTACGCATTGTAAGAGAAGCTTCAATTGATGAAATCAGGAAACACGATGTTATTCTTTGCACGACTGCTGTTGGGTCTAATCCAAAGGTGTTAAAAGCTTCAAATGTACATCAGGTATGGTAACTTTTAGTGGTTTCTCAATATAATATTATTATAATATAATAATGAAAGAAATTTATCGACGTAATACATGCAGTCAATTCAAATTGTTGTCCAAATGACACAGAGTACCTAATGTATCTTAAGGATCCCTCATAAACTTATAAAGTGGTTCAACATCTTAATTGTTAGGTCATTGTGGATGAAGCTGGTATGTGCCCTGAACCGCAGTGTTTGGTTCCTATAATAGCTACAGAAGCTGAACAGGTTGTGCTTATAGGGGACCACAAGCAACTGAGGCCAATCATAATGTGTAGGGAGGCTGGTTTACTTGGGATGGAGATGTCTTTGTTTGAGCGTTATGCTGTAACAAATACAAAACATATCAACAATGTGAAGTTCACCATGTTGGAGCAACAGTATCGAATGGTAGTGATTTTTTCAGATTTTTTTTTGTCCACTTTACTATGAATTATTCATTCAGTTGTTTAAACACGTTTTATAGTACATGTATCATTTCAGGTACTTTAGTAAAAATTATATAGTCATGTGTATAATTTTCCAAAACATTTAAACGTATATATGCATGACACTTTTTTGTACTATGCTGAAAAATGAGGATTACTTTTAACAAGTGCAGTAATTAAATTATTTATTTGCTACAAACTTCAAATTAAAAAAAAAAAAAAAAAAAAAAAAAAAAACATTTGCTACAAATGACTGTCATGATAAATTGTAATATTTGAGCAAACAAGGTACTATGTCGATACTTGTTATTTCTGTTTTTTTACTATTTATATATAGAACCCACAAATCTGTCGTTTCCCATCAGCAAACTTTTACGACAACGCCCTTGTAACCATGCCTGGTCTATGGAAGAATGGCCAGATGAGCATCTGGCCAAGGGATATTAAGAATACATATCCACATATTTTCGTTCATGTTGAAGGAGAAGAAAAAGTGTTGACTGTGTCAACAGAAGATGGAAATGAACAATCAAAGAGCAATACAGCTGAAATTAATGAAGTGGTAACTCTATTCATATTTTTAAATACAAACCAACAGTAACGCAAACTTTCATTTAAATATTCCAACATATAATTTCTTATTCTTTTCGTTTTTATGTATGTTTATTTCCAAACAATATTTTATGCCGTTTACGATATATTATACAAAGCCATGAAATTGATTTATTTTCAGATTAAAGTATATTCTTACTTCACAAGAGAGCAACCAACACAGTCTGTCCAGATACTTTCCCAGTACAACGCACAGGTATCAGAAATAAAACGACGACTGAAAGAGGATGGTTATGTTGATGAGAATGTCAGTACGGTAGTTTCAAGTCAAGGTATAAGCATAACATATTGTATTGTTTTAACACATAGTTTTACTGCATGTAATACAGATGTATTAAACAACACTACAGTAGTTTATCATTTGAAAAAAATAGTAATGCAATTAAAGATACAAAGTGATGAGTATTGCGGCTTTTTGTGCTTTTGTTCTTTGTCTTTCTTTGTTGTTGTTTTTTTGTATCCGTAAGCCATTTTTTCTGAGACGTTTATTTTATGGTCTAAAGACATATTATTATTGTTATGATTTATTTATTTATTTATTTATTTGTTGTGGATTCTGAACACGTATACAGCCATAGAGGACCCCTAGTTCAATGCTGTTTAAAACTGTCTTTCCGTTTTTCTAGTGCAATAGTTGACCTCCGTAAATAATGTTTTTTTATTTCGATTGATCATTTTTTACTTTAATTGTAGGAGGTGAATGGGATTATGTGATATTCAGCACTGTGCGATCACTTCCTGACTATAAGATAGAGTCAAACCCTACATTAGGTTGGTGTAAACACAACCTTGGCTTTATCACAGACCAGAATCAGATAAATGTTGCACTTACTAGAGCAAGGAAGGGCCTTATAATTATAGGTAAGCGTTTTTGTGTATGCAGTGGCGTATTTAACACTAAGAAATATTGTGTCTTGGCATTTCGTAATCGTTTTGAGAGCAGCAAGCATTTTGATTGTAAATTAAACTATAAATTTACACCTTTCAACCTGATGATATTAAGAAATTGTATTAAAAAATGTTCTTTTAATAGGTTAGTTTATGGACCTTATCGAGGACTTCAACCAAAGGTGAAAAGACAGGTCTTGATTGTGTTTCTAAATTTTTGAAATTTTTGTAGATACCGACTTTACAAAATGAAAAGACGTACCATTGGAAATCAATTTATAAATGAAAATTATATCAATAAGCTAATAAATATTTTCAAACAACAATTCTACACTGTGACCTGCAAAACTATGAACTTCCTTAGAAGAGCTGAACATAAACTTATGTAAGACTTAATAATATGTGGGGCGTCCGTGGCCGAGTGGTTAAGGTCGTTGACTTCAAACCACTTGCCCCTCACCGCTGTGGGTTCGAATCCCGACAGGGACTTTGGATTCTTTCAAGTGAGGAAGCAGTTAGCTTACGGAACGTCGGTGGTTCTACTCAGGTGCCCGTTCGTGCCTGAAATAATGCACGGAAGGGCACCTGAGGTCTTCCTCCACCAGTAAAGCTGGAACGTCGCGATATGACCTATACTGTGTCGATGTGACGTAAAACCCAAATAAACAAACAAACAAACTTAATCATACATCTCATCGTACTAACAAATCATACATAATAAGAATTTATATTTTAACTTTGATAGTATCGAAAAAAGTGATCAGAGGAACCATACTTATAAACAGATTTTTTCCTTTAACTTAATGAAATTGAATCAATGTAACTTGTATGGTAAATTTACCATTTGTTTTAAGGAACTATATTAAATTTAGTTTGATTTTAATTTATAATCATAGGAAACAAAAACTTGCTATCTTGTGATCAGTTCGTTTGGAAGAAGCTGATACGTCACTACGAAAATCGGGACTGCTTGAAGACACCAAATGAATTTCCACCACGGGTTGTCCGCACGAGACTTCAGAAAATGGAGGAACATCAGCTAGAAAGTGAGCGGCGTTATGGTGAGACAATGTACATCAAAGGTGAGGCAACCTCTTACACCGGGTCATTTGATGATTGGCAAGAATTCAGGGGAAGGCGCCATCGTCGTTATCAGGAAAATTTGTAGACGATCACTGCTAGAAATGTGCTGATTTGTATAGAATGTTTTACATATTGCAGATTTTATTTGTTTGTCATGTTGAAAATGAAATATTTCAAAATTAATTTTATATTTGTTGTAATATGATGTCATATATACATTGAATGCTTTGTTGTTTTTTATTTTGTGCTTATCTTGCTTATCAGCAAGTTTATGTCATATATACATTGAATGCTTTGTTGTTTTTTATTTTGTGCTTATCTTGCTTATCAGCAAGTTTAGAAAATTAATGCTCACTGTAAGTTTGTATATACTTGTTATTATTGCCATCTATTTCATTTAAGTAAACCAAAACATACATAACTTCAGTATAAATACCATACTTTTGTTGTTCTAAACATTCATTCTTTATTTCAATGTCTCTAGTCGCAAGCAAGTGATATTTTCTTATAACTTTAGTTTGCACTAAAATGAAAATGTGTTTTTCTACTTTTGTTATATACATATTTATCTTTCTTTGCCTTTTTATTTCATTGTTTATTTTGCCAGATTTAAAGAATTTTAATTTTGTATGAATAAAATGTTTGCAAGATTATCGATTGTGCCATAAATTCGATCCATTTTCATCTTTGACTCTCAAGGAATTTCATTTGTTATTAAATCAACCATTGCTTAAAGGTTTTCTTAAACATACTTTAAAGTCTGCAATTTTCAACTACAAGTATTTGTTTTTTTAATGGTGTTAAAAGATTGTTTCTTGTCAATGAAGTACATTTTTACGACAGATGACAGATATATTGTCATGTTCACAAATTGAATAATTGTTTGTATAACTACTTACTTCAACTTGGTAATGAAGTACATACATACTTTTTTTGTTTACGGTTCCTAGTAACTAAAAAAATCATGTTACAAAATGTCTTATGAAAATTGCTTAAATTACTGGCCTGAAATACGAAGCATTGTTCTTTTTATGTTGAGACAATGTTTTGAACATGAATAATAGTTACTATTTAACACATAGCTTTCAGCATTGCTCATGCATAATTCATTTCTTACATTAATATTGATTTTTTTCCAAAGATATTGCAAAGTGTTAACAAAACTTTGATACGTATTTTTGTTATTTTGTATTCATTTTCTTCATCAGTTGAAGATGCATGTACTTTAAAAGTGATACATTTGTTTAATTTGCTAGGCTGTGATATGTGTTATATTTGAGATTGTCCCTTCGTCAGAATTTTTATTTTTCTGTTTTATTTTTATTAAAGAAAATCAATCTTAACATTTGTCTTTCAATCATTATTATAGTAATAAATGCATGTTTCTCATTTTTGGTTTTCTCAAAAGAATTAAGGTACCATACACCTTATTTTTTTCTTGTTTTGTAATGTTTGAATTATTGAAATAAAAAATAACTGAAACAGTTTGTAGATAGTTTATTTTTTCAAATACAATATCCACGGGTTACTTTTAATTTTAGCACGATGCAGACGTTATTGAAGACTAAAGTCAAACTTATTACGATTTGTTATGAATATTATTATATTCTTAATATCAACCTGTCCATATATAATCAACGGCCTTATGAATTTAAAAAGAAACACATTAAAGCTAATTCAATCGGCAGTATTTAGATCATTTTAAAATGCCATTGGAACATTGTCAAGCAAAAGAAGTCCGCTACTGGTAATGTCCTTTTCACTCTTAAAACCGAAATCGAAATAATGATAAAATTATTGATAATGCAAAGTTTAAATAGAGCGTTATAATAAAAAGGTAATTGCTGTTATTTAATACATCTAGTTAATTGCACAAACATTTCAATCCAAAGAACATAATTAACAATGATTCTTGCTGTGTGACTGTAAATGTGGTAAAGGTTCTGAACAGTTAAAAATATAGTTAAAAAATATTTAAGACAAATAACAGTCTGCTATGTTTTTTCGGCAAAAAGGGTTATGGAATGAAAATACCAATTTAATCTCAAATGTATCAATGTGCTCCGGCGATATAAAAAATATTAGACTTGGAACATTTTCAATGTAAAAAGGAGGAATTATTTTCAGAAATCAAATGTCAGATAAGACTGGCCTTAGGAGTCTAAATAACACGAAACGAGTTTGAACTGAATATCAACAAAGGTTCCAAAGTATGTCTTTTGTTGCAACGGCAGCCACAGTTTTCGACATATGAACACAAATAATGATGTACTTCATTTTAATTTTTAAGTCTCATACTCTCTAGCTTATCCTAAAGTAGCGTGAGTGTATTCAAAGAGCTGCAAAGGGAGCGTATAAGACTCATAGTGTTGTACAACGATTAGTTCTAAAAGTGAACTTGTGAAGTAAAGGCATCATTTTCGATTCAAAGAAAAAATAATACGACAAAAATATATGGCAAACTGTATTTATTATTACAAGATCATTAAAGTCATCTGAATACTCAAAGGATCACTGATATACATTTATTGTAGATAAATGAAAATACACAGGGAATCGTTTCATGATAATTTCACATTCCATAAATGAAAAAATGTAAATGATTACTTCAAGCTTTCATCATGTAGAAACTTATAAAAAGCAACAATTAATTTACTTTTTTTTCAAAATAGCAATTATGTTTTATAACGTGATGTAAGATGTCGTAATGAATTAAACAATATTTCACTTCTTGTCAACACTATGACATGCCCCATTATTATTAACATATAAGTGTGTCTTTATGCTAAAAATGATATTGCTTTACATATATTTAATGCTAAAAGAGAGCAACATAAGCAAATGATATTGTCAATGATTATTTTCTTCTACCTCTTTGGCGTTGGTTAGGTAATTTTTTCGTTGGTCCTTTTTTACCCGAAGGTCCGAATCTCCGTTCATGCTTTAGAAATTCCTCACCCATAATTTGTTGCCTTGGTTTATTAAATGGTGGCGGGAATATTTCAGGAGGCAATATACAACCCCTCACTTCGTAGTAATCAATCAGATCTTTCCATACTTCGTCACACGAAAGTAGGTTTTTGTTTCCTAAAGGAAACGATAAAAAAACTATTTTCAAATGGTTACAGAATCTCTACCAAGTTGAGTTTTTATCATAACATATATCATAATAGGCGTTATATAGCCAGTTATATTTATTACATAATATAAAAGTTAAAGGGAGATAAATACTGTCATATATTTCAGAAGGTAATATATACGCAATATTATGTTGTAGTAGCTTTCTGAGGCTTTGTATTTTGCCACGAGCAGTGGTGGAAAATGGATATCTCGCGAGAACGAAGGTCCAGAGAGATATCAAATAACCAACGTTGCAAGTAAAAATACATAGCCTCAGAAAGCTACTACAACGTTATTATCCTTTTATCATATACCTTTTCGTTTTTTATAGAAAATGAAATGTAGCAGTCGAGAAATAAATTTATGACTGACGGATGAATAATTCTTGCAAAACCGGCCACGCCTTTAATAATTTTGGTTCCCGTTTCCAAATGCAACAATAAACAAAGCTAAGATCGAAACAAACGTCAAAAATAGTCCGGCACTTCCATATATAGTTCCGTATTTGTCACTAACATAATACGGAAATTTCTATCCGTTGAAGCTTATTTGCGCCTTAATATCTGCGTGTATTTTAGGGGGAAAATTTATAGGTATATAATAAATCTACATAAGGGAATCCGTATCATATACAATAAAACAAATAACTATAAAGAACAAATAATTACGACATTATACACTCGATCTTAATCATTCTTTATCAGAAAATCAGGTTCATTCTATTAAAATTATCAATATCAATCTATATAGAGGAAACTAACCGATAATGATCAGTCCTTTTTTGGCTCTGGTTAAAGCTACGTTAACTTGGTTTCTATCTGTAATAAAACCAAGATTGTGTTTGCACCACCCAAGAGTTGGATGTCGTTCTATTTTGTACTTCGGTAATGACCGGACGGTGCTGAATATTACATAGTCCCATTCTCCTCCTGGAAAATTCAATTAATAAAGATTGTTTCACCAAATTAAATAAATGTAGCTCTGTCAAAAGTGAACAACTGAAGAAGCACAAGGAAGTATGTGAAGATCGGACCCATAGGGCGATGTCTTCAATAATTGTAGACAGTTTTGCAGATTCTTTTTGCATGATGAAAATGTGAACTTAATTTTGTTTTAAATTCATGACCTTACCGACAATGACATAAGGGCAAAATCATTTCAAGGTTCATACTTATTTTCCTTAACTGCATTCTCGCACAACGAACATGAATGTATTGAATCCAAGCACAGACGTGTTTGATTAGCTTTTGAGCTTTTAAACCTTTTGATCATGTCGTCTCTAGTGGATGTTCTCTTTTGTGCAAATTGTGAAGATAATGGTGTCGATGACGCTTACCCGACTTTCACTCACGTTAATGAATTACTGTATTAATCATTTATTCTTTTAAATGCAACGATAGTGTAACTTGTTACTTTTCAACATGAAAGGTTACTAGAGGCAATGTATTAATAACAAATCATTTCATGTTATTATTTAATGTCAGTTTATACGGTTTTTACGTCTATATACAATAACCGACGTTTTGAGTCACGCAAATTAAAAAAAAAATAACTGCGCGTTTTTGCTTCATTTATCCATAAATGATTTTTTCCCTAGAATTATGTACCCTTGCATGTACAGTTTTTATTGCAACAAAGTATACATACCTTGACTTGACACGACTGTACTGACATTAACATCAACAAACCCATTCTTCCGCAGCTGTGTTTTAATTTCATGACATTGCGCATTGTATTGTGAAATAATTTGAACAGACTCTGATGGCACTGCTCTTGTGAAGTAATCATAAACTTTGACCTTCAATGGGAAATGTAAACTTGTTTTAACTTTACAAAGAAATCAAACCAATGCCTGGATAATGAACAATAATAAGTTTGTAAATTATTCTACTTTCAGCGATTACATTTAAGCATCAATACAAAAAGTAGTTACTTTGGTGCTCTGCTGTATTTTAAGTTTTTGTTTGTTATAATTCTAAATAGTTTCAAACTATTCAGAATCTCCATGAAAGACTGTTCAATCCATATACATGTATATCTATAGGCAACAATAATTCACTTTGTTAGAAATAAGCTTTTGACATATGTCTTTCAAAATAAGATTTCCAGAAAAGCAAATGTGTTATTGGTAGTTGATATTTGTTCGTTAACATTTATTGAATAGAGATAAAAATCTTATTTTTAAAACAATTTTCCTTGGAAAGAATTTTTTATTAGAAGTGTAAGTTTTTATTTATTTATTTTAATCGCCCTTTATGCCCAAAATATGTTTTTATCTTATTCTCAAAAGCGGTTTAATTTTGGTGTACTTTTAAAGTATCCAAAAATTCACAGAACGACCAATTACCGGAATCATCTTTTTATCTGTTGCTTTTTTGCAATAAATCAATTTTAGTGAATAAGTATTTTTCACGAAAGTCAAAATACTACTTTTTTACATTAATTTTGCTTCTTTGCTGACACATTTACCGCTACATTTTCCGAGTAAAAAGCGTCGATCATTTCTCAAAAATCATTATTTAAACATAATTTATTCATGTTTGCCCATTATAAAAAGTAAAAATTATTTGTTTCTGAGGTACAATATGCCATTAACCTAAGGTCAGCTGTTTAACATTCAATATTATATTGATATAAACATTTTTCATTTGTTTACAACTGCATACGTAACATAGATTTTGAGAATACTCACAACGTGTTTAATCTCTTCAAAATTACTTCTCGACTGTTCGTTCCCTTCCTCCGTAGAGACTGTTAGAAATTTTTCCTCACCTTCTATATGGACTAACACATGGGGATACGCATTGTCATGATCATGCGGCCAGATATCTAATTGATCGTGTGCCCAAACTCCTCTACCAGTCTTCAAAGCACCATCATAAAATTGTTCAGAAGGAAACTGGCATATTTGGGGATTCTGTGTAAGAAATAACATCTTCTAGAAATACGGTCTGTCTTTCCAAAATGAAAAGAATCAAATATCTTTCTCAAAGAATAAACACAAAACATTAAAAGATATTTCGTTACTGCAATTTCAATGTTAAAATTCTTTAAATTAGATTTTTAAACTAGAAATTAAATTATTTCGTATCTTAAATGACGAAAATAATTATGTTTGATAAAAAAGCAACAGAAACGTGTCTTTAGATAGATATATTACTCTGCTACCTTACAAATGGTTTTTCATTACAATCTACATATTAATAGTTAATGGTTCGAAAATATAATTCTATGACATCACAGGTCCTGATCTATTAATTATGTTGTTTTAACTATATACTACATCATTGTGCTGCAAAATAACTTTTTATCTGATGTAAAACATCTGTTATCCACGACGACAGTTTGTTTTATAATTTCCGGTTCTATGTTTATCTTGAGGTTATTTAAGTGGCATTTGCTCAACAAAGTGTAAATGGTGGTTGCATTTATAAGTCAAAATAAGTTATCATTTTCCCATCAATGTGTTCAACTCTATATTTCACTATGCAAAATTATTGATAATTCGCGTGACCTACGGAGATTTCTATACATATCGTTTGAAATGTATCGGATTGTATAGGTAGTGTTCATTTCTTTAAAAAGAGTTGGGCAGGCTTTTTAAAGCCCAACATCAGTATATTAAGGAGAATTCGCTTATATTTCCTTATTATCAGTGATTAACTTAAATCCGTTGCATAACCAATTACCATTTTACATACCATACGATACTGCTCGTTTAGCATAACGAAAGAAACATTCGTTGACGAATGGTTGTACGCATATCTCTCAAACAATGATTTCTCTAGCCCAAGTTCTGCCGCCTCTTTACACATAATGATTGGTCTAAGCTGTTTGTGATCCCCAATCAGAACGACCTGTTCCGGCTTTGTAGCAATGATAGGAACAAGACAGTGTGGTTCTGGACACATGCCAGCTTCATCAATAATGATCTTAAAATAATAATGTTCCACCGATAAATTGTATTTATATACTAATCATTGGTTTAAGACGTATTCCATGTTCTTCTTACTTTAGATATAACATTATTTTTTTTGTAATTAATCATTATAAAATTCTAAGAAGAACCGAAAACTGACAGTTATTATGCATCAAAAAATAAAACAGATACTTTAAACCATATATTTAATTATACAAAATGTAAGTTTGAGGGAACTAAACCTTATGTAACTCATTGCAACTAAAATGCGAATAAGTAATCTTTTACATAGCGGGTTTGTACATTCATTTGATATAAACACTTTGAACATTCAAATAAGTTTAAAAAAACAAACCTGAGACACATCTGTTGCTTTAATTAATTTGGGATTAGCACCAACTGCTGTAGTGCAAAGTAAAACATCGTATTTTTGCATTTCTTCAATAGATGCTTTTGCAATAAGCTTGACATATTCCTTTTCTTTAGTAGGCATACGTTTGTTTTCATTTCTTGCAAATAACGCCTCAAGTGCTAGAATTTCATCGCTATATATATTCCCATATTGTCGGATGAGGTTATGTAATGAAACAGCTTCTAATTCTGGGTCTGCAGATTGGTTTTTTGTACTTCTCTTTGAGAGAAACCCTCTTCCTGGTATTGGATGTGTGTCGGATTCTATGGTTTGACCATAAACACGCACAAAGTTTGGTCGATGTTCACCCATCCTATTCAACATCCATTCTGTATGTTAAGTAAAATGAAATGTCGTATAAATATGTATAAATATTTAACTTATCTTAAATAACTGATTGATAATGCACTTTTTTAAGCATGCAAAACTTTCATGATATATTCATACATGATATCTATATCATTAAAGATCCTGTATGTTGTTAATAAAGTTCTAACCACACTTATGTGAAATTTATATATCAATATAATTATGCTTCAAACATTGAAGAATAGGTAAAATTTGTACTGAAAATATTTGTCCACATTATAATAATGTAATCATTAAATATATGCATTTATTTCTCATTGAAAAAAATGACTTTACAGAAAATAAATTTCTTATTACCTCATTTTATTAGCATGAAATGTAAATTCGTTTATATCTTTACAAATAATGCTTTTTTGGAACTTGCAATATTGATAAATCTTCATTTGAGCATTATATTTATGATATAAAACCATAAAATAATTGAGTTACAGGATCTTTAAGGACAACTTATGTTGCCGATAATGCCTAATATGACGTAAAATCGTGTTATCAACCATATTTTATGTTTTCAAGATCGAAATCATTCGTAAATGTTAAAATTTTGAAAATATACAAAGAATATATGTCAGCAAGTAGGACAAATGACATATTTGAGTACATCTGCAGGGAAAAATCTTTTCATGGGTAAGCGTAAATGAATATACAAGTTTATCTAAAGAGCTTACTTGCAACTAAATCAACGGATTTATTTGAAGGTCCACAGAACAGTACTTGGTTTCGATCAATCCGATCCCTCTGCTTTTGACTGTTCATTTTTGTAAATAGACAGATCAACTTTATAGCTGTTTGAGTTTTTCCAGTACCTGTAATGAAAGGGAAAGGGGGAAATGAATGAAACTAAAATTTGTAGGCAAAACGACAACGTACATTTCTTTTTACATAAACAATATGGTCTGACACCAATATTCATACAAAACATCATTGAAAAATAACCTGTTTAGTAGTTTATAAGCAAGACATTTAAAAGTCTGTGTTTAATAAATTTGGTGTCTTCATTTTCATTTGATCATTGTTACAAGACCATGCTTACATTGATAATAACCTTTGAACTTATCTTAGTAAAGTAAAAGAGGTATAAAATATTTCATACAGTAGATGCCTTAAATTGCCCAATAGATTCTACTTCATAATTTTAAATCAATGTACAATGTGGATATCGATTTTTGTGACGGGTATATACCTGGTGGCCCTTGTATTAGTGTGAAACGGGATTTCAATGCCTTGCAAATAGCTTCTTTTTGCCTAACATTGTTCTTTGGAAGCGGTTTCCAGGCATTTTCGTCGTCCTTGATTTTTATCACCAGATCTTTGTCCAACTTATCGGCTATCTCTATCAACTCATCATCTGTAATTGATAAAATTTCAAAACTTGACAAGGTAATTTAATTAGCAGCCGTTAGACAAATCAAGATAACTGTATATTGCTATTATATCATGGTTATAACCTAATAACGAAATAAATTCGCCGAATGTATCGAACCTTTTTCTTATCTTTTAATACGATAAATATAGGAATGAACGTATTAGGGTGAAAAACGGATTATTGACATGAGTTGGCAATTTTACGTGTTCTATGACGATGATGATAGAAAGGTAAAGACAATTGTAAACAGAAGTTGTTATATAATTTGACCTTGTTTGTATATTGAAATTTCAAATTGCATTCGATTACAATTATAATGTATATACATATACAATGCATAAACAACATATTTCATTTGATGTACAAAAACATTTTTTTATCTGTTGTAAGAAATAAAATAATACAAAATCAGAATTGTCTGACACTCAAAGCACACAAGGCGAGCATTCTGTCTCTACACCACTAGGCGATTTAAATTGAATAATGCGAATGTTTTGTGAATAAAGATATATCAATAATGGTTTCAAAATTTGGAATCGCCCATGCAAATAAACACGTTTGTTTGTTCGACAATATTGATAAGTTTTCATTTATTTTTTTCTGCAGATTTTTTTTCAGTTCATTTCCGAAATAAATTCTTGTGTTGCAGTGTTAAGTATCTGCTTCACTATCGAAAGATCAAAGGTATTGGACCCTATTTGGATGACAATGTCTCTCCCTTTATTACACCAATGGTGTGTGACCCCTGGATGTGTACTTTAGTAGTTCAAATATGCTACAATATGTCTTCACAGTCGAGCTTAACTTTAATATTTATACTGAAGTGAAATAATGTTATAAAACAGCTTAACATTGTCATATTGTTATCTTTCATAGACAAATATGACTGTCATATTAAAGTTAACTTCGGTCAGAACCTACATGTAATTATATTTATAAACATATCTAAAAATGCATAATTACAACAAACCTAAATCTGGGATTTGTTTTCTGAGAGCAATATTAGCACCGATGGATCCATTTTCAAGCCCTTTGATAAAACTTTCTGTTCTCCTGAAAATCAAAGAAAATTGATAATGATTAATACGTTTCGCATTACCTGAAAATAACAACCTTTAACCAACAACTTCGCTACATCAGCCATATATTGGAAGCAAATTACTCACTATCGGATGTTGCACATTTAGGTAACGTTTGGTTCAGTTAAAGTGATAATACTCCTCGAATTCTCCTCGTTATTATTAAAGAAGTTGATTGCATGGTTCTTCCCCTTTAAATTGAAATGGCTAATGTGAAGTTTATATGTCAACCACAGCGGTATTTTTCCTTCCCTTTTATTGTTTTTCTGAGGTTTGTTTCGCAAATTCATCTTGGTTCATTGTTTCAGTAATAAATTTTTCAGCGATCGCGTATGTGTTTCTTCTCTTAGCTCTTCGTAGTCTTCTTACCGAATCTAAAATGCTCGGGCGACCACGCTTTCACTTGTTAGTCATTATTTAAAATTTGAATGCGTGACACTGTTTCCATACTTTTACGTGAACTACGTTCGGAATATATACTCAGCGACAACTGAAACGATTTGAAGACCCGTTGTTTGGGGAATTACATCAGTCCATTTCTTTTTTTTCAGCCATCCAAATAAAATTTCCTTTTAAATTGCAAAAAATTATATATTTATACAATAGGCTTTAAGTTATATACATTGTTTTTGCAAACAATTTAAAGTGAGTATTATCACTTTAATGCATTCATCAGACGACTTATTGAACAGAAGTTAGTATGTCAGAAGTTCATCATTAATATGTTTTGTCTTGTACCTGGCAAAATCGCTAAAGATAAAATCTATTTACCAAAGGAAACAATCTGATGACATTATTTCTGACATGATAAAATACTACTTATCATAAGAAGGTTATTTATAGCCATTTTATTAGTTAATATTTACGATTTATTTTATGAGATAATGATATTACGAAAATTTCATGTTGCCTACCTATCTACCTCGGATTTCTTCAATACTTCAATGTGAAACCGTGATTCTTTGTTGAAAATAAGCGGATCACTTCTTGCATATTCGTGCAGTGAGAACGTTACTTTGATTTTTCCAGATTTTTGCTGAACGTCAGTGACCTTTGCATGACTTACCCAATAATATTTTGCTTTACATTTTGCATCGTTCCTTGATAAATAGCTTCGACTGGATTTTATACACAACCAGTCATAGGATGGGGAGCTGATTTCATTACGGTTACCATCCTCAAAACGTATTCCTGAGAAGTCAATTTTCCTGATTTCACAGTCATTTTCATCAAGAACAAATGTCCCTGTCCTATTCTGATTAAAGTGTACTTCGCGATCAAGTAGAGTAAACGATTCTTCATTTCGTACTACACATTTTGCGGCCTCCATTTCAAGAACTGGGAGCCATATGTGCAGATATGTTTTCACATCTTTGTAACGGTCACATGAAGCATTCAACGAATATCGTGATAAATAAAGTACTGGGTCATCTGTGTGCTGAAGACAGAATTTTATATTGTTTGTCAAACTGATAAGTGATGCTTTAAGGTGCGTTTTTCCTTTATGTTGAGACGTTGTCATTTGGATGTCAAGCCGTTGCCCACGAAAGAATCTAAGTGAAAATGTCGTGCTCGGTTTAAACACAAGACATTTTTGTGATCCTTTTCCCTTCGCCGAATCTGTTTCAATCTCCATTGCATTTTCTGTTGTTACATCAGGTAAGCCTCTTAAAGGTTCCACCTTTGAATTTTTGATAATATCACGACAACTCTGACATTCTTTTTCTCCAGAAAGACTTTTTTGAAGTAATTGTACCCATGTAGATAAGGAGACTAAACAAACGGACGCATTTGGATTAAGCTCTTGGGTATGCTCTGTCAAATTCCCCAAAATTATCGGATGAAAATTATACAATCGTTTCCTCCAAACTACTCTTACACTATTAGAGTTAGTGTTACAGTCTTGCACTATGACCGGTTTTTGTAGCATGTCTAAAAGCTTGAAAGGAATTTCTTTTTGAACGTGTAGGGGGCCTTTCAGAGAAGGTGTGCAAAATATTATTTCTCCGTCTGTGCATTTGTTTACATAGCACGTGAAAATTCGAGGAAATTGGCCAATTTCTGTTGCTAGCCTCATAGTTTTACAGCTTCTCTCATAGTCTTTTACATTTTTAGTGACCATGTTTGCATAATGACAAATGCTGACCAATTCATCATTTGAATAAGGACACTTTTTTTTCTTAGTGATGAATGCTGCATGAACCATCCTATGTACTACTAGATCAATATATCTCCTTATCGGCGAAGTAAATGTCGTGTATGGGAAAATATCTAAACCATAGTGCATTTCCTCGTTTTCTTCAAGACTCCCTGAACATCTGTACTCTCCAGCCTCTTGTATTGAAAGCCAGTTATTGTAAATTAGGAACTGGATAGGATGTAAATCGTCTTTCCTTAAATAGTTTGTAGTATGTTCATCATTAGTCTGCATTGCGTGCCAGATGTTTTTAAAAACCATCACATGTTTTTCACGCGTTTCAACGTTGGAATGGAAACTTGGTATTCTCGTTCCGATTCGCTTATCTTGTAATTTGCATACAATGTCGATATGACTTTCATTGGCCTCAAGATATTCTTTTATATTCTCCTCTGGTGGAGGACGATGACAACGGAGCGGTATACACAATCCAAATTTTGACTTGAATAGCTTTTCTGCTATTGTTCTATTCGCTAATAGCATGAATTCCTCAACTAAATTATGAGCTTGGAATGTTCCGATGTCATCGTTTGCAAGTGGCGATTCTTCAAAGTATGTTTCTAATGCAAAACTTGCATTTTTCAACCGTCGCTTTCGAAGTATTTCGGAAATTTTGAACAAAATTTTAATCTTGTCTTTGAGAGTATCAATGCCAGTAGTTTCCTTAGAAGAAATGATATTCTGAGCCTCTTGATAGGTAAGTCTCTTCTTAGATATGATATATGTTTGACTAACATTAGACTGATCTATCAGAAAGTTTTCTTTGTTGATAAGAAAGAAAATTGACAATGTTTTACGTAATTTATTTGGAAGAAGACTGCAAATATTTTTGCTAAGCGGTTCTGGGAGCATACATCTAGCATTTTGAATATTGGAGTAAAATGTTTGTGACCTTTGCTTTGCTTCCAAATCAATTTTTGAATCTTTAGGCACGTAAGATGATACATCTGAAATGTGCACTCCGACCCTATACTGCTGTTCAAAATCTTCTACACTTAGTGCATCATCTAAGTCTTCAGAACCTGGTGGATCGATTGTGAAGGTCAGTAAATTACACAAGTTTGTTCTGTCTTTCAAATCGTCTTCGTTTGCTTCACCCCTTGTGTTTTTCAAAAGACTCTCAACCTCATCAACCGTTGAACTTTGGTACAAAGAGGGAACTTTATGGAGAATATTGGTGATCAAAAGGTCTTGCCTAACACTTCGTCCAATCGGAAGTATTCTTATGATTGCACCCCTAGGGTACACATGACGTGGACTCCAGTTGATGTAAACAACAACAAAGATGCTGGATTTTAGTTCCTCTTGTGTTAAATTAACTATTTTTGAAAAAGTTAATGCTTTATTTTCATTATCGTAATTGTAAAGCTCAAATTTATATCTTTTATCAGACTCTTTCTTAAATTGCCTGGAAATTTCCCTATCCAAAACATGTATTTTTGGAATAGTTTTGCAAACTGGTCGCACAAGATTGGATCTTTCTTCATCAATCGTACAAGCTAATGGTTTTCGTTTCACATTGTCATGCTTTACATTGTCGAAGATACCAATCACCTTTCCAAACCTCTTCTCTGGTTTCTTTTCGTCATATATAACCTCAACGACAACTTTATCTCCATTCAATGTTTGCCCGATTTTCCCTCTACCCTGTATTTTGATAGGAATACTGCAGTTTGATATGGCTATGGGAATACAGATTGCCTCATGTGGTCCATTCATCTGGATAGTTCCTGCAACATATTTATTTTTATTGGTCAAAAGCTCTTCTAGCTCTGGTATTGGCTGCAAGGTTTGATACAACTGCTTTCTCTTCAACATATCTGGATGTCTGTCTTCAAATTTACCAAGAAAAGACTGACTGAGATTTACAACCATACCGAGTATATCTTCTTCTGTAGATTTTGACATTTCACGTTGAACCTTTGATCTGCTAGTAGTTTTACTCTGCTCATAAAAAGATGTTTCATCTTCGTCCAAATCTGATTCATCTGATGAAAAGCTCTGATCTGTTAAAGACAGTTCATCAAATGTAGATGTTTTCGAACAAGCAGCTGCATTATGGACAACAGGCCCGTCCTCATCCTCGTCATCTTCATTTGTACTCTTATTAACTTCACTTTTGTTTTGAGGGATTGTACGTTGGTAAATTATAGTGGTTTTTTGTGACACGTTATCTGAAGAATCTGATATTTGGTTCTGATTATTGTTTTGTTTTTCATGCAGCTTAAGGCGATTTGCTGAAAGATAGATGAGATGATTTCAACGATCATTGTCATATATTATTTTTTCACTGTAAAATGTAAAAGGCGTATGCCAATACAAAATCTTCAATAAAAGTGTTTGGCTACATTTAACAGAACCCGCAAGCATTGCTGATTTTAGCATGCATAGATGATTTTCTTTTGGCATGAAAAATTAACATACTAAGCATATTTTGTTGGAACAAATATGGAGTGTACTTTTAATATTGTGTATACCCGGTTTAATATTTTAAATCTAAATTATAATGATTATTTTAGGATTGATGCTTCTGAACAAAGACTAACGATTGTTTTACTAAGTCTGCAAGGTAAGATGTGTATTTCGCTTGGACATCAGTGTGGTGAAAAAAGCAGTTCCAGTATAATTCCAGTTTTATTGAGAATAGTCATTTTATAACCAAGTCGAGATCTGCAAAGGAATCATTCAACCTTTACTATACGTTACAAATGGCATAGACACAACGTAAGTTTAAATGATGCTTTCAAAATATTTTCACAACCTTACTGAGTTTTCTTTATAAAATACTCACGCCTCCGCCTTCGCCTATTTCTCTTGGTTTCATTGTTCTGTTTTTGTTCCTGTAACGTAATAGGAATCACAATAAAATGCTTTAATTTTTTGTTCCTCCTCCAGATTAATATAATATACATGTATTATGAATATAAATTGAATTATGATGAACGATTTTCAATATTTTTCCTTTAATATTTTTGAAACAATTTATGCCGATACAAAGTAGGAAAAATGACATTTTGTAGATATCATAGGTATTTTTATACATCCATATGTATCAATGTATTGATTAGACCAAGAATAAATGTATAAATGAAACGTGTATTTGCAGGTGCATTTGTAAATTACCTCTTTTTTATGCGGATCTTCATTCTGTTTAATGCCTGTTGCAGCATGACGTTTTGGCTTTGGTTTAGCTGGTGATGTCCTTTTCAAGTTTATTTCATCTTGGAGAGTCTGAAGTCTCTTAATTTCCAATCCACTATTTTTTGTCTTTGCAATGAACAAACCGTGTTTTATAATTTTGACCATTTATTGAAATCTTAGAATGTTAGGAACATATCATTATTGCGTAAAGGATATGCATTTTTTGAAAGTTTAGTTAGCTTCAAATATAGAAAGAAATGTTAGCTAAGTTAATAAAAGTTTATCAAATAAGTTTCTCGATGCTACTTGATATTACGTATTTACCTTACAACATTTAATTGCCAGCTGACAGTATTTGGTAGCCGATTTGAAACTTTGAGTTGATAATAGTGATTTTGCAAATATTTCCATCGCACTGATGTCATCACAATCGGAATGATCAAGAACTATGCAAAAATAAATCATAACATGTTACCATAACAGAAACTTGGGCAATTTTCCAATATTTGTTTTATGAGGAAGGGTCTCGTTTTTCTGTGAAAATGCATTGTCAAAATGTACGTATTATGAATGTTATGCTATTCGTCAACTTGTTAATAAGGCATTACATTCATGTAATTGATTATGTAAGACATTTTAAAGAAAAAACTATTTAAACCACTGATCGTATAGAAAAATATGAATGCATTCTTATATATCTTTCTGCTTACAGCACACTGAGCCTTGGTATTTTCTTTCTTGTTAATGAAGTTCATTCCAATAGCTTGGAACCAGTTTGCCGGGCAAGATAATCGAATATTATTGAGAAAATAAGAATTTTTTTTTAATTTTCAAATGATGCCGAAGTATTTTAGGACAATGAGGTAACTTAAAGCATACTTCATTTAGTACAGGTAATTAATAGACAAACTTACCAAACTTGCAAAACACTCTTGTATTGTCATGGTTATTCTGGAAAAAAAAGAAATGCGAATTATTCGATTCTATGTTAAATTGAAAATCACTCCGTTTGTTTAATATCAGAAAAAATAATCATTTAAATTACAATGAAGCAAAGGTGCGCTTATTTCTTTAATTAAGTTAACAGTCGCTTGTAATGTTCTTAAATAAGTTATGATTTTTTAGATAAGCTATTTCTAAAAAAAAAATCTTATAAATAATCTATTGACACCAAATATTTTATTATTGCAAGCAATCATTATTATGCAACTGGCCTTTGTAATATAAAGTACCAAAACAGAGGGTTTTTGTTCTTTTATGGGGGGGTATTAATGCTTTAGTATAATCTTTGTTATTGGGGGGGGGGTTATTAATGCTTTAGTATAATCTTTGTTCAATAAGGAGTTTTGAAGCTTACAAGATTGAGGTGGCATTTTGCCATTCGTACGAAAGCTTTATGGCGTCCTTCATTCATCAAGATATTGCTAGGACCAATAGAGTATCCATCTCTCAAGAAAATGAAAATCTTGTTGATAGTGTTGTCTATATCTAAACACCGTTTCCATTTGCAAAATTTCATTGCCAATTCAGCTGCTTCATCGAGATCATTTGAAATAAATGAAGAAAGTTTCTGCAAAAGATATATAGCAATTTCACCCTTATATCAGAAGTATTAGTCATGTTAAACGTTTGGAAATATATAAGTGTTTTTTTTCAATTTGTCAGATCTTAATTTACTTTTTTCACTTCTGTGCAATTGATAGCTTTTCTGTTTAAGGAAAAATGGTGGAGCTGGTGTCATGACTTTTGACGGCTTCGGCGTTTTTGTCAAGGTCCATTTACTCAGAAACTAAAATTTCTATTCACGTCCAATCTTCTATACAAGTGTGTTGTCATAAAAGAACACAATTTCCAAAGGGTGGATAATCCAACATTTGTTTTATGCAAAGTTATACCCCTTTTTAAAACAAACCACATTTTAAAACTTTTCTCAGAAACTATCATTCTGATATGCACGTTCACTATCAAAATATTACTGTAACACAATTTCTAAAGGGCAGATAATCCTAAATGCTCCCTATTCTATGTTGCTTTTACTTAACTATGCAGCACAGAAAAAACGTGAAGCGCGTTGTCTACGTAATAGACTTAATGACGGTACCTGATAAATTCAAATATTTATTGTGCAACATGAAAATGTTTTCTTTCTAGGAAATTATTTTATGCCAACACAGCAGTTTTCTATAAAAAGTGACAAAGTAATGTACCTCAGTTGTTATTTGTGAATTGAAGTAAAAACTTACCTTGTGTATTCTTACTAACATCTCCCTTGGTTGCTCGTAGAGAAGTTTTACCCAGCGTATATCTTTCTCAATAGCGTTGAATTCCATTTTGTCTGAGAAAACAGCCGCTGTTAACAAAAGTTATACCGGTATTTGAGCAGAATGAGTATTAAAAAAGTTTATTTTCATGTTGTTTTCACAAAGTCATAAGATAAGATAACATAGCATAAGATTTTGACATCATGTACATACATGGTTATGTAGCATATGGAGTGAGACACAACATAATAGATACATTAGCACAAAATCCATGACATGCACACAAACACCAGGGATAACACAAAAGAGGGCCTACCTTTAATTCCATTGCGGATCCTAAGTGTTGGTGGCCATAGAGGGGCAATGATAATACTTGATGAAAAATATCACAGAAAATATCATAAAGAATATTATCACAAATATCTTTACATATATATCACAAAGAATAGTATCACAAATATCAATACATATAAATATGCCATTTGTTCTATATTGAAATATTAAATACAAACATCTAATAATTGGCAGGACATTGAACTCAGATATATTTCCGCAAGGCAAAAATCTTCTCAAATTTAACATTAAAGACCATTTAACAATGTTAGATATTAGCTAATTTTTACTTCCGTCTCTGTTGAATATATATGGTACTTTTTATTATCTTTTATTTAAATGTATTTCCCAAATGAAGTATCAAGAATTAAAGCGTTAAGAATGTTTGAAAAAATAACAATTTCCTAGTATGTGAAATGACTATTTCATGTTACACCTACTATATATTAGGTAAGTACAATACAAACAATTGGTTCATTTGTAGGATTCAAATTTATAAGATTTTTGTATCAATTGAACACGTTTAAAAAGCAGGGGTTTATATCTAAATTATCATTGTTAAAATTTGCCTTTTAGAATGTTTCCCGCAAGTGGGCTTTTGATTAAATATAAAAAATGACTTATCAATTTTGTTTTAGATAAAAGACAGGTTTTTTTTCATCAGCTTTACATTTTGAATTAAATTTAACAAAGTGTTGTTGTGTTTATGTCTTTCACTAGGAATTTCAGTGCTAAAGCAAATGTTCTATTTGACGTTGTAATATCTAAACATTTATTGAGAACTTTTTGCCTTGTGTTTCAACAATAACAGTTTAACGATTGTCTAATCGTGTCATTCATTGTTAGTGTTAATTGTGATTACACAAACTCCAGTTGTGATCTGAATTTTCGATTTAAACACTTACATAATAATTTAGCGTTTGATAAATATGTAACAAGTTAAAGTAACAATGATGTCCCCGGGGGCAGTGCTATTTCTGAACCAAGTTATATATTCTAAATTATTTAATTTTTGTTTGAGTCATGTAGTTTCTTTTGTGAGGTTATCGATAAAAAAACAAAGTGACCCTAGGTATAAGCCAAGTTTTATAGAGGTCTACCAGGCAACTAGTTAAATATTTACGCTATGACAATTATTTCAAACGTGAAGATTTATATGTGCTTTTTGTATAAGTTTTCGTTAACAAAACCACACACGGGGCGGTGTTAATATTGACACATCATGTGTGATTTTTTATATAAATAGTAAGATTGCAGATGAGGTTCTATACTTCTCCAAATCCCTCCAGAGGCGTGCACGTCGCGGAGAAGGCACACGGCAGGTCAAGGTCAAGTCATCTTAAGTACCAGAGGTGATTGGTTGACCTGTCGTGACTAACTCTGGAGGGTTGGCGCTAATGAGAGCCGTTTTTGTTGGACCGGCATGGATGCTATATTCTCGGACAGATGGTTATACCGGCGCCGAGTATAAATAAACTTAAACTGACTGACTGACTGAGGTTCTATCTGTATACATTTATCTCTATCATTGAATAGTGTCGAGCCCCTTGCTGGGATGTATAATTATTGTTTGCAAGTCAGAAATATCAGAATGGTTTAAAAGTTTTGTTTAAAAGGGATAAAAGAAGAAAAAAAAAGTTAAAATTGAATTTATTTATTTAAGCGAGAAAAGGAACTCATCCAATGGGGTTTACGTGAGGATATTGGGATGGAGTCAGAGATCCTGCTATTTACATCTGACAGCAGTCTGTTATCTAGAGAGCTTTTACCAACCGGAAAGTTGTATTGTTTCTGTTTAATATTTAAAAAAGTACACTTTATTTTCTGCTTATTTAACATATTTTGGATAAAAGTTTTTTCTTACCCTTCCATGTGCAACTAAGACTTTTCCAGTAGTCGTATAACTGTAAAAAATAAACAAAATGCTTGATAAATAGGATCATCATTAATTGATTAATATATGAACATTTAGGCTAAATTCTGTAAAGCATTGAACAAACACTGTTTTCTTTATTTGTCTAAATGTTGTTGTTATTAAGTTGCTTTACATATTGTAAATGTATTTTAATATGATCTATACACCTTTTTTACTACTTTTTTGTCGAATAAATTCCCACTTGCGCAATTTTCATATAACATAAAAGAACAATGCCTTCTTAACTACAAAATGTACTAGTAGGTGCAGTTCTAACATCGGTTTAACTTAAATATTAAGGAAACAGCACAAATGATAATGTAACAGTTAAGAAAATATATATGTTATTCAAATCAAACACTGTTTATACATGTATAAATCTTACAATGTGTAAACCTTACCTTAAAGAAAATACAACCGCACTGTGAATACCACTGGGCTATTTTTTCTTCTTTCTTTTCATCTTTCTCCGGTAATGTTCTAATGTACTCATTTTTCTCGACAGAAACACGTTTTAAAGCTTGCTCTACAAATTTCTTTGCATCATTGAAATTGCTTTCTTGTAATCCAACATCTGCCTTTGATATTAACTCGTCTATAGAAACGGCCATTTCTAAAGCCTTTTGACGATATATTTGTCGACACGTTCACAGACCTAAAAAGCAAACAAAAAATACAATAAGGTGCTTATAAAATAAATAGAAAACATTTTTTAAAGCTGTAAGAAAGATATATTATGATGAATATAAATATACTTAAGTTAATGTGGTGATAGTGGTGTTGGTAGAGTACCCTCAGGATCACGACAGAAAGCCAGTTTGATTTCACCACAGCCGAGTTCAGCCACCATATCGTTACTGGGCAGGCTGTCAGGCAGGTTATTAGTACCAGTTGCCTTTACTTCTGCAATGAACAAATAACCTTTGTACATGCCAGAGTAGAGGTATACAATAGTATGAATGACCTAGAAATGATTTTATGATCAATCACAAGTGAAAGGAAATCTATGCCGTCTGGGAATCGAATCCGTGTCGCCCGATTCACAGTCCAACTAATACTGCTGAACTAACCAAATGGCTGTAAAGTAAATGTTTAAAGCCTTTCATATTCATATTTCTAAGAGTTACTTAAAACTGAAAAAAGATAATGTAATATTGTATATCCAAAATAAGTTGTATGCGAAGTTTCATTCAAATGAGTTTTGAATCTAAAAGAAGAATATTGACGTATTTATAGAAGAAAAATAACTAACTTAAATCAGTGCAATGACTGTTTTCGGGCGTAAGGGGATAGTGGTGAGGTTAAGCTACATCGATTTACTGGCGACTTATCATTGTTAATGGTAGAAAACAAATCTCGTGACCTGTCATGCATTATTTTTTATTACAAATGGATACAGTTACCTGAGTGGAAGAACTGCCTTGCTTCCTCACATCAAAACATCTAAAATCTCTGGCGGAATTCGGAGCAATAGCTGTGAGATGTAAGTGGTTCAAAGTCATGGACCTTATCTATTCAGACTCGGAGGTCCCTGAATATATATAATCATGAATGGTGGCGGTCTATGTAGTATTATAACGTCAATGTTGACTTAAGAGCAACCATAAACAGTGACTATGTTGAAAAATGCATGTCCTTAGTTGAGCCAAAAAGTTTCAAGAAAATCAACTTTAACAAAAATGTACTTAGACTTTTAAAAAAGTTAAAACATTCACAATTCAAGTAAAAAATTACATGGTATATACAAGAAAAACCGATTTTGCAGTATTAATCATCATATTTCTTCTGCGTGACTAACGTAGTAAGGGTTATTTTTATTATTTTGAATTTTATTTGGTATTTTAAGTGGATTGAAAAAATATTTGCAATATGTAAATTACTTTCTTTGTTCACTTGGCAATACTTAACTTTTATATATATCTTAATTTTTTTATGGAAATTCATGTTTGAACTTGTTTCTAAAACTTCTGCGACATTTTGACATTGGCTGTTTTTCAAAAGATCCACTTGTCAATCGATGACATAATTACACGTATCAGTGTTTTAAAAAACGATATTAAACGTATACGTATTTATAAACAATTTAAAAATTCATAAGATAAATAACTTACTGTTCTTGTTTTCTGTTTTTATTTCCATGTTATATTCATGTTCCATGTTATATTCAGGAAGTTCAGATATATCTGCGCAATACGAGATGAGACAAAATAGGTAATATAATAATCGACCAAGGTGTCTAGACCTGCTGTCGTAACGTGTTTATGTCAGGTATTTTTGAAAAGTCGAAGGCAAAATGCCAAAAAGCATTGTTTGTTTTAAAATGATATCAAAGTATTTTATTATCTCACTACCCTTTGTAACACATGTAATAAATGTATCATTATCTAATGTATACATAATTTATATTATCACTATCTCTGATGTACAACTAGGAATGAATATTAAGACGGAACAAACATATTATATAGATATAATATGATCTACAATAATGAAATATAATTAGTCAGCCTGCATAATTATGTCGAAATTTGGTTTTGAAAACATTATTTCATATAAAGTTATTTACCAAATATCAAATGTTAATAATATTATTTTGATTTCCAACCATTTTGTAAATCTGTCACCCAATTTTTTCATCAATACATTGTTTTCTGATGAAAGCATTAGATGTATCTAAATATACTATATATATATATATTTGTTATCTATGAAAAAAAACATGTTCTAAAGGAAATAACATCCCATTTTATTTATCGCAAGTATCAGTATTTCGTCACCCTATTCTAAAAATGGTGTATCTACAATTTCCTCTTTTTTGGGAAAAAGGGGTTAAAGGTTCAAGACGTTGTAACTTTTATTTAATAACTCCTAACAGTGTGGACTTCTGGATTGGTATTATAGATGTCAACATGTGATGAAAGCACTTTGTTATATACCTTTATAATTTGCAGTAATTGTAAAAATTCAAAAAAAAATTTGGAGATAGACCAAAAATGTTTATTTTTAGATTAAAAAATTACTCTAAAAATGAGTTTGCGGAGATATGACAAAGTAAGGCTAAAATTGTAAATACTTTTTGAGTTAGCATTTTTTAAGAGTAATAATTTTACTATAGAATATTAGTAGATTTTTACATTCTAAAGAACATTTTCAGCCAGAGTGGTTGAACCGCTGACACTGAATCACTTTATCTTCGTAAATTACTATGTCAAAGTGTAAATTCATTCACGTGATCTCCAACGTGGGCCTTTCTCGATAATAACAATATAAAATTATGCCATAAAAAAAAGAAAAACAAACATTTTACAAAATTTTTAATCAATGAACTTGCTAAAACAAACTGACATATTTTGAACCATTATGAGAAATGAAATGATTGTAACCATCTCTAATATCGTGATTAAATGATACAGATATAAATTATATTACCATTTCATTTCATTTCATTTCATTTGCAAATCGGCAAATAAACATTAACTTTGGCCATTAACAGAGTATCATGAAAAATATGGCCAAAAGTTAAATAGTTACAAACATTACATCATACAATATATAACAAAAAGAGAACAAGAATGAAACTAATTAATAAGCAGTTACATCTTCAAGAGACTGTTGCCTCAACATAAATGCATTATGAACATAGTGAGCACATTTAAGAATAAGCTTTTTGTTATTAGTGGACAATATAGTCGAAAATTTTTGTATAGTAGGCAATGAAATGTTTCCTAAATATTTGGTTCTTATAACAGTATAAATTGGACAACATAAAAGGAAGTGGTATTCTGATTCAATAGAGTTATATATACATAGTTTACATTTGCCATCGTTTCTATCAATGTTAAAATGTTACCAATAATTCTTTTTTAATTCACACAATTAAAGTCAATACCACATGCATTAAAAGTCTCAAGTATTGTTTGTGGTTTAATATCAACGTATGAAAAAATATCTGCTCAAGTTCTTAACAATCTTTCAAGATTGCAAAATCGTCGTTTTCAAGATTTTACATCCAGTGAATTTTGCGATCTCCCATATTGGTTTTTGTCGCACAACGTAGATACTGGACATTCCATGAACAGGCTAAATCAAACCGAGCCGGCAACATTTTAGATCATGCCGTATTGTGCTTTAAGAATTCTGCTATTATCTAATAAATATAATCATTGATGACACGGAGAACACTGAAACTCGCATGCAAACTTAAAATCTATTTTTTGACAAGACAGTGGTATTCCAATCCCATTGGAATGTTAAATATCTATTTATTTTGTGAATATTTTAAGACTTAAAAACAATGATTTATCTGAAACTGATGGCAAGTCAAAACTTCCCCACAGACTTGATGTTGTTGATATAAAATTCCATAGTTTTGTGGAAGTTCTGCTAACTGCAGTCACAAGTTCTAAGAGACAACATTTCTGTAAGGACAACGTCTGATAATGTAAGTAAGTCTGACCTGAAATGGACAAAATGTTATCATTAACAATTAAACAACAACAATGTTCGATACTCCAAATAGTTCCAAATAGTTCATACGAATATCCGAATATAGTTATCCGAAACTATGTGATTGTGAAACTTTGAGAAATATATATAAAATAATGATAATACTATGAAACAAATACTAATACAAAATATAAATTCACTTATAAAACGTATAAAAGCTAAAATATATTACTTACATGCTTCAGAAATCATTTTTAACAGTCACTTTCCTAGTTAGCTGGCTGATTTAAATACGATTGTTGTTGTTATCACTGGAGTTAGAACAATTATATTGTCAGGCCCCTTCAGGTCACATGACATATATTTTTCAATTTGATTGGCTGGCACGAAAGATTAGCCTAAAAGTGTTACATGTGTTGGAGATACGACGAAAAAAGGCTAACAGCAAAGCTTTCCATTGGACATAGAACAAAATACAGACGCTATATCTACAAAAGTATGACGTAAATCTTCACAAGTTTTGTTTTGGAGATAGAACAAACTAATACTAAAATAAATGTGCAATTATCTCATTTTTGGTAAAAATGGAGTTAGGACATTTTTAGAATAAGGCGACGATTTGTATATAATTTCAAAATACCTGTCAAGATAAGTGTATTTAGGTAGCATGAAAGAAAATTGATACATTTAATATATAGTATTTTAAACAAAAAGATATAATTATTTACTTCAATTCATTGCTATTTTCTGAAAATGGAAGGCAAGTAGCCAAAACTGTAGGTAAAATTAGAACGTTTTAAATATAATAACTTCCCTTCCTTTTGAAAACCACTAAATTATGAAACAGTAAACAAAATTATATATCAGATGGTTTGTATTTATTCAGAGGTTATGTTCACGTTAAATTAAAGCATATCATAACAAAGCTAGTATGAAATTCATATATAGATTTTTTCCCTGGTTGTTAACTTTTAATCTCCGGCGGATTAAGTACAACGCTTCTTTCTTATCTAATTATTTTAGCACGAAATGAAACTAGATCTTATTTTGTAAATACCTAAGTTATCGTTATTACGATATTGTCGCTACTGTATATATGTTAATTAATGAAACTACTTTATTCATTAACTTATCTATAAATGGCAAATTATGCAACGATAGGCCTTACTTTGTTAATAACGCGGTAAACTATGATCATTATAAAACAATAAATGCATGAAACCTGAAATACGGGTTTACTTACTTCTGAATTTCTTTAACTGTATCTTTTTTTTTAAATACATTTAATAAAATGTTGTTTTTTTTTCTAACAGAGGCGTTTAAATTTAAAAGAAAAAAAATGCCGTAAAGAATGTTCAAATACGGTATTTTATATTATTTAATAACAATATTTACTTAACATAACTATTACGTATACGACTAATCGATAAGGCAAATTCAAAAACATGTATAAAATATTGCTGAGAAGCAAATTTTTCTATAATGTAAGCAGATTTATCTGCACGTTACATAATTTACACAGGTTACATAATTTATGAAAGAAAAGAAATTAATAATTTTTATCTTTTTTTATTGTACAAAATTGTTATGTACTAGAAAGAATGTGCTGGAACTATTCCCTTCCTTCAAACATGTAATGTATCCTATCATTATCTATTTTTGTTTTAGATAAAAGATTTAATAGTTTCAGATAGTAGTGGAAAATACATGCATTTTATATATGCTCATTCAACAATTAAATATGCACCTTTTTCGTACATTAAACACAAGAACACATTAAAACCATGAGCCCGTAGCAAGCTCGCTTGATTTTATCCGTAAATGCACAATTTATTCTCTGTTAGTGTTACCTGCGGATGAAGCTTTTATGAAAGAATATTATTCAAAATATATATTTTAAAAACTTTGATAAACTGTTTGATATAAGCAAAGGGAAACTAACCAGTAGTGAATGAAATAAAGATTTATCGTAAAGATTGGTGTCCCGCTTGCAAACATTAAACATGTTGGTAAGATTTAAGAGAAGAAGTGCCATAAGACTGTTTATCGTAAACAGCAATGTCATCGAAGACGGTTGCTTTTCGAGCGGAGGAAATAACTGCTTTAAAAATAAACCCCCGAGACATATTGCTAGTTTGCAGGCATCTAAAAAGATGAGCTCCCACAATCTTCAAACGTGATTTGATAATAAGAAAGACCGTAAGTGTCTATATAAAGCTGAAGGTGCAGTTTATCAAAAGACAATGCTTCGGAAAAAGACTCAAGAGACCGGAAACAGGTTTGATTGCTTGACAATGCGTCATTACACAATACGCCCTTCAAACGTGACTTCTTCTGAGGCAAGTTTTGTAAATTAATTGTTTTTTTGAATTAATCAAGTCATTCACAAGGAAATTATTTATGAAGTGATTCATAAGGAAGTTATTTATTCGAGTGACGGCTTAAAAAAAGCAAACAAAAACCCAAAACAACAGTTTTTATACTGATTTATACAACATTAAATGTTATCTTTTATGAGAAACATTTTGTGACTGTTAAAAAGTTGCCTCTTGTAAACAATAAAGGAAGTTAAGGTAAAGTCTTCAACTCCACCAACCAATTGTTTTGTTCCAAAAACTGAAATGTTCATCTTTCAATTTCGAACTGAAGTTTGTTGATCAAAGGAATTACAATGTAATAATATTAATTACGAAATATTTTCACGCGTAAAAATGTGCGGTATTTGGACACGAAAGAGAAAGATACGGATCATTAACTATTCTAAAAGTTTATCAAATAGCTTTATTACACAACATTGACATTGTCAAAATGGCAATATTTTATATTACTAGCGATTTATATTATAGATTTTTAAAAGATATATGCATGTTGATTGACAATTACTGTTTTGGGTCGAATGATATAGCTTGCCTGAGGTATTACGTTACTAATTGTCAATAGTAATCAATTACTATTCCTCGTATCATTTTGCCTTTGTATATGGGCTTAACCCGTGTAAAGGTCCCGGGGTTGTAAATCAGGAGTGCATCTCGTAGATTTATTTATTCAGAATGTGTAGTATATGTAGGCTATGATAACAACAGGGGACGATTTCAAGAGATTGTAAATAATAAATAATTGACAACGTTTAAATGTTTTTTTAAAGGGAATTAAAAAAAAATAAAAATAAAATAAGGTCTGGTTATCTATCTGAAGGAAAACCGATAAATTTCGTATAGACATTATCATTTCGACTAGCTTGCATAAATGTTTGTACAATTAAAAATATTGGGGAAATGGCGAAACGCAGAACACTTTATAGACCTTGGTTACTTGACTGTAAGCGTAAATGTGGGAAAATAAAAGCAAGAGGGTCGCTGGTCAAAAAGTGCTCACCTGAGGACAGGACAGACTGTTATTATGGTAAAAGCAGCGGGAGCTACAGTTCATTACAATCGTTTGAACGAAATTGGTCACTAGAACATACTTTATGCAAACTATAATTTTTAATCTTTACTAAATACATGGTCCTAATTTCAAAGTTGTACAATGAAAACGAGAAAGTAGGTAACTAGGTCAATATTTAGGTAATATGAAACAAAATTTGAATCCTACACTTGAAATTGTGCACAGGGTCAATATGTTACAACTGTACATAAAAAGAAAGAAAGTTTGTCACTTGTCAAAAATCTATGTCAGCTGATATCAAAGTTCAATTTTACATTCAATACTAAGAACATGGACCAATTTTATAACTGTTCACAAAAAAGCAAGAACGTGGGTTACTTGGTCAAAATCAAGGTCAGCAAATACCAAAGTTCAAGCTTACGTCTAAAACTGTGCGATTGGTATAAATTTCATCATCAAATGACAAGAAAGTATGTCGCTTGTCCAAAATAAATATCAGCTGATAACAAAGTTCAATGTAACATCTTAAACTATTCACAAAGATCAAATTTCATAGCTGTATATCAAAGGGCAAAAAAAATGTGTTAATTAATCAAAATCTAGGCCAACTTACATCAAAGATTAAAACAACTTTTAAAACTTGCACTTGGTCCGAATTTCATAGTTGTATATCGAATAACAAAACAAAATGTCACTCTGTCCCCTTGGGCAAGGCCAGTTTTGACCCCGATGCTTTAATTTAACAATCTTGCTACAGGTCTACAAGACAATGTTCTTTATTAGATACATAAGCTCTATCTTTTTTCATTAATTTTTGTTTAATTTATATAAAGAATACTCATGACCCACAATGGTGGGGCTTATTTTAAACACATAATTTGAACAATCTTTGTAGAGACTCAAAGTGTTTCATGTCAAATATCAGGGCTCTAGACTTTGAAGCATCAGAGCATTATTTCTTAATAAGATTTAACTACATGTACATATTAAGAAAATATATCAACCCCTGGACAGGGCCAATTTTGACCCCAGGCTATAGTTTAAATAACATTTGTTGAGGTCCACTACACAAGGTTTCATGCAAAATATCTACCCTCTAGACTTTATCATGTCACAGGAGATAAGTTAAGTTTTTACTATATGTTTCCCGGGGAATTTGAACAAAATTAGTAGAGGTCCACAACACAAAGCTTTATTCTAAATATCTAACCTCTAGCTTTTGTCGTTTCAGAAAAGGTTTTTTTTACTTTCGAATAGTAACATATAAGCAAAACATATTACCCCCCAACCCCAAAAGCGGGATTGATTTTCACACTAGATGCATAATTTAAACAACTTTGATAGACGTCTACTAGAAAACGTTTCATGCCAAATATCTTAGCTTTAGCTTTTAGGTTTACATTTCAGAGAAGAAGATTTTTTAGGTTTTTACTGTATGCATATAAGAAAAATCTATGTTCTCCAGAGCGGGGCCTATTTCGGGGCTATAATTTGAATAAACTAGGTCCGATTCACAATGTTTCACTCACGACGACAGACGGAGGGGGTTACAATAGCCAGTTGTGCTTAGATAAACTTATTAAGGGAAAGGTTGATTAAAACAGAAATTTATTCGGTTTACAGACCAAATTCTCGATGTCCCATTATAATTATCGTGATTTCTAACAAATATTTTAACTTCTTCTGCTTCTGTTTCATCACTGAGCACATTTGACGTTCCTGTTTATTTTTATCTTGACTTTTTAGCAGTGATAGGAGTTTTTATTTATATGGTTAGATTATGTTATAACATAATGTAAAGTCATGCCAGATTTCTTTAACTGCGAGGTGAGCGATGTAAAGTTTTATAGAAAACAGACGTAGACAAATGCAAACTTTTTAATCTGCCAATTCAATTTTCTTTTTATATGAAACTTAGCAAAGCCGGTCACCATGCCAGACTGTCTCTGTAGATTTGCTACGTTTGCAAAAAAATATGTCAAAAATGTTTTGTTAGTCTAAAGATTAAATTGTCGTATTAAAGTGGCTTTATACCTATTCAAGAGTAGATGGTGAGTCTTCATGTAAAATTCAGAATAAGTTAACATTTTTACATGTTCACTTTCAATTTCAAAATAAACCTCTCCTGAATAATCAATATTAAAAACGTAGTCACCGTGACCAACATTTATAAACTATCCGTAATGTTTAATTTATAAAAAGAGTGGGGACACTCTTTTTTACATGTTATACTGTTTTTAAATTTTATCCTAAACATTATCGATTATTGCTCAATCGCCATTGTGAAAGTCAATTTTTTTAAATTAATTTAATTTTTTTTAAACATACCACTAATTTGTCTTAGTTTTGCAGTAAAAGAATGAACATATCACGCTAAAACATATCTACAACTCGAATACCAGCCATACGTGTAAAGGTCAGACACTCACATTGATATTTCCATAGACTTACATAATAAGAAATGGTCTTAAAATAGAGTTTTCATGCTAAAGAGGTCATTTTTCTAGCAGAATGAAATACCTGACACATAAAAATGTTCCTGTTATATAGGGGTAGCCAACCAAATTTTTTGCAAAATGACTTTAAAGAGGATTACCCCCATTTCATTGAAATTTTCTGCTGATCACAGGACTGACATACACTTTTTATAAATGCAAATATCCAAGTCAAAATTATCACAGAGACTCCTGAAATATTTCATTTTCTTCAGAAAACAATGTAGTGTTACTTTTTAAATTAGTTTTTATACTTAAAAATACCCCACTTTCATCCAATCACCTCATGTATAAATTGACTCATACGGTTTTCCCTGCGTAAGTGTAAATAACTTCCGGTTTAAAGTCAAACAATTTGGGTACATTTTCAAAAAAAACATTATAGGCTGTTCATTCGAGAAGGAAACAACAACAACAAAAATGATTAACATAAGTATGAAGAAATTTGTACAGTTGGATTTAATTGGTATTGGAATATCAGGGGTTTTACAACTTGTCGGATATTTAACACCGGGATGGGTATTAATGGAATATACGTCGACCTATCAATCCCACAGTGTATGGTATCGTATAGAGTGTACAAAGGAAACTCATACCTCTTGTGTAGTAAAATATAGTACGTTTTTTATTATTCACATGCAAAACTGTTAAACAACATAAATAGTTTAATGTAAAAGTAGTTGATACTTTATCTCATTTCGGCAAATTAACATCATAGAAACTTGGGAATAGAATCGTAATTGCGACGCATAAATCGGAACCCGTACCGGTGTATTAAATTTTGACCCCGTTGAAAATTGACCCGATGGGTCATTTTTAAATGTTGAGAACTGAACCTCAGTCATTTTTATACGTTGAAAATTGACCACGCAAAGAAATCAAAATAAAACTTTGGTCAGAAATTCGTTAAAAATGATCAATCGTTATAATTTGATCGTGTTTTGTATGCAAAATCGTGCATGCATATGTATAAGTGTTTAACAGTAGGTTTAAGCCAGTCTATCGGACACTAGCGCATTCTTAAGTTATTGTTTGGTAATATTGACCTGAGACTCTTTCGTTAGTTTTCGTAATTTATTAAGGTATGGCCATCCTAATGCATGACCGTTTTCAAATAGGCTAGAACTACTTTTAAATACATTGAAACTAAGGGCCATGGGTTCAAGCCCCGGAAGGGTCAACTTTTTTTCTTTTCATTCTTTCTTTTAACATAATCCATGTATCTCTAATATCCCTTATGGGAAGAAAAAATGTTTAATTATGATTATTTAAGTTATATAGGTATTTATTGCTGAATAACGCTAAATTTAGTGACAAATATGGCACCTGTTATTTTCAAAGTGCAATTAATTCAAAACTTACCAAAAATTAACGGGAAAACATATTTCATCATGAGGATATTGTAGATTATCTAAAGGTTCCTTATTTCGGAAAAAGGGCCCTTCTTACAGCTAAGATTAAATTAAATTAAAAAAGTGGAAATAACTCAATTTTCGTACGGTAAAGTTTGTTTAAATTTTGCATACAGGTGTCCTTTAAGGTATATATCTGACCTATGTTATCAATTTTTCAGTTTCTTATAGTGCCCGTTATGATGGTCATACCTTAATGATAGGAAAGTTCTCGAAATTAAAGTTTATACAAACGTCCCGATGGCCTAGTGGTAAGTAAAATAGCTTTGCAATCCCGAAGTTGTAAGTTCGAATCAATAACATTTTTTTTTTCAGATTTCTTTAATTATTTTTTTAAATTATATGCAACATTATTGAATGAATAATTATTAAATTCTTGTGTATTTTCTTAAAATAAATTCATGACTTTGATATATAGATGCAAATTTATATGAAAATTTTCATAATTTCAATTTGTACAGACGTACGATGGGTGAATGGCATGCACAAAAATTTAGTAGTCAAGTTTCGCAAAATATAATATATAAAAAGAAACAGCAACAAAAATAATGTTTCATTAAGATTTGAAACTAAAAATGTTAACTCCTTATCACTTAGGGTAGTTACGCAAGTATTGTGTCGGTAACATAAACCATGTTATCCGTATAATTTATTTTGGAGACAAAAGGCCATTGAATATTCAAATGTCTCAGGTCAATATTGCCAAACAATAATTTTATATAATGTTTTTATGTATAATAATATGACTTAAGGTAAAGAGTTGTATATTTATATTGATGGCTTACCTACTGCAATTATTGGTAAATTCACTATTTTATATATCATTTTAGGCTAGTGTAGACAAACGTATGGTAACTATAAAATGAATATGTGTTCATATTGGTCAAGGTCTCATTTTAGCTATACTATGTCATATAATGTTCAGATTGTGTACTTCAATTAAAAAACAAAAGATAATAGGCATGTAAGCATGTTTGTAAGAATGAGTCCCAACACTCAGCAGTATGACATTTTGCAAATAGGAACAGGTTTCCATAGTAAATTTTCTTAATTATTTATATAATTAGACAAATTTCATCTCACATTTTTCCTGTGCGAGTCAACCGTGTTCATAAAATAGTATTGTGAAATCTGTGAACGTTTTTGTATTATGAGAAATAACAAACATTGTGGTTAATATGCATATGTCACTATTTTTTTGTCGAATGATGAAGACCTACGTGATCTAACATACATGCGAAGCATTTAGGAGTTTGCTTTTATATTGGTCCATTTATTGAGTTTATTGTGACAAGTGAAGGAAAGACCGACTATAATAAATTAATGTATTCCAGCGCTTTAAAACCGATAGTTTTACATTGGCGAACTATATACCCCAGGTATGCGTTAGGTAATAAGTTGTGCGCTTAAATTTATGACCTAAATACATGCATTATATAAGCATATAAGCACTGGTCTCAAATATCGACGCATTAATCCCCCCCCTCCTCCAGATGAGGGTTAAAATGACTTCGACATAGAGAAGACCGCGTAGGGATGACGATTTTATTTTATAAAACACAATATATAACAATCATTGATTAAAATCGTTTATTGCTTCTAAGGGATCACTGTTTTCCAGATTTTAATATTGTAAGTGCAATTGATAGCTCGACTGTGTTACTATTTATTCAAATATTCAAAACTACTTTCACTTTCGGGTTTAAACTAACAATGGACGAAATACTGTCACGCGTGTTGAACGATATTGAACGAATTACAATAAACGAACAATAAAATAACTGAAACATTATATTTGTAGTAAATAGCACAAGGGTGTTTAAATTGAATTGACTTCCGCTTTACAATTACAATTTACAATTGCTTTGTTCTATCACTTCCGTGTTCAAGCCGCCATGTTAAATGTAGTGCGTTCCCGCACACAATGAAATACATGTGTAAAGTAATTGGGTACTGAACAGGGGAAGTTACCATTTGCTGGTACACTACATTTCTCGCAGCGTTTACTCCCCCTGATCAGTACAGAAAAGTTGATGAACGAAGAACAAAAATGTACTTCGGTCCAAATTTATGGGAGATAGCTGTTTTAAAACCGAGTGTTAATATTCATTCTAAAAGGGTTAGATTTGTTTCAACTAGTGTGATATCTTTTAACATTATTGATAGTAGGATATTAGAAGACAGTCACTTTAACACTTGTAGACGACTCCCTTTGATAGCAGAAAAAACTAAAGAAACACTATTCTGCATGCAATATATAATACTATGCAATGATACTAATTTAGTATATTAAAGCTTACTAAATTAGTATCATAAAACTATCCATAATCAATTATTGCCGATGTTTTGGCTAATTGTTATTAGCTCCTGATCGACTTGAATAAAATGATAAAATAATATCATTACTTAAAAATCTGATAGGAATACAGAAATATGTATGGTCATGTATTGGTATGTTTGGCAATATAGTTTTCTGATACCATAAAAATTGGGTCAGACTTCTAAATTGATTTTGACATGACTAACATTTTTTTTTTTAAAATGCCCTAACAATTCAGTATTCATGCTAAATATTTTTTTTTTCGGGAAGAATGACATGCCTAATATATTAAAATGATCTCGTTAAATAGGGTTGACTGACCAAATTTTTCGCAAAAGATGATTACTCCCTTTTTCACTGAATTTTTATGCTGATGTCAGAACTAGCATACTTTTTTAAAATGCAAATATCCGAATGTAAAATCATTCTAGAAAATGATGATACAGTACAATTTCTGAAGAAAAAACAATGCAGTGACAGTTATAATTAAGTAGACTGACATAAAGTGCGATTTAACAATTTTGTTTTCAGCATGAAATATTGCATTATTATCTGAATCTTGTGTTTTGTCAATTTAAGATAAAAGTGTTAATGGTCATTACATTGTTTATAAGACCAGGCATGTAGATGTTAATCCCTTACCATCATGAAAAAAGTGAACAATCTTAGAACTATAGGAAATCTATGAGCGTGTTTTACACAGAAAACGCATGTTTGCAATTAATCCACGGCTCTTCATTTCTTTGTTGGATTAAAGAATGAACGTTATTTAAATGAAAAACGAGTGAAACTTATAAGCCCAGGGTCACATTTAGTGCATTCAACTTTAATTGGAAAGTGACAATGAAATTATCCAATGTTTTGAATTCAGACTTTTTGTGAGAGAATAATATTTTGGTCTTCTACAAAAGTTTGACAAATATGAAGTCAAATTTATATCGCGACCTGGTCGTTAAAATTTACCAGGTCATTCAAATAAAAACCCTGACTCTATATATATATAGGTGCTAAGGTTAAGTAAAGGAAAAGGGGTATTTATATTTTGTAGTGCGAAACACCATGAACGACTGCTTAGAAAATTGACAAAACTTACTGCCATATAGGTACACAATTTATGTGATATTTAGCATCTATCATTGCCTTTAGAATAAACAGCCAGCGAAAAATCTTGCACCACCAGGGAATGTGACAAACTTCTCTACCAAAAGTGTCCTGAACATTTATAAATTATTGCACATAATAAATTGTGGGTTAATTAACAATAATTGACTTAAATTTACGTTTTATTCATTTGTTTTCTCATCGTAAATGGTATTTTTAAAAAATGTCTGGGCGTTTTTTGTTTTTTTTTCTTCTTCTTTTTTTTGCAGAATCCGGCCAGATAAATGGAAAGTTTAGAATTCCCATCGGATTATTTTTTGGCATCACATATTTTGGATTTTCTTATTTTTTTCAAATTGTGGAAATGCATCATCATATGATTGATATGTATTTTAATGTATTCTCCTGTTGAAAAAGTGTGTATTGAAGCATTTTACGGAAAATCCGATTGGAGTTTATTCCATTTATTTTGACTGGACAAAATCCAATTTGAATTCACCCCAACTTGATATTTTTCAAATGGATTTCTCCTAAAATGAAACCTATCTGATATAATTCCAATTTGAAAGAAATGGAAATTTATCCAACTGGAATTTAAAAAGGAACAAAAAATTATATAAGGTAGGTTTATGTACTGGGGTCATTTTTAGCCTCTCACAGGTTCAAAATTTTCTTTGCGATGAGGGGGCCTACCGGCCCCTTTCTAACCCCCAAACACAAAAGGGGCACACCCCCGTCTGGCAATCCCTTGGTGTATCTTTTTAATAGGGGGCGGCGCCAAAAAAGTGGTCTTTTTTTAACAACATTTCTCGAGCAAAAATAAGTGTTGGGGTCCTAAATAAGGCATTTATTCACCATTTTAGACAACATAAATAGGGGGGTGAAAAAGGCGAATTAAGAGTATATATCTGGTAATGGATTAAAAGAAAAAGATAAAAATACCTGAAATTACCAAAAATCGCATTTTTTTCATGTTAAAACATGGCCTAACATTGAATTTTGAAGAAAAAAATGTTGTTTTGTAGAATGTTTTGTTTTAGACTTTTCAATTCTGTTCCATTCCCCTTTCGCCATTTTGCTTTCAGAGATGCGAAAAAAAAACCCCAAAGTGTTGCAACGCAAGTAAATACAGATACAACAAAGTTGTACTCTTTTGATTGTTACTAATTCGCAATGCTACATTTTTGCTATTAACGCATTGTTACATTTTCGCTTTCTTGCGTTGTTAAAATTTTGCTTAGTAACATTGTCAGATTTTTGCGTTTTGGTTGAAAAAGAATGAGTGCACATCAGAAGTTAAGGCAAAATATGACCATGAGATTAATAAATGATTTTATAATGATAAGTTTTCACTTTTTTCACATTCTTGCATTGTTATATTTTCCCTTTATTACATTTTCACCTTTTTCAATTTCGGTCGGGAAGTCGGGAGCTAAGTAATAGAAAGAGCATCGAAATACGAGGCTATCTGAATTGTACGAGGGGGCGTAGCCCCCGAGTATAAATCAGATTGCCGAGTGTTTTGATGTTCTTTCTCTTTTGTATCATAGTCAAAAATAAAAACACCTTCCCTGATGTCACAATATGAAACCCCAGAAAAAAGGAACCAATGAACGAGCATCTGAATAATGATATTTCTATCGCTTTCCCTTTCCCGGTCGTCACAATATGTAAACCCCAGACAAAATTAACCAATCAATGGGCATGCTCTGCAGTGCGGGTAACTAATACCTGCACTCCAGTTAACGCACTGTGCATGTATATGTATACGATTTAACTCTGACACATTTTCAACAGAAAGGCCCCCAAACTATGATACAAAAAGATATTATCACATCTAATTTTGAATTAAATGTTTATACCATTCAAACCATTGTGCAATTACAAATTAAGTGAAAATGCTAGTATGCAAAATATGGCAATGCAACCGTGTGATAAATAAAAAAGTGACATGTGAAAAAGCGAAAATGTAAAAATGAAATGTGAAAACATGCACATACGACAGTGTTGGACTTTGTTGTGCGTCACTTTTGTCGCAATGCTTCTTTTCTTGCTTTTTATGCATTATAACATTTTCACATTTTTCGCATTCTTGCATTGTTATATTTTCGTTTTGTAACATTGTCGCATTTTTTGTGTTCCGGCTGTACTAGCGAAAGTACACATACGTAGCTAAGACAAGAGCTTAAAAATATGATGATAACATGTTACACTAAACGGTGACAGTTGTATTCAGACGATACAACATATTTAGATAAAGCAGAAACATTTTTAAAAGCCGTTACAGGATATAACATATGCGTCGCAATAAGCGGTCCCGTTCCTGAGTTCCTATAATAATTGCAAAGCAATTGCTTAATATTTGTTCCTTAGCATTTAAAACTAGTGCACTACAAAATGTATATCAATAATGACAGCCCCTAGGTGCAAAGTTGGCCCTTCACCTTAACGTTGTTTTTTTTCATATCCTAATGCCCGGATTTTAGACGTTTGGTGTATAATATTGTATAACATTGTCGATCACTTCAACCTTTATTTTCTATCATTAAACCTTGGTTTGAATAGAGGCCTCTCCGGATATCACTTGATTCTACTTAGACGCACAATTATTAACTATTAAATTGTTCCAAGCATTAAGTATTAATTATTGTATCAGACCGCTACAAAATTTGCTTTATTTATGACCCTTTAGTAACGACCCCATGGTCACTTCATTAGACATACAGTCTTATAAGAAAAATTTAACATGTTTTCTCAAAATTCCAAATGCTTAGAGCTCAGCTATATGATGTTTAGCATTTTTCTGATCATTTACCTTTTTCTGCAAAATCCACAAGCCAATCTCAGGTGTATATCTACACATGCTGACCTACTTTGTTGTATAGTTTCATGACTCTTGGTCATTTTTTTCTCGGCTACGTGTCACATAATGTGAACATTGAATGCTTTACTCTGTCAATAACTGAATTTATCCATACGCAAAACCCAGGTGCTTAACTTCACATGTGAAGTCATGATGACGGTAGCTCAAAAACTTTTAGAGCTACAAGTGGCACAACATGTGAATGCACGCACGCATGAACGGACAAGGGCAAATCTTAAGGGAGCATAAAAAATATCCCTCAAAGCACAAGGCTTTAAGCCGAGATATTTATTTTTTTGCACTGTCTATTTAACTTCTTTTAAGTTCAGTTGGTGTTATCAACATTATAAGTTAAATTAATGTCTCTTACCAAAATTGATAGCTGATTGAAGAATAAATGGATAGCATCATTAAAACCCCTGACAATTTTTCCCTTATTCTTTTTCAGACGTTGGAAAGGACTTTGACACAACAAAGTATTTGAAAACTGTTACCACTTTAGCACTTGTTTCGTGTCTGGCAGTTTTTGTTTTACTTATCAAAATGAAGCCATGTCCTGAAGCTGCTATGCTGAAAAGACTTCCAATATGTGCATATTTGTCCTTGTTGTCAGGTTTGTTTTGAGTAAATTCCTTATTGAATGTAAAATGATTAAGATGCATTGCTGCAATATCCATGTCATTTATGTAAATGTTTAAACTATGTTTGCCTAGTCAAATTTAAGCTTCACGCATTTTATGATCAAAAAGTAGGTGGTGTGTGTACACAAAACAATTTATAACAAAATTTTTAATTGTTCAACTGATTTTTATTAATTTAGATGCATTTGCTACGTAAATGCAAATAATTAATCAAATAAATCCCTTGATTCACACATTGTCTTAACAGTGCTCCCAGCAGGCACTCGACGTTGTTTCAACGTTGAAACAACGTTGAAATATGGTCGTGACGTTGTTCAACCAATATTCAACTATGGACGACTATACGGATATATTGCCAATGTATATACAACGTTGATTCAACGTTGTTTATGTCGAAGTTTTACATTTTGTTTAATCATTATATAGACTTTTATACCACTAATTTTGTGTTATAATTCTTTTATTGAATTAGTCTGTAAGTGATTTTTGTCAGGAAAATTTGCGTTACAATCTTTTTCCGTATATTCAAAATTAGCGCTTAAACAAATAAAGTTGGAAATAATTTTTCACTTTATATTAACGCTTTAAATGTTAGTTAATATGTTTTGTTGTTTGTTGTTTTATTTTTTAGTTCTTTATGAATAATATTAATTAATAAATTGATATTAGTCAAAACCCCGTTTATAAAATAACGCTGGTCAGGGGAAGTAATTGTTGCGGTCTATGATTTTGTTTGTTGTCTATGATTATCGTTCGTGCAAATGGTGGCGCTGTTTGGAAAATTTGAAAACAACACGATTGGCAATTTATTTGGATTTCGAAGGTATTACCGTAATGTTTTACTTTAGTTTACTGATTATTTTCTAAAATATTATTATTTATTCTTAAAATTCTACTTTAATTTACTTTATGAAATAAATGAGAGATGAAAACACATGATTGAGTTGATTTGACACGTTTTCGCGACCTAATTGAATGATTTGGGTTCGGTAGGCCTTGTAAGCATGAAGTTATTGATGTCCTTGGCAATTTATGATTTTACAAATCTTGTCTTTCTTTAATTTATTTTTCATATTATTAAACATTTGTCTGTACTATATCCTAATTAGAATTTAATCAATTATAAAATTGAAACCTATTAAGTAGTTCGGCCCACATAATTTACGTCCCAAGACAATATATATAACTATGTCTGCATGTGTTTATATTTTAGTGATAGTATAATACAGTGTTAATTAGTTTGAAAAATACATTATTATTTAGTTAAATAACAAAGTTGAGTGTTAAACTTTAAAGTTGAATAGTCGTAAATTTATAGGGAATAATAAATCTATTTCTATTTTATTATATATTATTTTATATTTTAGATCCTGGTCTTGGCTGAAATTTAGAGTATTGCAGCTGTAGTCTGTATACCATGCACTCAACATGAAAAGGACTGTCAGGTTTGTTAAATTGAATTTAATTCTTATTAATTTATATATTTGAATTTATTTACAATACAAAGTATAAATTTTTCAACTACTGGATATTTATCTTGCCTTAAAATATATTATTTTCTGAATATTCCTGTAACATTATTAATATAAAATTTACATGTTTGTTGATTTCAGGATGCTGCATAAAATGGTCTTAGGTAGAGCCTAGAATATTAATTTCTTGGGAATATGCTGCAGTTTTTCTTACCAATCATAGGTAAGACTTTTAAATAGCTTCTTTTTTAAAGATTGTGTTGTCTTATATACAGTATTTGCTGTCGATATGAAACTTAGCTATGTTTCAATTTCTATGCTGTTTTATGATGTAAATCTTAGAGAAAAGCATTTTAAGATAAAAACAAATCACTCAGTTGAGTAATTATATGTATAATTTGAGATTGACCAAGTCAACAACTTCTTATTTTTATTTGCAGAAGCAGTAAGAGACAGCCAAAGAAGTACTCAAAAACCTGACATACCCAGAAAGATCTAGAAGAAAAGATTGGAAGAGATTGTAGCTTAATTGTTAAAACTGTTAAAGTGAATTTAAGCTCCACTTGAACTGTATTTTTTAAATAAAATATCTGAAGCATTTAATATTGTCTTGATATTTTGTTAAACTTGGTAACTTTGCTTTATATCCAAAATTTAAAGTATGGTGGGTTTTCAACGTTGAAATGACATTGAAACTTCAACGTTGTACCAACGTTGAAGCTGCAACGTTGTATCAACGTTGAAATTTTAACGTTGTTTCAACTTTCAAATCCGAATATAAATCCAACCTTATTTCATCGTTGAAATCTGACCATAATTCAACGTTGAAACAACGTTGATGTGCCTGCTGGGCTTATTTCGAATAAACGCGAGGTTTGATCCATATGGCTGCCATCGAAGGGGTTTTTGGAAAATCTTAAATAGAATAATTTTAAAAGGGGTAGAAATTAATTAAAATGCTATCATGATGTTTATTTACATCTAAAATTAGAAAGTGCTTAATTCATAGTAAAATTAGAAAGTCGAACACTGAATTAAATATGTATACTTCAGAAGTTACAATCAATACAAAACATCGAGAGTAACTATTTATTATTTAGACATTCGTCCACACTGTATTCATTTTTTTTCCTTTTAAAATTTGTTTACACAACAACTTAAGTTTAACATTTACTCACAGTAAAGGCTTCATGCCATTTATTCTTCTAATGGATTTATATTTCTAACGGTGGCAAGTGGGGGTATGAATCATCTTTAATGATAGTTTAAGTCTTTGTAATCTTTTATCTTTCATTGCTTTACTCACTAAATGTATTGTCAGGAAAACCATAAGTTTACAGTCGATCACCCCCTTTCCAGGTTTTTAAACGTCTGTAAATATAAAAGAAATCCTACTACATGTCTAAACGTTTTGACCTGTTTACCTTAAAGTACGCTATAAATATTTTTTGTCACGAAAACAATATTTCAAATAACGTTCCACGATGTGTTAATATTAAAAAAAATAGTTTCTGTTAAAAAATGTGACAATAAAATGTCATTAACAAGACCGAAGTAGAATGTAGCCATCTTCAAATTACATATTTAGTATAACATTCAGGTTGTCACGTTGACAAATTTTTGGCGGTGATTCAGATATTTTTCAAATTCCATTCCTTACAATGATCTTCATTAATTTTTTGGAAATGTTGATTATGAAGGAAGTTATTTTGAAAATCCATGTCAAAACAAAGATAGTATTAGAGGGAATAAATCTGGTAAAAAATTAAGTATTTTTGTGTTGCATATTTGATGTTACCTTATAGAATGACAGGTGCCATGGTAATATTAATGGGGAATATATTACGTGTTAATCTAACGACGGAGTTAGTGATGCAGAATTTTCCACTTACCTTGGGCTAAAGGATTATATGTCCAGTTCGCAAGTCTGGGTCTTCTTCCTAACCAAACAATTTTATTGGTCTAAATTTCTGACGTTGTTAATAACATGTTATATAATCGGCAGAAGAAAATAATAAAATAGACGAATGTCGGGAAGATTTTATATGTAATTACTCAGCCATTGATCAATTTTAATTTTACAAAAAGATTTGTCCAACAATGGCGGTCGTTTTTATTGTTTATTTTATTGTTTATATGTTGATTTCTGAAAAGCTTTTAATAAAATTGACCATTCAAAATTATTTGATTAACTCCAGAAAATACGTATTCATGGATATTGTTTACGGGTTTTAAATGTATATTTTCTGACTTAAAGTATTGTGTTAAAACACAATATGGTTTAAATGATTTATTCCTGTGGATATTAGAAAATAAGACAGGGCGATAAATCTAGTTTGACTATTTTCACTTATCTATCTTACTAAGACAAATCTGTGTCACAGTCCTTATCATTTATTACTTATCAACTTATGTAACTTATATATATATTATACCTTATGTTTGCCGATGATGTAGCAAACTGTGCAGACACTGTTTCCAAATAGCAATAACAATTGAATGTATTTGGCCAATCTGTTAAAAACTGGAATGGAAATCAATCTTGATAGCACATAATTTATAATTTCTGTTTTCCGTAATTGTGGTCCTGTACGTAATTATGAGAAATGGTACTTCCGAGGTAAATGCAAAATATGTACTGTTTAGGTATGGTTTTGAGACATCAGTATGTTCCTTAATTTTTTTAACAAATACTTATTGATTGTTGTACTCAACAATGGCATGACAATATAATGATTTCTAGTCGATTTTTTCACGATAATAAATTTAAATCAACGCTACCTGTTTATAGAAATACCATTTATACATAAAAGGCGCTGTGTAATGTTCGTTGTTGCAACCATATATTAGGAAAAGAAATATGCAGACACAATAATATCCCAAGAGAAGAGCGTTTGTGTACAACTTATCATGATAACATAGATTGGGAGTTCCATGCTTTCTATATGTAAGAACATACAATCGTATTAGCTATTATTATTCATTCATTTGGTATTTTGGCGGAAAAGATGTTTTAATAAATACACGTGATATAACTACAATAAGGAAGCTTGTGTTTTATGTATAAGTTTTAATGGATAATATAAACAACTAGTCTTTGTTCCCAATTATAAATATTGGTAGGCGACGCAACCATATTATAAAATTGTTGTATAATTGCTATGCATTTAGGGCCGGAGGGTTAAGAACATAAATAAAGTGATTTGAATTGAATCTATATTGAATTATGATCGTTAGGTAAACAAAATCGCTGGCTGCTTTAAGTGCCAAAGTTCAGCTTAGACATTATTTTGTATATGAAATACAAGATATGCCACTGATTTGGATTATTTTGGCACTACTAGAAAGACGGATTAATTAATTGGATAATTTCTGATCATTATTCTGATTTCACGAGGTTTATAAAAATTAAAACATTAATTCTATAGTGTAACATAACTTCATTACTTTCCAAATTAACGTTTGAACATTTTGTAAATATCATTTCATAACTTTACTTAAAGACCCAATGAAAACGGCGACCCTTTTTCTTAATTAAAAATTGTTTTTGTTGATGGATATGCATAGTGTATTTTAATATCAATCTTAAGACATTCTTAATTTACTTCCATGAAAGTTTTGAACATATTTATTCATGAAAAAAATCCGCCTAGATTTATTTTCTATCGATTTACCCACACTAGTCAATAACTGTTTACTGCCATTCCTTGTAACCACACAGAATACAGACAGGTCCATTATAAATAAAGGAACCAGGCAGCAGCCCACAAGAGTGCCATGCTGTTTTAAATTTCTACCTTGGTAATTTTTGTACGCTCGTTCGTTTCTACCTTTCGGAAGGTATGTTCCTGAAAAATAACATATTGTCACCCTAGAGTAGTACATTTACGGGCTGAGTTCTACTTACTCTCATATGAGTTTACCCATTACTGCACAAGGTAACGATATGTAAGGATGGCAACTACGTTCATGACATCAAATGATATCAAATAGACTTAATTCAATGTTATTTTCGACCCAACTATAAAATGTGCTACGATATTGAATCGGACCACTAGTATTAGTTAATTTTGTGTGCCGACTTTCGTTGTAATTATCTAGAATTCCTTTATGTACAAATTGTGTAATTGATTTGTTTATGTTTTGTGTATATCTTTTATAAATAACACATGTAATTATTCAAGATAATCAAAGTTTATCTTTATATACTCATTGCACGAAGACCAACATTTTGAGTAATTAATAACGTTAAATATATATATGATTTTGTCTGTATTTCAGGAATTTTGTGGGTTGTACCTGCTGGTCAAATCTAGACTATACACTGAATTATAAATCAGACTACATCACATATCATGTGTCGTATTCTGCCATTATTGCTGGAATTGGTGGATTATTGGCATTGCTGCTGTCACTGTTTACGTTGTATTTCGTGTATTTTAAACAACCAGAAACAAACGACCAACACCCCATGGCAGACCAACAGGAATTCTCATTATTGTAACTACTATGTCAAAGTGCTTAGAGGCAACGAAGATAATTGGCTGTCAAATTGAATACAAGTTTAACAAAAGTAATAGAAAGTATTATAAATAATATCTGTGGGTCAATTTGCTATAAAACATTTTAACAATTTACAATGACTCTAAATTATCTTTTTTTATATTACTGTGACATATCCTGCATTGTACATATTGTACGATTATTTTAAATTATTCTAAATATCCTTTCTTTCAAATTCATTATCACCACTTTGAAACATAATTTAGGGAAAACGTTTAAAAATCTGGATAAACTGTGATCCCTCGGAGGCATTGAACAAAACAAAATATCATGAAAATTACAGACTTGGTTTAATTGAGTCTTTACATGAGGGATAATGACAAAGTGCAACATCCATCATGCTCCTTTGCACCAGCTTGATCGGTACGCAATTTTCAACACTTAAAAGTGTTAAAATTCATGATCCCGAAGGACCAGAAAAATATAACAACGCTGAAGTGAAGAACGGGGCAACTATTTACAGCTGAAACACAGCACTTGACACCCGCCTTTCATCTTTTCTGTTACAATGAAACATAGAGCTTAGATATTTTATGTGCAGACTTGTAAAGTGGTGCGATTAATTCATGACATCGGGATAAAAACTGATTCTGCACTGGGAGCATTAAACAAAGGTTGTTCCAATCATGTAACCAGTCGTTAACCTTTGTCTTTTGCTCAAAAATCATTTGCCATATGAAATAATGTCCAAAAGAATATTTTATCATTGCAAAAACTATTGCTTAATATTTGTTATGTAGCATTATAAAGTAGGGCACTATTATGTTTATACAAATTATGCACGTCCTAAGTTGACACTACATGAAGGTCATTCTTGTACATAGTCCTTAACGTTTTTCCCATCCCAATGCTCGGATCTTAGATGTTTGCTGCATGACACGGCATTGTAGATTACTTCAAACTGTGTTCTTATCATGTATCGTTGGTGAAAATTCGCCATTTGATTCTTCGTACACTTTAATTTCAATATTATCAAAATATCACTTTTAACTAATTAACTGTTGTATACCCATAAAATATATACAATCGAATAAGTGATCCCTATCAAATTTAGAGTAGTACATACAAATTTTATACTCACAATGGTAAGATTTAGTATTTATATAATTTACATTTGTAGTAATAATTTGTCAAATGAATTTTACATATTAAAACAGTTTAAAACTTAATTTGAAATAATGTATCAATGATATAAATACAAGAAGATAAACGTAAAATATTTTGACAATATACTCAAGCTTTTAAGATAAATACTAATCTCTAGATAATTTCAAGGCTTATTCTCTTGTTTTCTTTGTTTGTTTTGAGTGTCTGTGTATGTTGTTATTCTTTTACGCACGGCTATCTCAAACGAAATTTTTGTTACAGTATCTCATTGTATATAATTATGTATAATATTTGTGAATGAAAGGAAAAAAAAACTTTCTAAGCATTATATAGCTGACCTATACGAAGTAAGTTAAACTCATGACCCTAAAGTCACGACCCTGTGGTCACTTCATTGTGCATAAAGTCATTTAAGAAAAACTTGGATTTTTTTCTCAATAAACCGAAATGCTTAGGGAACAGATATTCGATATGTAGCATTTTCTAGTGAACATTTACTAAGTGTTTTTTTTTCTAAAAGCATCACCCTTTGATCATTTAACTTCCGTGGAGTCATTTAAACAAAGCATGACTACGACTTATTGTTTGATCCGTTAGTTCAAGGTTAAGAGTTTACATATAATGGTGATTGTACAAAAGGTCATAAAGGAAATTGCGTTCATGATAATTGCTGCCTTCCTCATAATTGGGGGCGTCTGTGGCCGAGTGAAACAGACCACGCCTAAATATAAAGCCAGTGTTTCAAATTTCACCTTATTTCAAAAATGTCATGAAAATTGATTTAACTGCAATTATATTCAAAATATACCAACAGAAATAAAAGCACATTGGAATGTGTTTAAATGACAAACAACGCCCTTAGCTACCTTTAATATGTCGATCTAAATTATGTTTACCTCGACTTAGATGTTTATTTATCTACATCGAACTTACATTATGTTAAAGATCATGTATGTTGTAATATAGATTGTAACCACATTCAAGTGAAATTTGATACATGTATAAAATCATGCTTCTAAAACAATTTTCAAACATTTAAGAATATGTCAAATGTGTACTGCAAATATTTTCCCATATTATATGTAATCATTAAAATATATGCAATCATTTCTTATTGAAAAAAAAAATGACTCAGACTTTACAGAAAAATTCCTAATTACCTTCCTTTATTAGCATGAAATGTAAATTGGATAATATTTTTACAAATAATGCTTTTTTGAACCTTATAATATTGATAAATCTTTATTTGAACATTATATTTATGATATAAAACCATAAAAATATTGTGTTACAGGATCTTTGACAAAGAATATTCTTGCTCATCAGTTCAATTTTTTAAGGCTCATTTTACTCAGAAGTTTTACATGCGGACGTCATTTGAACCTTCCCGCTTTTTCCAATTTATTTTATGCTTTTCAGTGGATTACTGATTTATCCGTTCGAATTATATTTGATAATTTCACAGTGAAAATTATCAAAATATAATTTCACTCTTTTCAATGACGAAACTACTTTTTTAAGATTTTCCCCATGTGGTACCTCAATTTTATTTTTGCTGACAATTTTGACAATGTCAGGCTGTTTAGAGAAAAGCAAAGCTGAAATTGATAAATAACTTAAATGTCAAAAGTCATTAAAAGAAGAAAACTTACTTCTATTCATCCAAATTACCAATCACCAAATATCGTCTCTTAATTTTTTGTTTCATTTTTACAGGCTGAAAAATACATTCCTTTCACATGCAAAACTGTTCTTGATGACATTTGGGCATATTTAAGTATCCAACGAGCAATAACTGCCGTCTGCTTTATGAAAACTTGAATAGCAATGATAGCCATCAGCCCGAAGAATAAGTAATTAACCCAGCGTTCGTAAGGCAGCCTTTCAACAAATCCAAGTTTCCTATTTCCTAGCCGTTTTTTTAATGTTTACACATCTGTCAACACTTATATATTGTCTGTTGCAATCCTCAAATAAGTTTTCTTTCTTTTAAAAAGGTGTATGACTAACAAATCCAAATGATATCACTCTGAATCAAACACAATTATTTTCCTCCCGTGAAATACACAACTTTTAAAAATGGCGGCCGCTTACAGGTCTAATATAAATTCGCAGTAAGTAACAGAAATATGGATGGATGGTTGGACTTTTTCTCCTACTAGAATTGTTTGTTTTTATTATTAAAACAAGCAATCATTCATATTTATTTTAATTAAATGAATAATATCACCGCCATTTAACGTTTATTATCGAACTTATTTTTCAGCCCAAGACTTCTTGTATTTTATGAGAAATTCATACATTTTCACAATAGAGGCTACCAGTGGGGAAAACAGATTTTAATATTTAAAGTTAATATCAAGGAAATTTCGTTTTAACTTGTTTTTTAGCATAAAATAAAAAGAAAATTTATTTGTTTGTTGTGTAAGATGTAATTTTATTTCATCTCGTGAACTTTAAAAACAGTATTCTCACTCGTGGCTACGCCACTCGTTAGAATACAGTTTTAAAGCTCACTCGATCAAATAAAATTTTATCTTTCACACAAACAAACAAATATCCTCTATGTAAACATAATTCGGAACATAATTCTATGATTCTATGATGAAATACCAAATATCAACGACAAAAATATTAAAGTTTTCAGCAAGAAACAAGTAGACCCCATTTTTTTAGACTTTGAAAAACCTTTTGGTTTTGAAAATTTCTATTGAAAATGCAAAACTATGGCATAACACTGAAACAAGTCCCACGGGACGTGCTATTTTCTGCTGATAATGCTTTATACCTACCCCTAACAATCAAGTCAGCAATCAGAAGGATTGAAATGCCTTAAACAGTGGGAGTTGGATTCGAACATGATGTTCAACGTATCCAAATATCAAGTCACACGTCACAAGACTGAAACATCCTGTACCAACTAACATCGGCCAAATACTTGACAGAGAAACTGGTCGACTGAAATAGGCAAACCAAACCAAGGTTATTTATGTCGTAATATAAACATAAACTCAGAACATAACCCCTTAAGGCCATGGCATATAAGACCCTGTTCGACCACATCTGAAGTCTGTCCCGTATAGCCAAAGTCTAAGTGATGAGATAGAATCTGCTCGCGTTGGGTCAAATCTGTTTTATAAGCGAATTAGAAATTAAAGGTCATCGAATATATGTTGCTTCATATATTAAGTTTGGTTGTTATATTACTTGGACAATTATTACAAGCAAATATAAAGCACTTGTGTATTTAACAGTTCGTTAAATACACGGTTGGTGAGGTAATTATATCTCAAACCATAAATTAATGTACCATTTTTCACAACCTATATATAACTTCTTGCCACCCATGTTTAGAATGTCATAATGCGGTAAAAATGGCACATTTGGTACGCCTACCCACATATATGTACGTCGAATGTCTGAAAAGCATTTTGGTTCCCTTTATGTAAAAGGAGTTCTTTCATTTATTCTCAAAACTTGAGAGAAATGTATGGATAGAACGGTAAGTTATTGCCCTTAACTGACTTTGGTGTCTGTAACAAGTGGTTGATGTTGATTTTTCAGAAGTCATCGGACAAATTTACAAAAGAAAAAAAATCGAAAAGTTAATGTGCAATTTGTAGTAATTTACTTTAAACAAAGCGCTTGGAATCTGGAAATAGGGAGATCCCTAGATAGTTATGAAAACAAATTTCAAAAGGGAAAAATGCAGCCTGGGGTTGATCGAGTGTGTCAAAATTTTAAAATTTATGATTATGATGTGAACTAAATTGAGTTGTCAAAATCCGTATCCTTATCACAAAGTAAATATTTTTGGCCAGTCGTACTGAATTTTATGTTTATTTTCAATTGTACATCAAAAATACTGATAACATATATTTTATATTATATAAATGTATGATATATACTGCACGTTTGTATCGTCAATTTTCATTGAATAATAGTTATAATACATTATATTCAAGGATACTATCAATTTATGAAGATATTTTATATTATTCTCTAATAAAGTAATTTTGACTTATTATAAACGACTGTTTGCAATATAATTTTTTATTCAATTATACTATATCTACAAACAACAAATATGGCCGTATAATCTATCAAAACACTTTAACACTGATAATACGAGTATGTATACATTTGATAATGGTAACATTTATTATCATACATTTGGCATTTTGCCTTCGATTTTTCGAAAATACCTTTATCTTATTATCTTTATTGCGCAGTTCGATACAGAATGTGCGATCGTCACATGAAAATCAGTACAGTATGTGAACGAAGAGGGAAGAAGAATCAGAACAGTAAGTTATTTATCTATATGAATTATAAATGTATACGTAAATATTAAGGATATGGTTAATACATTGATAAAGATGTCAGTAGGTGAGAAAATTGTTCTTTTGATTGTTATGTAAACTGCCTTCGTCAATATCTAGCAGAAGATTAACTTTTCAGATGACCGAGAAACTGTCATGTGATTGATATCTATGTTAAAAGACCATTCGCGCATCGGGAACAACTCGCCGACTTTTCATAAAACTTACTTCTATGTATTAGTAGTGACATATTCTTCCCCCCACCCCACCTCTTTTTTGACATGAAATGGAAATTACGTGTCTATTGTGGAAAAGATGCGATTGAAAAGTATGTCTGGCAATCACAATCAATTTAATAAGCCCCTTGACATACTATTTAAGTCATACAATTTAAGTAAAACCAACAGGTACACATTTTGTACCTTCGGTTTCCTTACACATATTAATAATAAGTATATAACAATTATACATTTTACTTTTTTATCTATAAATTTACTCAAGTTATTTCGACTTTTATACGATTAAATGAGATAATCTTAGAAAAAAAATCCAATTGTTTTACAGCATTATCATGTTTAATTTTGTAGATTCGTGCGAAATACCGTACCCATTCCTTGTATACTTTTTATATCGTGTTCAAGGCCCTTATCCGATTACTGACCAAAAAAGCCAAAAATATTGTAATTGAAGATACACTAGAAGGCAAACAATCCATAAGACAAGCTTTTTTCTATGCCTGTGGTTTATATGCACTCAAGGTATAATTGAAAAAATTTCACCGCCTACAATAGCCGGCATAATTCATAGTTGTAAATATCATGTATCATGAGATAAATACTCAGTAGTGTATTTTTACTTCCGTCTTGTTTCATGATCAAATATCCGGCTACGTTACCCGTTCTAACAAACGTATAATACATGGTCCGCAAGCAATGTATCACTGATGAAAAGAAGGTTGTTGCTTTTGAGTCCTTTTTTTCAAACGACTGAATTTTAATAGTTCATCAATGTTCATTTTTAAAGGATATGGAAATGGCTGAGACGACGGACGAGTTAATAGTAAGGGCAGATTTAGCTTTGCATCAAAAGAAATTCGATGATGTAAAGAGATATATTGAGCAAGCTTTTAAACAAGTTTCTGACGAGAAAAACGATTACATTAAAACATATTCTAAAAGGAATGAAGAGAAAGAAGAAGCAATAGCTCGGTGGTATTTAAAGTGCGGATATATTTTCTTTCAGGTGAGTATCGTTGAACTTGATTTTTATTATTATTTTTATTAAATATTTTCCATCCATCAGCATGCGTGCGTGTGTGTGTGTGCGTGCGTGTGTGCGTGCGTGCGTATTATTAAAGGCTAAAGATGTAATTAATGAGCAAGTGAAAAAAATGACATTCAAGGAAACGTTTTCAGTCGCCAACGCCCACGTTGTTTTTTATTACTTATTTGACCAAAATAATTAAGCACAATGTTAGTGTTAATAAAGGATTATGAATAATATATGATCATGAATTTGGTTATGTATTCGAAAAAGTAGGAACAATTATCAAAATTTGTCTGTAAATGAATTACTATTAAAGGGATTGCGCTGGTATTTTTGACATGACTGGGCGAGCAATAATTTTTCGAGATTAATGTTCCAATTGGTGTACGTCTGGGCCAGTAACTTGTGTTCAAAATTTCAGATCATTCGCTCTCTCAATTTTTCCCAGAATTATTATTTTAATTGTGAAAAGTAACCAAAATTGATAAGCGTTTCGACGTTTTTCATTCAAATCGGACTAAATATACCACAAAAAATATGATTTTCATTTTTTTTTTAAGTAAACTTCTTAATCATCTTTGAAAACCTTATTGTTTTAAGTGTCCGAGCTCTATATAAGAAATTAAAATTTTAGACATTTGGACATCAGTGGAGTTCCTTTAAGTCTTGGCAAATAGTTTTAGCCTATTAATTTTATGCTGATATTGAACCATTTTATTTACACTGAAAAATAACAAATATTTTTGGAAATAATTTAACTTTAACAAAGATGAAAAAAAAGTATGAAACAAAAAGTCTAAAAATGTATTATTCATTCCCCTGCTATAAGTTACTTCTGCTTTATCTGACAAGAAATATACATTAGACAGTCTATTTATGTTAACTTTCGTATAAGTAACGTGTTTGCATATTTGACTTAAGTAAGATTGGGTGTATTCATAGATACTCTTAGATACTTACTTATTTGAAAATTTTATTTTGATGGAAAAACAATAAAATTTAAATAAACAAACATTTTTACATTTAAAATTTAATTTCAGAAAATAATGCGTTACTTTATGAAAATGCATATTACTCTTATGTTTTAAAGTAAAATAATACAATTTCTTTCCAAAAATATTGTTTTAGACACCCTGAGGAACTTAAAACCAGCTATGTTAAACTTTATATTTAGTGTGCATCAGGCAATTTATAAATATCATTTAAAGCCATATTATAGATAAATGAGGTGTTGCGCGTCCGGAGTGCCACACTGGGTCAGAAGAGCACCATGCTCATAAGGCATATGTTTTGAAATAGGTTGACGGACTTCCAACAAGTCCTTTTTTCTCAGTATTGCCAAAAAATAACATACTAATAATGTGGTTATTTGACTTTTTCTATGTCATCTATTTTCTATTCGAAGTATCTTTCTTTTCAATTCCCTTTTTCTCCTAAATGTCTGAGTATTTTATAACAAAATTAAAGAAACAAAGAACAACGTCTTGATCTTCATCTGCGGTGTCATATTTTTAAGTTGCAAGAAAGTACTTTTTGTTTTTTATAAAACAGAATTAATACTGGGATAAACATAGAAAAAAGGTTCCACCCGATTTCAAACCAACTAGCTGATTTATTTATTTATTTGCGGATTTACTTACTGCGTATAGAGTCAAATGGAATAAATATCTCATAAAATGCGCAATTATATGGTTGTTCACTTGCAGTTTAACTATGATTACCGGTGGACTTTGATCATATTTTTATATCTCAGGACAGTTTTGTTTATCGTGCTTAAATGTTTTATACTAACTTTTTGTTTGGATAACAGTGGAAAGATAACGATCACAGTTTATCAGTATATTATATTACAAAAAATGTATTACAAATAAAATACGAATCATTATTTAATTTTACCCATGAAATATGGTGCTATATCAGTCAAATATATTTCATATTTTTTAAAAATAAATATGAAATATAAATATGAAAGTGGGCGGAGTCAAAACTCATATTTATTTTAAGGGACTTCTTTCGCCATTTTGTTTGAAAAATCTTATAAATACAAACAACTTTTTTGTTGAATTTTGTTTTGAAAACTATCTAGAATGATAGAAAATGGTCTAACTAAGAAAATAAATCCGAACACCAATATCTTTCATTCAGTCATTAACGCTGTACAGACGTTTAAAAAGTTTTTTACGTGACGTCACAATCTAGCGCTAAATATCGCGTGCAAAACAAGACGATACTTATATTGCTCCGCGCTGTATAATTGCAGTTGCGTAGTGCTCAGGCAAGGAGGTTCATAACCATTTCTCTTTGATAATGAAATTAAATAAAAAGGTTATTTTTTCCCGTCCCGGCTTGTGAAAATATGTGGCATTTTATCATGTTTCGTGAAAATATATTCCATATTTCACGAAAAACGAAAAAATATCCTCTTAATATTCGAAAAATATACGGAAAAAGAAAACAAAGTTATTGCCTATGGAAGACTATGCAGACGGAATGATTATAAGTACAATACAATTTAAAACGTAGATATACAAGCATTTCCTACTGTGAAAGCCTTCTATTTCTTGAATTCGTAAAATTAAGTACTTCATATACAGGATAGAAGATTTTCTATTTTGTTATTATTGCAAGCGACAAACTTTCAAAAAGTCACTTGATAATGCGTGTAATGAATGACATTTCAACTACGAGAAAATAGCGCTTAAAGTAAGATGGAGTGAAGAGGATGTGGAAAAACAGGGTAGCCGGATTTGTTGGATGTTGAATCCAAAATACTCAAATAAACATTCTAGACTACGAAGTTTAAAAAAAATGGAGGACACTTTTTTACTGAAATCGTTTCTCACGAAAACAAACACCATTCTTCTGTTTAAAACATGGTCAAAGAATAATCTTAGGACGCCCAGTCTTTTCATTATACCAGAAGTAGATGGTAATTTTCTTAATGTACCATATAGTATCTACGACCGAACCTTTTGTCTACCTCATTAATGATTTCCTTATTTGATTAATACCAACAATTGTAAAATATACAGATATTCCAGCAATAATACTGTCAAGATTCTACAGGAGTGAAATATTTTGGAAGGAGCGTAATGATTCATTAAATAGAATTACAATTTGACGCCAGTGTTGTATTGCTTTGATAATTGTACATTTGCTTTGCAACTAAAACATACAGTCTGAAAACGTCTTTAGAGTAAAGCTGAACTTTTTTTTATTTTGCCAAAAACAGTAAGTAATTCCTTTATTGGTCTATTTATCAATTATAAAAATACCATTTGTTTCATTATAGTTGTGTGACTATTGGAGAAGTATTAGATGCTCATGGATGGGTAAGTTCAATTGTAATCCAAAATATACTAAATTAATATATTGAAATAATATTGTAAGGACCTTACTAATATTTATTTTGTTAACTCGAGTTTTATTCAAACCTTCCCACTGATAGCAATGATTCCCGAATATTATTTAAAATTTACACGCGGACATTATTTACAATTCATATAAAACATATTTTTACCTTTGAACATATATTTGCGCTAATTGTTTTAATATAATTCATAAGCCATACACATAATTATAGTTTACTGCGTCTAAACAAACGAAACAATGTACCGGGTGTATCTGCATATGTGTAGATTATTGTTGTAATTAACTATGCTTTTTATACTAATATATTGATATAATAATTATAACCAGCGGCAGTATTCTCAGACAAGGCGGAATTTAACTCTTTTGAGAGTGATACACGGTGGATAAAACTTCTCAAAAACCAACCGAGGGAGAGATTAGTTAGAATACACAAGGTAGATATGATTAAAATGGTATAAATAAATCTAGTGAATCTCTTAGGAACTAGAAAAACTAGTAATATTTCGTTATGTTTCTTCCTTTTATCGGAGATAACTGTGCTTGAATTAAATGATGTATTTTATACACCTTCTAATATCATAACTCTAATCGAAAGTTGGCCATTTTAAAAGCCTAAATTCAATTTCAATCAGTCATATAAACCAGTTGATAAAATTGTTTTGGTTTACAACAGTAAATAGATTTAAAAAATGAGATAATGATAAGTGATAAAAAAGTAATGACAGCTAATCTTTAATATCGTGGTGGATTGAGTTGAACGGAAGTAAATCGTTATAATGACAAGATAGAATTTCTCGGGGGAACTTATCAGATAACAAAGTGGTGTGTCATTATTACCTACAGTAACTTATATTGGCATTGTAAATTCTTTGGACACCTAGTTCTTACACTAAAGAAGATTAAAAAGCTAAAAAGGCTTAGAAGCATGTACAATGTAACCAGTTTGTCAACGGCTGGTTCAGAAAAAATCAGTAGTTGAATGCAATGGATACATAGTTGTGATAGCCAAGGTATGTAACGATAATAATATGCACTAACTGAACATGATTTTTTTATTAAATAACTTATTCATTAAAATAAATATATTTTATAATAATTTAAATCTGATTATATTCCCTTTAAACATAAACATTATATTGTATACTTATTGCGACGGAGCGATAAAAGTTCGTTTACTTTAAACAACTTGCCTATAACCGTTCTCGGTTTGAGTCACGCCAGCGTGCGTTCATGTGAGTTGACGATATATCGTTGGTTCTACTCGCCATATGACCTCTACTTGGTTGCTGCGACGTTAACCAAAAACTATATCTTTAATCTTTACTGCTTACATTTTGTATTTAATTCTAGGCTAATAATTAGTTTTAGGCATCTCTTAAAACGTATTTCTTGTTTGTTTCAGGTTCTTCATTCCCAACGTTTTAGTGGGAAGCCATTGCGCCCATGGGTTGTGGCAGATAAGTATGGGACTGTAGCAGCTGTTCACTGTAATTGTATGGTAGGTCTTGGAGAGGCCTGATCACACATAACCGCGCTGTTTTTCGACATAGATGCAACTGTACGCATAAGAAACTCTAAAATTGTATATGTTATTGTAATTGTAAACGTAAATTTAAACATTCTCTGGATGCTTTCTAAAGTCCAGCCACTGTATGTCAGACGCCAAAACTTCATAGAGAAGACAGCGCACCAGAAGCTACCGATGAAGATATCACATTTCTATAGAAAATATGGCTAAATGTAACCCCACTTCTACCAGTTTATCAATTATCAAAAGACTACAAAAGTATTGACTGAACTGAAAGTTGAAAATTGTATTTCCATGACCTGAATGAGCTGAAAAAGCACCGTGTCCCTTTAATGAACTCAATATATCATAAGGCACTCAAAAGAAGGGTGATGTTGAAAATGTAACATAAGAACAGTCTTTATGCACATTTTGGAATACATCCCACGCTTGACGGGTTACAGCTTCTTAAGCAAAGGTTCTGTATAAATTTCCAGTTATACTCTTGACCAAAGAGCATGACCAAAGGATGTATTTCCATGCCTCTGCTGACAAACAGCAATTGTAGGGACCAAGTGTCCTTTCAACAGTAGTATTAAGTTCTTGAAAAGTACGACTACTTAATAATTGATGACAGTGGTGAACAAAATATCAGTATCAATACCAAGTACAAACTCAATTGGGCTGTTCGAATCTTGAATTTCGCTTTTTTCTTGTGTGGGCTGAAAATGAAATTCATGTTCAACAGGTCATGTTTAACTAGGTTGTTTTGGAAAATATAACGTTTTGCGCCCAAGCTATTTTCAATGTTGGCATCCTTCCAGAACTTGTAGAAAAATATTACTCGCGTTTCCTTCTTTGAATAAGGCGGCATTGTAACCAACAGCATCTTGTACCACACCCCAAATACTGTTCTTTCGGCTGTGTATTCAAGTAACGATCGGAATGATTAGTCGCATGACTCCAAAGTACTATACTGCTTTTGCCAGAAAGAAACTAATAGGAGTAATGATTACCTGTGAGAATCAGATCTGTAACAATGACTTTGTTTCATTATCAGTGTGCGGGAATTAAGCGCAAACCTCGTGGATGGCAAGGAATGCAAGCGTAAATTAACACAAGCTAGTTATGGAAATACTAAACTAATGGCAAAGAACACAGAGCAACTATGATATTTATACTTCTTTAATAATGATATGAAAACTATACTGTATATAACACGTTTACCTTACCAAAATTCCTTCTAGAGCAATAATAAAGTTATAGATATGGTGGTAAACAGGACTCCAGATAGAGAAGCTGGAAAAAAAGATTAATATGTATCTTCAAAGATATATATTTTTAACAGCTAAGTAGAGTTCTCCGACCAGTGAGAAATTGATTAAAATGTTCACTACCGCTCGCTTTCTACATTCTATTAATTAATCAACAGTCCGTTCATAATCTAATCGATAACGATTGTTAAACGGCATCAAAGTCATGAAGTATCCTTTAACTTGAAACGGGCTATAACTGACCGGACAATTAAACCTTGAAAAAGTAAAACTTCATGATATCAAAATGGCGCTGACCATAAATTAAATTGGCGCGCTCCATATACATTATGAATGCTTTGGATTTCTTGGAAAGTCTTATATCGTCATGTCTCAGTGAGTTTCATCAAACATAGTTCTTCCTTCTCATGAGAAGGAAGAATATGATAGTATATTGATATCATATTGAAAACTATGTTCAGGTTTCTCTTTTATAAAAGTTATATAGTATATTTTGACTACAGGTGTAAATTTAAAGCACATGAGTTATATGACACTATAAGAAAAACATTAAAGCAGCACACCTACAGATAAACACAAATCGGATTGTAATATTCATATTCAACTTTTAATCATAAAATAATACATGATATTGGTACTGCTTTGTCTTGTACAAAACAATTACATTCATGTATATTAATATGTGGTACTTAAATTAAATGTGATAGAAAATTTTTAATCTTGTTGATTTTGTTGCCCTGTGTAACTTTTTACATGCATTGACAACAATGAAGAGTATACAATCTTTCTCAATTTTTAGTTAAAGTCAGATACAGTGTAACATAGATTAACTAATCAACAAGCCAGAATTATCACTATATCCATTATGGTTATGCCCCCACTATCCTTTGTCGTTAAAATGTTGATCGCTATAAAATCATTTACAGAGAGTGACTACCTTATAGCAATTAGTGACTTTGGCTTTTACAGCAACCGGTGACACCAAAAGCAACCGTTTGCTTTCTTTAACAACCATTGACTTCCATATCAACCAGTGATTTTTCAAAGAAACCATTGTTTTTTCCATAGCGAAATGTAAACTGTCAATACCAACCAATGACTTTCATAGCAAACACTGACTTTTTACATAGCAGCCAGTGATTTCTTAAGCAAACGTTATATCAACGAGTGTAACTACCATTGTATTCCATAACAATCACTGTTTTCCGAGGAAACCATTGATTTTGCAGCCAGTGACTTCTTTCGTAACTATTGTTTTCCCTTAGCAATGGCAACCAGTAATTTGTTCACACATGCACTGTCAGATACAAATATAAACTTTGTGATTTCAGTTTTTTTATCTGCTTTTCATTTATAGTTTACAATATACTATGTTCCTTGTTATTAAGAGCATTTTTTATCAAGTGAGTGAAATTAGGGCCATCATGTCCCGCTTGTTTATAAAAAACCTTTGAGTTGCCCCCTTTAGACCGTCATTAAGTACAAATGTGTATATCCGAACGTTTCATATTGCTTTACACATATACTTTTCTCAATATTGTTTTTGCAGAAACTCTGTTCATTTCTTTCAAATGATCTCGATGCAGCAGCTGCGTTGGCAATGGATTTTTCCAAGTGGCAACGATGTTTAGATATTGACCACACTATCAACAAAGTTTTCATTTTTTTACGAGACGGTTTCTCTATTGGTCCAGACATAATCTTGCGGAATGAAGGACGCCACAAAGCTTTCGTACGAATGGCAAAATGCTACTTCAATATTGTAAGTTTTTTTAATAAGTTATAAAGCGTTAGTCGTATAATCGTGGAGAGAAACGCTATTTTGTAACTATGACAAAGCTTATTGTATCAAAATAATTGTTTACTTAAATAAATATATATAGGAAGTTGAAAATACACGAAAGTTTTTACAAGTATATTGTTTGTGTCGCCTTCAACAGAGTTGCGGCGAAATATAGAGATCTTTTCTCCGTCATCTTTCTGTCTGTCCATCACAAAACTTGTCCGCACTACTTCTAAAAACTACTATTGTAATCTTTCCAAATTTTACAGGAATGATTTTTGCCAGAGTTTTGGTCATTAAATGATTTTGTTTTTAAAGTTTGCCCGGATAACTTCGCTTATACCATTTACGCAATTTGTAAGAAACTTTACAGGATTTAACTGTGCCTCCAAGTACTTGCGCATTTTACACAGGCTTTGCGATTTGAATGATATGTGGCTCGACTTTTTCGGAGAAAAAAACCTATTGCTACTGTCTTGATATCCATGACGTTGCCGTTGCTGTTGCCCTTTTTTGACGAATACATAGAACTTGTTCATAATGAAATGCCTTTATACTTAGACACAGCAGCCATTTGGACAAGACCTTCACGTTGACTAGATAGACATTGAACTTCACTCAAAAATTACATTGACCTTTAACAAATATTTGAATGTTGCTTGACTTCAGCAATAATTGGCTATAACTTTGATTTTTATGAATGGATCGTCTTCAAACTTGGACATATTAACCCTTTAGGCCTTCATGAACACTTAATAGTTGATGACTTTCACTTATCAATGACCTTAACTTTGAAAGTCCAAAAATTGTACTTTGCTTGTATTTCCTATAATTGGCTATACATTTGTTATTTATGAATTAATTGTATTCAAACTTACACGTTATAATTCTTACGAACACGACATTTATGTATTAAACTGATTTTGATCTTTACTTATCAATGACATTGATCTTGAAGGTCAAATTGTTTGTTTTTTATCCTTACTATGACTGGTAAAAATATTGTTATTTTTTAATGGAATGTCTTCATACTTTGGAATATCTAACTTAAGAACTCGTGTCTTAAATTGAATCACACCAAATTAGGCCTTGATTGTTAATTATCTTGTTTGTTTGTTTGTTTTGGGTTTACGTCACATCGACACAGTATAGGTCATATCGCGACGTTCCAGCTTTACTGGTGGAGGAAGACCTCAGGTGCCCTTCCATGCATTATTTCAGGCACGAACGGGCACCTGAGTAGAACCACCGACTTTCCGTAAGCTAGCTGGATAGCTTCCTCACATGAAAGAATCCAAAGTCCCTGTCGGGATTCGAACCCACAGCGGTGAGGGGCAAGTGGTTTGAAGTCAACGACCTTAACCGCTCGGCCACGGACGCCCCTTAATTACCTTGACCTTAAAGGTAAAATTATTGTAACATAACAGGATTTCTTTTTTTATGATTTAGTACAACTTTGTAAGTTATAGATTTGTGGAACAGGACAAAAAAAGTTTTCATTGTTTTTGTCATTGACCTTCTCACTGAAGGTCAAATTAGTAATTTTGAAACAATTGGCTGTATTTTTGTCATTTATATATGGATTTCATTTATACTTGGGCAAAAGAACACTTGTTACAAAACTAATTTAGATATGACCTAGACCTTTACATGACATTGACTAGTCAAATATTGAATTTAGCAAAGGTTGTTATAACTTTGTTATTTATGTACAGATTTGATTATACTGAACAGAAGAACTCTTATGACAAAACCGACATGTTGAATTATTCTGGTATGTTCATATCCTTAACTTGACCTCGAAAGTCATGGTCAAATTATTGACATTTGCTTGAGTTGTCATTACTTCGTTATTAATTCAAAAATTTGAGTTATACTTGGACAAAACACGTTCAATTTTTCTGATATGATTTTAACCTATAATTGAGCTTCTAGGTCAGATTATTGAAATTTACTTATATTGTAATAACTTTGTTGTTTTCTTTAAAGATTTGATTCATTTGGAGACAAAAGAACACTTATTAGAAATGATGGGAATTTAAATGTAACTTTGACAGTCAAGGTCAAATGCGGAATTATTTTAATTATGATTTGTTTAAGAGAGTTGTCTAGGAGTATTCTTATCTGCAAAATTCTTTCTTCAATGTGTTTAATGTTAGAAGTAAGAAACAACCGAGCATGGTTTCCCCCTGGTGGTGTTTCCTCTTTGGCTGAGATATGGCCAGCGTTATGGCATGGTAAAATTTATGTGTCTGCTGAGTCACAGTAGCCGCAACTGCTGCAAAGTAGCCGCGACACATGGGGTCTGGTCTATCACTCTTCGATACAGCTGCTTAACTGGAGATATACATCAGGCAATACATGTGATCACTGATCGCCTTTGTTTTATAATTTAAATGTCGATTGTAATATCTTAAGTAGACTTGATCTAACATACAAAATGTAAAGCATCGCCTATTTTATACAAATATTTAAGTTTAGATACGATACTGGTTAAGGAAATTCAAAGACGATCGGTATGACATAAAAGTGTTTTCTTTTGCATTTTTTCAAGAATGACCATGACAATACAAGAGTGTTTTGCAAGTTTGGTAAGTTTTTCATGCAATGTTCTTTAAATAATCATTTTGATTAAATTCTATTTTTCTTTAAAGATATTGACGTGTTTTGTTCAAATTCTAGTACTTCGGGATCATTAATTTCACTATTTCAAGAAATTAAAGACTGAATACCGCTTAAGCTGGTGCAAGCTATAGGACCGTGATAGATGATGCACATATCGTTATCTCTCAATAACAGAATTAATCAAAACGACTCTGCAATGTTCAAACATGTTTTTCATCGCTTTCCAGTGATCGCTCTTTTCCAGATTTCATATATTATAAAAAAAACAACGTATTTAAAGAATGATAATGGTTCGTTGCTTTTAAGAACTTTAGTTAAAATAATGTAAAGAGAAAAATCATTGGAATATAGTGCGCATATGTCAGTTTCATTTACACTGATAGAGTTTCTTTTTTTACTTTAAGTATCTTACCGGTTTTACCAGAGGGATCTGTATGTTTTCCCTCCGTCCGCTGGTCCGTATGTTCGTCACACTGCCCGTCGGTCCACAAAAAAGGACCCCGTTGTAATTCAAAAAGTACAAAAATTATTTGTATGAGTCTTTAAGTATGAATAAACGGCAGTTTGGAGATAATGCACGTTTATTGTTTTCCTATTGTGAAAATTATTATTGCTATGGCAATAAATATACTTTAATATGGCAACATAAAGCATTCTTAAAGACTTCGCACTATTTCTGTATCAAACAGATAGGACAGGCAAGTGCATTATTACTCGATATATGAACATCATAGAAGAAAAGCTTACATGTTAAATGGTGTCAGATAGGATTTCAGTAAACTAATGACATCTGGAAAATTACTTCTACTTTCAATGTTGGTCAACATATTATTAACCATTCTCTTTGATATTAGCATTATATATTAATTTTTCTGGCATTATACATGTAGAATAATAATAAACAGTTTATCGTTCAAATTCGTTGTAATTTAGCACTCTGGCATACATGTATCGGCCTTTGTTATTATATTCATACGCATTCGAACTTGAATCGTTCATATGCACTTCTTTTTTAACTCGACCTTTTCTATGTAAAATCGATCTATTGATACAATCATGTCTTCCTTTCCCGTTGCCATTGCCGTTGCCGTCCATAAACTTTAAACATTATTCATTTCTTTTCTATTCTTTAAAGATTGTCTTTTTTATTTGGACGCAACAACCCTTTGGGCAAGATAATAGAAATGAATTAATTGTCTTCAGACTTGGGCACACAGCCTTAGGACAAAGCATTAAAGATTTAATCAAGATTTTGACATTGACACTGATTGACTATAGGTCAAATTAATGTATTTGCTACAATTGGCCATAATTATTGATTTAATTTATTCTGGGACAGAAAACAAGGAACAATAAAACTGTAAATGTTGAATATTTCAAAAATGACTCTTCCCTAAATAAACAAGAGGGCCATGATGGCCCTGAGGTCGCTCACCTGTATATAGGCCCCCGGAGCGGGGCCAGTTTAAACACCAGGGCTTTTATTTGAACAAACTTGGAAGACACCCATTAGAAGATGTTTCATGATGTTAAGTTTTTACTACACACATATAATGAAAAACAATGACCTCCCCCCCCCCTTTGGCAGGGCCAATTTTAACCCAAGGGCTTTTATTTGAACAAACTTGGTAGACACCCACAAGAAGATGTTTCGTGCTTAACAATCTAACCTCTAGCTCATTGGGTTTTTTAAAAGAAGCTTTTTTAAGTTTTTACTATACACATATAGTTAAAAACAACGACACCTCTGGGGCGGGGCCAGTTTTAACCCCAGGGCTTTTATTTGAACAAACTTTGTAAACACTTACTAGAAGATGTTTCATGCTTAATATCTAAACTCTAGCTATTTGGGTTTTTTAAAAGAAGATTTTTAAGTTTTTGCCATACACATATAATGAAAATCAATGACCCCCGGGGCGGGGCCAATTTTGACCCCAGGGCTTTTATTTGAACAAACTTTGTAGACACTCACTAGAAGATGTTTCATGCTAAATATGTAAACTCTAGCTATTTGGGTTTTTTCAAAGAAGATTTTTTAAGTTTTTGCTATACACACATAAGGAAAATCAATGACCCCCGGGGCGGGGCCAATTTTGACCCCAGGGCTTTTATTTGAACAAACTTGGTAGACACTTATTAGAAGATGTTTCATGCTAAATATCTTACCTCTAGCTCTATGGGTTCTTTAAAAGAAGATTTTTTAAGTTTTTACTATATGCATATAGGGAAAATCAATGACCCCCTGGGGCGGGGCCAATTTTGACCCCAGGGCTTTTATTTGAACAAACTTGGTAGACACTCACTAGCTCTTTGGCTCTTTGGGTTTTTTTAAAGAAGATATTTAACGTTTTTTCTTTCGGTTGCCATGGCAACCAGAGTTCTGCATGGAATGGAATTCTTTGAACAACTTTGTAAAGGCTTCACACAAGGAACATCCCTGTGAAGTTTCATTATGATCTGCCTTATGGTTTCAGAGGAGATGTCGTTTTAAAAGTGTGAACGGACAACGGACGACGTACGACGGACGACACGACGACGGACGAAGAGTGGTCCTAATAGCTCACCTTGAGCATATGCTCAGGTGAGCTAAAAAAGTAATTGAATTTTACTCAGATTGTCATTACTTTGTAATATCTTTACGATATGATTAATACTTAGACAAAATAATCCTTATGACAAAACCCAGATGTTAAATAATTCAAAAGTGACCTTGATCTTTAATTGGCGTTGTCCGTCAATGTCTAATAATTTATATTTTCTAAAATTGTCATAAAATATGATAAACAAGTTCAACAACGAAAGGCGGCGCTCAATGAACGCTATCCCACACGACCTAGAAACAAGAACCAGTGGCAAGAAGCCCAGGAGGACCCCAAACAAAAAAAGGACAGTGCACAAGGCAGAGTACGGACAGTTAATCACTAAAATGATATAAAAGAAGAAATAATTTGTAACTAATAAGGAAATCAAAGAAAACAAATGAATGAATAATAGGCCCATAAAGTAAAAGGACACAGGGGGAGGGGATAGGAAATTCGTGAAGCGGGGGGGGTTAAATTAAAGAAATAAAACTAGGGGCACAAACAAAAGACGAGAAAACAAGGGACACAAACAAAAGTATCACCAAAACAGTATAAAAAAAGCACATACATCTGAGGAACACAGAGGGGTGCCGCCTTAGAACGGTCAGCAGCATAAGTACTGCTGGGGAGTTGTAACCGGTTAATGGTGCACCAAACCTCACTCTTAGCCCCACCATGTTCCTATAAACGAGACAGTGTAAATAAAATTAATCGCCGCAAAGTGAAATTCTAACAGTTGTTCTGGTTACAAAAGGTGAAATAAGTAAAACACCACAATGATCATGTAGAACCAAAAAGGAAACCCAATGACCATAACAAAAGTACTCGATGTCTTAAAGGATGACAGAACAACAAGAAAATCACCTACAAGGGCCCGACGAAGCAAGACAGAAGACGAACATTAAGGCAATTCAGTCCAAAAGGGCTAAAAAAACTGTCCATCATAGAGTCTCCTACTTGGTCCGTCAGATGTTATCAAAAGAGGAAAGCGTAGTGTCCAACTGTAAAAGGATTGAACACTAAGCATGCAGTTTGTCTTAAAATAGTTGGGTCATAACCTCTTTTAATAAAACGTATAAAATTACGATTGTAAAATTTTGTAAAATATTTACGTGATTTATATTATTGAGTAGCTTGCTAGTAATGAAAATATTTTGCTCGTAAAGATCCTTAACGTTGCTACAAGCTCTAACGAATCTAATTAAATGAGATATATAAACCCCGTTAGATGTTGCATGCGGTACGTCTCCATCCAAATGTGGATAATTTACTATACCAAATTTAAAGTATTCTCTTTTATTATAGATTTTCGTGTGAATAAATTTGTTTTTGATAGTAATATGAAGATCCAAAAAAGAAGTACTTAATATGTATTTGTTTGCAAATATAATTTATACATGGGTACAAAAAGACAAGTGACAAAATAGAGAAAATAAGAATCCCTGATATAAAATCCAAAACGAAATAATTGATTATAAATTTAGGCTCGGTTTGTTTGAGCTAGCTCATGCTTAAGCGGAATTGAACATTTAAACTTGAAATTTTTTTTTAGAAACATCCGTAGACGTTTTCATACGGCGGTTTTCATGGAACCTTCAATGCAACACTTTCGTGCTATTCCATTAAAAGCGCGTCTGGTCCCTAACTAATAGAAAGCATGTGCTCAAACGTGAAAACAATGGACGGAACTAAACAAAATGGAATTTCGAAAGGGGATCAAAGGTTATGACATCTGCAAATCACAGATATGACGCCAAAACACAAAGTTAAAAGGCAGGCAACATATCATAATAGGGTGAATCAACATTATTCATGTAGGAATATTGGAACCACCCAACCAGAAAAAGGCCAAATAGTTAGAGTTAAAAATACCACAAACGCAACAAAAATGTAGTGCTGAAAGATCTTAAAGGATCGGAAATATACCATCTTTGATTGAATGTCTTCACACGTCACAAACAAGATGTGACGATAAAATAGAGGAAATAAGAATTCGTTTACAAAGTCCAAAGCGACAAAATTAAAAAATGTTGCAGGATAGGTTTGATTGAGCCTATTCATGAACGGTACTGGAAAGTGCAAGCTACTGTCCACGCCCCCTAGCACCGGCTTCAGCAGAATTGAACAACTGTGAATTTTGAATTTAGAAACATCCGCAGATGTGTCCATACGGCGGTTATCATCGAACCTTCAATGCAAAACTTTCGTCCTATTCCATGAAAGGAGGCGTATGGTCCTCATGAAATAGAAAGCAAGTGCTCTAAACGAGAAAACAAGGGGCGGAACTAAAGAAATAGAATTTAGAAAGGTGATCAGAAGTTCTGAAGCTTGCATATCACATATACTACATCAAAAGACAAAGTTATAAAGCAGGCAACATTTCCTAAGGGTGAATCAACATTACTCAAGTAGGAATATTGAAACCACCCAACTAGAAAAGGCCAAATAGTTAGAACTAAACATATCACAAACAAAACAATGATGTCGTGATGAACGATTTTTGTAATAACATATTTTTTTTACAGACATGATTTATATTTGGACAAAAGAACACATTAGACAAAACCAACATTGACCTTAAAATAACATAGTATGACTTAATATGTCAATTCATTAAATTTAACAGAATAGTCTTTTTTAAAAAATAATAACTTTTTTCTTTATTTACGGAAATGAGTAATATTGGAATTAAAAAAAAATATTTTGAAATATTTGACAATTTGAAAAATAAAGTATAACCTTTACTTATATCATAGACTGGTGAGATCATTTATGTCTTCCAATGGCATAATTGAAAGGCACTGACCATTCAGAATGCCGCTGGTTAATTATTGTGGCGTTCTCACCTGTATAGGACTTTTGTATTGCTTTAAATACTTTGATATATGCTACATGTGTTAATCCATTACGTTTTTATTACATTGAATTAGGTCAAGGCATAGTAGAAACTATAGTTATGTTTTAAGAACGCAGCTATTATCACTAACCCCGGATTCTGTAATTGAGTTTGTGATTCATTTGACTAAAAATTGAAACAATCACTCTTTCTATTCTCTGATCATGAAATTCCGTTATATATGTTTCATAGTTCTTGATCATACCGACTGTGAAGATATTGATGCGTTGGAAATATTTGCAAAATCGCTGTTAGCAACTCAGAGTTTCAAATCGGCTTCAAAATATTGCCAATTGGCAATTAATTGTTGCGAGGTAAATGTTTTGATCCAGATAATTAGTTGACATTTTTTTATTAAATAATTATTATTTCTTTCTTATAATCAACTCGAAATTTAGAAGTGTATATTTTGGCAGTTTCGATATGTTCTTTGCAATCAAAGATTTCAAAGGTTGATTAACATTAAATGATATTATTTATTTATCACAAAGACAAGAAACGGAATGACAGTTAAGCGACTTCAGAAACTCCAACACGAGATAAACTTAAAAACGTCGGTATCAACTCAATTGATAACGATCTCTAATGCTGGACCATGCATTACACAGACAGATCATCAGCCAAAAAAAGAGGTATTTAACCTATTAGTCTGCAAATATCTTTCATTATCACTTAGTCATCTTAGAGAGATTATTTACAATTCCAAAATAACGAAAAGAATACAACTGTTTTTATTTTTATTTTTGCACGAATTTCTTCTCAAATATCGAAGTTAGATCATATGTAAATAGTATACTGACAGTCGTTCTTAACATTTATTAGCTTTTATACATTATATTTTTGACTTTATGTGCTTATATGAAAAGTGAAAAGAAAAGAAATCCAAAACAAAATCAGTTACATACGCCAGTGATCATTATTTGATTTTGAATCAATTACAGGACAAAATTCAAAATGGAAAGGAGAAAACAAGTCGAAGAAGGAGGCGTAAGTATTTTCAAAAATTATTAACATCAGATCCTCACCAGCGAAGAGAGAGGTTTATATCCAAAAAAATTTCAACAACATAGAGTCATTTTCATTTGTCATATGTAGCTAACCGTGGTGATTTAGAGTTTAGTGCTGAATAAACATTAATGATCCTTGCGTATTTGATTTCAATGAAATATGTACTACTCATCTTCGAAACATTTTTAGTTCTTTGTTCAGATTTTTCTTTATTATTATTTTTTTTCTTGATAAAAATATATTTATTACGTATTGTACTTCTTTGTATTGTATTTGAACCTGTCACAACTTCTCCGAACGTGATTTAATGAAACCAAATGTTCAAAACTAAATTGTCGGGTAAGAAAAATACTAATAAATACAACTGATTCTCAATTAATTGCCTTAATGAGGCCCCCGCAACACCTTCAAGTTGACTTAATTGAGCTTGACCTTAACTCATAAATGACATTGATATTCATGGTCAAATGTTTGAACTTTGATTTTTCGTTGATAACTTGGAAAACTTTGTTAGAATGGAAAACAATATCTTGACTTTATACCTGGACACTATAATCTTCAGGGCAAGTCCATTAGATAGAGTCAATTGAACCTGACTTTGGCTCCTTAATGACCTTGCTATTGAAGGCTACAGATTGTGTTTCACCGATTATTTTTATTATTATTGAATATGCATTTGTAATTAATGAACGGATTTGTTTCATGCTCGATCACAACAACCCGAATGACATGTACTTCAAAACAGAAGGATAAAATTAACATTTACCCCAATTTGATCTTGACATTCAAGGTTTTTACAATTTTACATTTTTTCTTAAATTGGCTTTAACTTTGATTTTTTAGCAGATTAAGATTCTTAATTGGCAAAAACAGCATGAGGCCAAATCGACATATTGAAAAAATGAGCTTGAATTTCAAAAGGACATTGATTGGCATGCTCAAATTATATTTTTTGCTTATAAAGCAAAACATGTTTTATTTATTTACGGATTTTATTCGTACTTGAAGAACAATTCAACTCTTACATTGACACATTTAGTTATACAATCATTACCTTCACATGACCTTGACCATCAGGTTCGAATTCATGAATGTCGCTAAAATTTGTTAAACTTTAAATGTTGAACTTTGCTAACACTGGCCAAAAATTTGTTATTTATCAATAGATTTGATTCATACTTCAAAGATGTCATATTTTTGATCCTTGAAAATCGTTCAGTACGACCTAAGTTTTACGTGTGCGTGTTTATGGTGTATTAAGTTCTTTCTAGTTGATCTTTTTCTAGATGGGTTGTTCCAATAATCCTAAATGAATAGTGTTGCATCAGCCTTAGGGTATGTTGCCTGTTGTTTTTTTTTTAATTTGTCTTTGACGTCTAATCTGTGAAATGCAGGCTTCATAACCCAATATTCAATTTTGTTTAGTTCCGCCCATTGTTTTCTCGTTTAGGGCACACGCATTCTTTTACTTGGGGAACATACGCCGCTTTTCATAGAATGGCACGAAAGTATATCAGTGAACGTTCCATGATGATCTCCGTATGAACACATCTGCGGATGTTTTTAAATTCAAAATTTCACAGTTTTCATGCTTAAATGTTAAATTCTACTTAAGCTGGTGCTAGGGGGCGTGTTGTGTAACTTGCACTTTTCTGTTCCGTCCATGTACAGGCTCAATCAAACCGAGCCAGCAACATTTTCAATTTTGTTGTTTCGGACGTTCTTTCGGGATTCCATATTTCTCTATTTTAGACAAAACGACACACATGACACCACAGACATGTTGAATAATTTTGATATGACATTGACTTTGTCCATAAAATGACATTGGCCGTCAACTTCAATTTCAAGTTCATGTTTTTGAACTAACATACATAATAACTATCTATAATTTCTTTACGAAGTTGACTTATACTTGGACAAAATGATACTTGATGATAACAGGATATGTTGAATTATTACATTTTTATATTGAGATTTAAACGATCTTTAATTTAATTAATATTAATTAATGAAAACCTTTTGAATTTTCGTTAAATAATTTATTTGTATATTACATTCATACTTTGAGAAAACGACATCAATGTCATGGGCCGTCAAGGTCAAATTAAATTTAAATTAAAACTGCCGTTTGGACTCTCACGGTTTAGAACTTTCACTTTGTAAGAGAACAGTATTCCGAGGATCCCAGGTTGGATTCCTTGTCAGGCTGCACTATTTTGCGTGATTCCGCTCGATGGTGGTTCTTATTTAGAATATGTATTGTTTTCGGTTGTTAATTTACCAACAATGAATAATATTATGTTAAATTGTGCCAAACAAATGTATAAAATATTATTAGTACTCATAGGATGAATGAAATGAAAAGCAATATTATAATTAAAACATTTACTAAACGGTGCATGTTAATCAAATATAGCTTACCGTTTTTCAAAATTAAATAAACTCAATTGTTTTATCTTTTAGCAAACAGAGCAAAACAGCACGAAAAACAAAAATGTAATCATAGCCAAACATCAAATTCTTCAAAAAATTTGCCACAAGAAACAACTATCATTTATAAACAATCCACCTCTCAAAACAAAGATGAAGTCAAAAATAATAATTTTGAAAGTGATGAAGAAAAGTATGTTTTTGAAAGTGTGACGGACAAAGTTTCCGCTATATGTTCACAACTGTCACCATTAGATGGCTCGTGTAGTTCCTCATCAGATCAGAATTTCTCGACCGAAAGTATGTGTGATGATAAAGAAGAAACGTCTTATTATGAAAGAAGCAAATCTAAACACGATGGAAGAACTAAGGCTAAAGAAGAAGGTCTACTAGATATGGTTATAAATCTCGATCCGTCTTTTCTTCGTAAATTTGAGGATAGACATCCAGATGTGTTAAAGCGAAGGCAGGTGTATGAAAGCATGCTACCAAAACCTGATCTTGAAAATCTTTTGACTGATGAAAACAAATATGTCAGAGGAACAATACAGATTGATGGGCCGCATGATGCAACTTTTTTTCCTATAGCCACAACGAACTGCAGTATTCCTATCAAAATACAAGGTAGAGGAAAAATCGGACAAACATTTAAAGGAGATGAAGTTGTTGTTGAGCTAATCGATGACAAAAAGAATCCAGATAAGAGGTTTGGAAAAGTTATCGGTATATTTGACATAATGAAGCATGACAATGTGAAACAAAAAATATTTGCTTGTACGCTAGATGAAGAAAAATTCAACTTAGTACGACCAGTTTGCAAAACTATCCCAAAACTTCATGTTTTGGATAGAGAGATCTCCAGGCAATTCAAAAAGGAATCTGATAAAAGATATAAAGTTGAGCTTTACAATTATGACAAGAAAAATGGCACATTAAGCTTTTCAAAAATAGTAAATCTACAACAAGAGGACATAAATTATAGTATTTTTGTTGCAGTGTATATCAACTGGAGTCCACGTCACGTCTACCCAAGGGGTGCAATTATAGGAATACTTCCGACTGGACAAAGCGTAGAGCAGGACCTGTTGATAACCAACATTACTCATGAAGTTCCCTCCTTGTACCAACAATCAACGGTGGATGAAGTTGACCGTCTCCTACAACACACGAAAGCTGAGACAACAGAAGAAAATTTAGAAGATAGAACAAACTTATGTAACTTATGGACCTTCACAATTGATCCGCCAGGTACAGAAGACTTAGATGATGCACTAAGTGTAGAAGATTCTGGACATCACTATAGGGTCGGGGTGCACATTTCAGATGTATCATCATACGTATCTAAAAATTCAGGAATCGATTTGGAAGCAAAACAGAGGTCACAAACATTTTACTCAAATATTCAAAATGCTAGATGTATGCTCCCTGAACCGCTTAGCAAAAGCATGTTCAGTCTTCTCCCAAATAAACTACGTAAAACACTGTCAATTTTCTTTCAAATCGATAAAGAAAGTTTTGAAATAGAACATTCAGATGTTAGTAAAACATTTATCAAGTCTAAAAAAAGGTTTACCTATAGAGAGGCTCAAGATATCATTTCTTCAAAGGAAACACGTGGCGTTGATAAATGTAATGACCAGATTCAAATTTTATATAAAATTTCAAAAACACTTCGAAAAAGACGATTAAAAAATGCAAGTTTTGCTTTAGAAACATACTTTGAAGAATCGCCACTTGCAAACGATGACATCGGAACATTTCAAGCTCATAATTTAGTTGAAGAGTTCATGATCTTAGCGAATAGAACAATAGCAGAAAAGTTGTTAAAGTCAAAAAATAGAAATTGTATACCGCTACGTTGTCATCGTCCTCCATCAGAGGAAGATATTAAAGAATTTCTTGACGCCAATGAAAGTCATATCGACATTGTATGCAGATTACAAGATAAGCGAATCGGAACGAGAATACCAAGTTTCCTTTCCAACGTTGAATCGCGTGAAAAACATGTGATGGTTTTTAAACACATCTGGAAAGCTATGCTGACCAATGATAAACATACTACAAACTATTTAAGGAAAGACGATCTACATCCTATTCAATATCTTATTTACCAAAATTGGATTGCAATACAGGAAACTGGAGTGTACAGATGTTCAGGACGCCTCAAAAGAAATGAGGAAACACATTATGGTTTAGATATTTGGCCATACACGACATTTACATCGCCGATTAGGAGATATATTGATCTAGTTGTACATCGGATGGTTCATGCAACATTAATCACTGATAAAAACTGTCCATATTTACAAGATGAATTGGTCGAAATTTGTCAGCATGCAAACATGGTCAGTAAAAAAGTGAAAGATTATGAGAAAAGTTGTAAAACTATCAAACTAGCGACCGACATTGGCAAATGTCCTCGAGTGTTCACGTGCTATGTTACCAAGTGCACTGACAGAGAAATAACTGTAAGCACACCTTCTCTCAAAGAACCTGTTTTCATCCAAAAAGAAATTCAATTTAATCTATTGGATATTATAGAGAAGCCGGTCACGATTCCAGATTATAATACTAACTCAGACAGTGTAAAAGTAGTTTTGAGGAAACGTTTATATGATTTTCATCCGGTCATTGGAACAACTTTGGAAGAGCGCACACAGGAGCTTAATCCAAATGCGTCCGTTGTTTCTTTTGTTCCTTTATCTACATGGGTACAATTACTTCGAAGAAGTCTGTCTGTCAAAAGTGATGATCAGAGTTGTTATGATCTAATTAAAAATACAAAATTGGAACCTTCTACAGGCTTAACTGATGTAACAACAGAAATTGCAAAGGAGATTGAAGCAGATCCGGCAAATGGAAAAGAATCTCGAAAATGTCTTGTCTTTAAACCAAGTACGACATTTGCACTTAAATTCTGTCGTGGGCAACGACTGGACATTCAAATGATACCATCTCAACAGAAAGGAATAGCAATTCTCAAAGCATCACTTATCAGTTTGACAAACAATGTTAAATTGTGTCTTCAACACACAGATGATCCAGTACTATATTTATCACGATATTCGTTGAAAGCTACTTATGATTGTTACAAAGATGTGAAAACGTATCTTCATATCTGGCTCCCTATTCTTAACATGGAAGCGGCAAAATGTGTTCTGCGAAATGAAGAGTCGTTTACTCTACTTGATTACCCAGTCGACTTCAATCAAGACAGAACGGGAACATTTGTTCTTGATGAAAATGACTGTAGGATGAGAAACATTGAATTTTTTGGATTTTGTTTTGAGGACGAAAGCCGTAATAATTTCAAATTCCCATCCTATGACTGGTTGTGCATAAAATCCAGTCAAGACTGTTTAGTTAGAAATGATTCACAGTGTAAATCAAAATATTTTTGGGTAAGTCACGCAAATATAACTGGCGTTCAGCAGAAAACTGGAAAATATAAAGTAACGTTTTCACTCCATGATTCTGCAAGAACTGATGCAATTATGTTCAACAAAGAAGCACGGTTTCACATTGAAGTGTTAAAGAAATCCGAAGTAGATAGGTAGACAACATAAACTTATATACATTTTTTGAGAAGTCGAACACGTTTGTATTTTTGATAAGATCTATTTTGTTCAAGATAGTAATTGTATTTGCACTCGTTTGATATAAACTTTAAGGGACTTTTCGAATGACAGATACGAATTTGAAATCATAGAATTACAGTAAACTATAATGACATTTCATCCGAAATGTATACGTGTACATTTACTTATCTGTTGCTTGATAAATGAAACTTGACGAATGTTGCAAGATATAAGAGTGATGTGCTCGTGATCAAATCCTTGATAGATCATCGACTCAATTTTATCGTCTGTCGAAAGCATTTAATGAGATTAAACTCCATATAAGAGTTTGAAATTCGATACTGGGTAATTTGTTTTCATAAGCTGACTTTGACATCAGAAATTGTATTTTAAAGTTTACATTTCGATTTCAGGAGAACAGAAAGTTTGATCCAGGAGCTTGAAAATGGTTCTCTTTGTGCTAATATTGCTCTTAGAAAACACATCCCTAAATTAGGTTTGTAGTTAAAATATTATTAAAGAAAGTCTGTCTGGTAGTTGAATTTAATAAAAGCTCTTACCATAAAACTTATTAATCAATTCGGATAAAGTGTTTATGACGGAAATGTTTTGATGGAAAAAAACTTTCTGAACTTGACTTCAACTTTTTAATAACAACTGAGATTTTCTGGCTCATATTGTCGGCTTTAATTGATAGCTCGGATAAAGAGGAAGTAAAGAGAGACCGAGTAATTTTGTCACGAAATAAACACGAAAACGTGCTAAATTTAACATGTACGAATGAAAGGATTTTTGGAGGAGAAAACATAAAAAATGAATTCCTTATGCTCAAAATTATCAGTTACAAGTGATAATGTTTTAAATTACCCTCATGAATCTTTATAATGTATCAGCTACGTTTTATGAAGTTTGTTCCCATGTAAAGTATTAAAATCTTATAGTTTCCGTAGAATCAAATACGTTTGTTTATAGATAGATTAAGTGCACTCTTATTCAATATTTCAATTTCAATATAGAAGATAGTTCAAACTACATGTCAGCTGCAGAATTGCCAAATCAAAAGTTTGTATTTAGGCTCATACGTTTCTGCCTATGTTTATCTTATCGCAGAAAAGGTTCGGTATATTCATGAGTTTATTAACTGCTTCAGAAAAATATATTCAATTGTTATCATGATTTTTTACATGAATTTCACATCAAATCATCTTGTCAAGGTTTGAAATTTTATTAATTATAGATGATGAGTTGATAGAGATAGCAGATAAAATGGATAAAGATCTGGTGATTAAAAACGAAGACGAAAATGACTGGAAGCCGTTACCAAAGAACAATTGTATGCAAACAGATGCGATTTGTAAGGCATTAAAATCCCGTTTCACACTCATACAAGGGCCACCAGGTACAGATCCTTCACAACAATTGATAACTTATTGTATATTAATTTACAATAAGGAAGTATGATATTAGAAAAGGAGATTCCGATATTTGCTCGAATAGAAACGAGTTTTGTGCTCATATTTCTTAATTAAGATACGTTTAATACAATGTTAAGTGTATCATAGGTATTGACTTATTATAAAGACATCGTTATTCATTTAAAACATTTTTTTCTTTCCTTACCATTGTAGGAACTGGAAAAACCCAAACAGCTATTAAGTTGATATGTCTATTTACAAAAATGAACAGAGAAAAACGACAAGATCAGATTGGTAGAAACCAGGTACTTTTCTGCGGACCATCAAATAAGTCTGTGGATTTAGTTGCAAGTAAGTGCACCTTTACACATAAAAGCATATGCCCTACAAATATTCAAATATGACAGGTAATTTATTATTGTTTTGTTTGCCATCAACTGTTAATATATTCATTATTCAACTCATAAATGATTTCAAACTTGAACAGATCAAATATAATTAAAGACGTACTAATTAATATCGAACAGACAAATATGGATTATAAAGATTTTTTAAGATAGGTTTTGGTTTTAAAAGAAGCAGTACATCAGCATTGTTAGTTATTATAATCTATATGACATTTTATTGTACTAAACAACCAGGGTGGATGTTAACTCGGATGGGTGAACATCGACCAAAATTTGTCCGTATATACGGTCAAACAATAGAATCTGACGTACACCCAATACCGGGCAAATGGTTTCTCTCAAAGAGAAGTGCAAAAACCCAGTCTGCAGACCCTGCATTGGAAGCTGTTTCACTGCACAATCTCATCCGACAACATGGGAATAAATATGCCGATAAAATCCGAGAATATGAAACGATATTTGAACGCAATGATAAGAAACGAATACCTGCAAAAGAAAGACGATATATCAAGCTGATTGCAAGAGCATCTATTGAAGAAATGAAAGACTACGATGTCTTACTTTGCACTACAGCGGTTGGTGCCAATCCAAAACTAATTAAGGCATCAAATGTGTCTCAGGTTAGTTTTTATATATTTTTGTATTGCAAAATGTTTTTATCAAATGAATTTACAGACACGCTATAAAAGGGGTCATTCATTTGAATTCATGTTATAGTAAGATAAGGTAAAACTAATACATAATTTGATATCGTTAAAAACAACAAGCATTATTACATGATTTCATGTTAAATGTGTTACTTTACAATTATCTTTGGGAATATTTTGTTTATCTTGCGAGAAGATATAAACATCTAAAAAATATGTTTTATCTTTGGCATATGAAGTTCAGAATCAAGAGGTTAATTATTTAAGATTTTAATTATACGATACAAATGGTTAATTATAAAGCAAAAAACGATAAGAACTTGGGATATTTTTTAAATATAGAATCACTACATATCAATGTCGTAGTATTACATTATCACTTTAAGATCATTATTGATGAAGCTGGCATGTGCCCAGAGCCACACTGCCTTGTTCCTATCATTGCTACAAAGCCGGAACAGGTCGTCCTTATAGGGGATCACAAACAGCTTAGACCAATCATTATGTGTAAAAGGGCAGCAGAACTCGGGCTAGACAAGTCATTGTTTGAGAGATATGCGCACAAACATTCGTCAACGAATGTTTCGTTCGTTATGCTAAACGAGCAGTATCGTATGGTAAGTTTGACTGTAATTTATTATGCTACAAAATAGATGATAAGATCATATATGTTATATATCGATGCGATAAGTATGAACTCAACTGATGATTACAGCGAATCGCTTAATATATTGTGAAATCATTTTTAAGGCCTGTAAAACTACTTTGGGCTTACTTGCTATCATAGCCTCACGAAAACCTTCAACTGAAAAAATGTTTTCTTTGAAGTACCGTGTTGTAAGATACGGTGGCCGGGGGACAAATCAACCTCATGAATGCATTATAAATTTTCGATTTCATCATCACGTGCTTTTGGGAAGATGAAACTTATTTTAAACTTCTGTTTGTATTATTAAACCAAGACGTTCTGTGTCATAGACATGGGATTGATTTTGTACAGAGAAATTAAGTATTTAAAATAATTATCTAATTCTTTTTAAAGTAATTTCATTTATATGAAAAAATGAATATGTTTAATTAAAGCAAGCGAAAGAAGTGTAAACATTTACACATTAACATTTAATGCGTGGTTTTTGTTTTGTTTTTGTTTTTTGGTATTTTAATAACAATATATTTTTTACAAATCTAGCGTTTATCAAAATGACAGCTTTATTTTTTTACAAAGCATCCTCAAATATGCCAGTTTCCTTCTGAACAATTTTATGATGGTGCTTTGAAGACTTATAGAGGATATTGCGCAAAAGATCAATTAGAAATCTGGCCGCACGATCATCAAACTGTGTATCCTCATGTTTTTATCAACATAGAAGGTGAGGAAGAAATTTTAACTGTCTCTACAGAGGAAGGGAACGAACAGTCGAGAAGTAATTTTGAAGAGGTTAAACAGGTTGTGAGTATTCAACTAATTCATTTTTCACGAGCAAGTATATGCGAATAAAACTCGTTTAAAAAAAAAGAGTTATTGTTAAAGTCATCTCGGTGTTCCCGTACCCGTCGCACTTCTGCAAACTTTGATATCAATATTGATCATTACTCTGTATTTCATGGTGTATTGTCTTTAGACTTGACCACAACAACACTTGAGACAAGACCTTCGAATACACCAAACTAACCCTGACCTTTATTCATAAACAACCTTTATCTTCAAGGTCAAATGTCTGAATTTTGCTTCATTTTTTATGGTTTTTGCTGATTTTGCTATAAGAAGCTATAACTTAGTTCATTTTAAATGGATTATCTACAGTCTTGAAGACCAATATTATTGCTCAACTATCACAGGCGAGGAGCTATCTGTGTTTGCATTTTGTTTTGTCCATAGACCCGATTTTGATCAATTAATCCATTCGATTTACAGCTAATCATAAATTCGGAACAAAAAATTCTATTATGTAAAGCCATATATTGGTTTCCCTTTCGGTGATTCACATCATGCAATATTTATGAATGAGAAGGGAAACAAATTTCACGCTTTATTCACTGGGAAGACAGTATAAAAGACAAAACAAAAAATGAACATAAATTCAGTAATTTATTTCTTACATTTGTATCTGCTAAAGGAAATTACAAATTTTTTGTAGTACGCAGTGTGTTATGTATGTGTTTTATTTAACTATACTGATCACTGATTAAATAAAGCTAGATGTGAACTTCAAATTGAATATCTGGCCCCTCTCTCATGGACAGTGCGTACGATAGTAATAATTAAGCAAATAAAATGATTTTCAAAACATCCGGAATAATGTACAATAGTACTTAATCTAAATAGAAAATGACTTTGTGTGTAGGAATGATTTGGTAAGGTATCTGTAATAAGCGTTTTTTGTGCGCGGAGATCCTTAATTGCTACATTGCAGCAAAATCAGTACTTGTTTAGGATAGATGTTCAAGTTGATAAGACATAGCTTGACCTTCATCAGAGATTTAGATTACAGAAATAAGCAGCTCCTATATACTACATTGAATATCACACGTACCTATCAAAATGTGAAAACCTAGGCATGCTGTAGAATGTAAATTTAATGGATATATATTTAATTCTTTAATAAACTTAGTATTGTGACGTCATCTTTATGGCATTGTCATATTAAAATAAAACACTGTTTACCATGATATTTGTAAAAATTAGGGAGATTATTTAAATTTACATAAATGATAAAAATTGCATTTTTTTTACTTCATTCATTTGGTATTCAAATAGATATAAACATCTTCTATGAATTATGTAGATACATTATATTATCATGTCAATTTAGTCTGATAACAGGCAAAACTTGCCTTAATTACGACATCAGCAGATTTGCTTCACTAGAATTCAAATAAATAAATACCTTTGTTACTTACACTTTGCAAAATTATCATTGTACATTATTATTTACAAAACGTTTAATCGAACACTTTTAGAGCTAATAAGCTTTAAACAATATGAATTTATATTAAATGGACAAAAATATAATGATGGCAAAGCTTTTTATCTTTGTTTTATTTATTTATTTATTTATTTATTTATTTATTTATTTATTTATTTATTTATTTATTTATTTATTTATTTATTATTTATTTATTTATTTATTTATTTATTCATTTTTTATTTATTTATTTATTTATTTATTTATCGTTGAATATTAAAAGACTTACAAATGTGTGCGCACTTTAAAATTATGGCATACACATTTTTATCCATTTATTTCTTAAAGAACACTTTTATGTTTTGAGTACTCAATAAAGATGGTTATCACAAGTTTGCTTCTCTTATTTGAGGTCAAAGTTTATGGTTACTTTACAAAAACAGTGCCATCAGAGTCAGTTCAAATTATTTCACAATACAATGCGCAATGCCATGAAATAAAAAAAGAGCTGAGGAAGGATGGGTTTGTTGATGTAAATGTCAGCACAGTTGTGACGAGTCAAGGTATGTATATTTAAATTGTTTTGATAGAATCATTACCATTCACGCATTACTTTAAGGTAAATATTGCGAATAGTTAAAACATTCTTATTCTTAAAATGGATCTTTGCATAAAATCTGCCTTTGGACAGAGGGAAAGCTTCATTAAAGGATAACATTATGCAAGCACGCGCTGGTATTGTTTGACTTGGGTTGCCAAATTGGACTGCAAAATCTATTTTTATAGTTACGATAAGGTGAACTTTAAACTTGTTTTTACTCATAACATAAAGTAACTTTTAATTCTAAAAGCTGGACAATACTTTCTTTTTTTTTCGTAGGTGGAGAATGGGACTATGTAATATTCAGTACCGTCAGGTCATTACCGTCGTATAAGATAGAACGACATCCAACTCTTGGGTGGTGCAAACAAAATCTCGGTTTTATTACTGACAGAAACCAAGTAAACGTTGCCTTAACCAGAGCCAAAAAGGGACTGATCATAATAGGTGAGTTTATCCAATATATATTGTCAATAACTATTTATAGTATCAACATAATTTTCCGAAAGAAAATGATAAAGATCCTAATTAATGTTCTTGTGTTTTATTGCAATGATAAAAAATATGCTTGTTATTAAATAGAAATATTGCCTCCCAACATTTTATAAAGATATTCTATTACAATGACTGAAATTACCTTCCCTGACGTAAGGTTCACAGAACCTTTATATTATGTTATCAAATAGAATCCTTAAATAAAGCCAAATATTATATCAGCATATACGTAAAACTATGTATTGATTTTTTTTGTGAAGATTTTTGTTGAGATTCTTTAACGATATATTATCCTCAAATTCGATATATGAAACTACAGATAATTGCTACATAGTCTCTTTTAAATAAACATTTTTAAGTGCACATAGGGAAGATATGTGGCGCATTAAGCTCTTTACAGTAAGGATAAACAAAGTATGAACATAGCGTGAGTAAAAAAACTGACAGTCTTTTTAAGAATGGGCCAAATTTATTTGACCAGTAATAGGGAAAACAGCTTCCGATATATATTTTTCGCATATTTCTAATTGAAATAAGACATATTCAGTAAGAGTTCCCTAGATTTCATACAATTTCTGCATTAAAATGAGTAATACCCAAAGATGAGCATATCCTGAAGGAAATTTTATATTTAAAGTTCATGAACATTGATTCTTGAAACATAAGTAAACTTTCAGAGATTTTTTATTTTTTCGTATAGGAAACAAAAATCTACTTTCTTGTGATGAAGTATGGAAAAATCTTATTGACTACTACGAAGCAAGAGGTTGTATATTGTCTCCAGATAAATTCCCACCACCTTTCAAGAAAACAAGGCAACAGATTATGAAAGAGGAAATCCAAAAGCATGCACGGAGATTTGGGACAAAGAGTAACAAAGGGCCACAAGGAAAGATAATTCATCAACAGGGAAAGGGTAGAAGGAAATAATTTTTGGCAATATAATTGGCTGAATAACTTTCAATATTTGTAAATCAATTATATCATTTTGAATGATATTTATGAAATTGGTGCAGAATGTAAATGTGAATAAGATCTAGAATGGAATTTATTGCTTAATGTCATGATGCCATAATACAGTGAAGTCATAATTATTGCAATGTCTATAAATTGAATGTATTTTGTTATATTTTTTGAAACAGATATATACATTTTCATGTAGTGAATGTTAGATTCTTTGGATTTAATTATATGTGATATTTCATTTGTCTACAAAAAGCTTTTAACAAATGTATGAGTGACATATTATTATTTTTATATATGGTTGTTTGCTCCCCTGTCTTCCGCAATTAAAATATTGATAGATGGCCATATTAACCTTATGTACATGCACATTATATTGTTTGTGTTCATCATATGTTGAAAAATGTGACTGTTTTTGCAACAAATTGACTTGTAAGATGTAGATGCAAAACATGGTGACAAACTATTGAAGACTGTAGATTTTAAACAAGAGTTATGTGATGAGACCCAAAGGGTCAGTTTTCTGACATGTGAAAACTCTGACATATGATGTCTTAAAGTAATTTCCCGTTTTTATATTGAAATGTTTAAAAATATCCTAAAATGGATTTTTTAAATGTCTTTAGGGCCAAAGATATATTTGAATATTTGTGTGTTATTTTTAGTTTTTAAGCAACATTCCATTCCATAACTTTTTCCGTTCTATTGACAACAATTTGCCGCTGATTACTTAAGAAAATATTGCTGATTGTTTATACTCCTGACTTTTTTCACAGAATATTTCGTTTTAAACAGGCCTTTAAAACTTAGTTTAGTGTTACAGGTCATACAGCGAGGTGCATTTATAACATGTATAAAGTTTGTTGGAATAAAGAATGTGTGTCATTTAATCCTCCGATCCTATTTTATAGTAAATCATTATTGAACTTTGCAATATAAATTGTTTTTCCATTAGTTAAATTGTTGGTTGTTCTTTCTGGAGTTAAAAGTAGTAAGGAACTTTTTAGCTTTACATTATTTGCACTTGGTTTTTACATTTTGAATTACTTATATTACTGTTTGTATCAGCTTGAATATGCCTCTTTCTAAAGTCATTGATGCTGGTCATATGAGTCAATATTGATATCAATTAATTCATAGCATTCATAACAAACCATTTTATGAGTGTTTTTTTCGATTAATGATATCATGATATCTACAATAAATAGTGTGTATGTTTTAATTAACCAGTGCATATGTATTTGAAGAAATAAACTAATAAACAAATTGTTCAATGTACTTTTTATTTCTTGTATTCATACGTTACAAAAATTGCATACTGCATAATTATTTTAGTTTTGAGGAAATAAAAGAGAATTAAGGAATAATTAATTAAAAGACAAATGCTTATATGGTATCCCTTCTGACGGGGAATACTGTCAATTATAAATTCTAACACTATCAGAAATGTTCCTATATAGACAAAGAAGGCCGGAAGCGTGCATTATTCTACAACAATGCACTCGCCGTTCTTATTACCTGAGGCTCCCTGTGTATTTTCAAAGCGACATATTGACGCCACCATTTTGTTTGAAACATCTGATAAATAAAAAAACTTTTTTTGTCGAATTTTGTTGTGAAAACTATCTAGAATGAAAGAAAATGGTCTAACTAAGAAAATGAATCCGAACACCAATATCTTTAATTCAATCGTTAACGCTGTACAGACGTTTAAAGTGTTGTTTAAGTGACGTCATAATGTAGCGCCAAACAGCACGTGCAAAAACAATCATATCAAGCGCAAACGAGTTAAATTTCACAATTATTTCACTATTTTTTTGCATTTTGCTTGAAAATATAGAGTGAAATAAAATAAACAAAGTTTTATTAACGTTTTCAAAATTCGTTATTCTCAAAATGTTTCTACACAAGGAAGATTTAACGATAGTTTTTTTAAACCCACTGGAACAGCCTTTAAAGAACGTTTCTATTCGAAAATTTGAGGCTAAAACAAATTTAACTATCAAACATATATATAATAATCAATTTTTTTGACGTGTTAGAATGGAAATATATATATTATTAAATTCTTCGTGCATTATAGTATAATAATGCACGTTTTTCGTTCTTTGTAATTAATCAATCGGCCTTCCTGATTATATAACTACGCATTTGAACTCAAACCCTGCATTATTCTACAACAATGCACGAAGAATTGATATCTATTTCCTAAACATATCACTGCCTAACAAATTAAACAAATATATCAATTTAAAAATATCTGAAATTTATTAAGACAAAAAATACATGATAAATAAAATAACATTATGAAATTAGATAAACGTTTGCAATACGTTTAGAAAAATCGAAATAAATATAATAAACTGTATTATCATTGATCATTATTAAAAGCTATCCATTTAAGTATAACTTTTTTTCATGTGTATCATTTTATCAAATACAAACAGACCGATACTTCTTATTGGTAAATATATTTTTCAGTCTAAAATTAACGCAACGTTCATTTGAATTAATTACCAGACAATCTATAACATAAAATAAGTATCCCTTTGATACTTTATTCGCATTGGCTAGTAGAAGTGAGTACCTATACTCAAGTGATTGTGATAATGACAACATATCCAATACATAATTGTTTATATAAAAAACAGAGACATAGAAAATACGTGCATGGTTTATAATAGTTAGGCATCGAGACAGTCACCGGAGATATCCATATTGTGTATATATTATTTGTTTAAAATTTGTTTAATTAAAGTTAATTAATTTACATTCAAATCATTTTAAAATCATTGATTTTTAATCATTTTGGTGAGGAAACCTAGAGGAAAACTATAAATGTATTACGAATATTTATAAGCTCGGTACACGTTACAGAATCGGTGGCAGTGTCGGTGGGATAGATCTATTATAACTTAAAGATAAAACACAATCACAAGTGCCCATATTTGATGAGATACATTTTGAAGGGTACGTATAATTTGTAATATAAAACAAAACAAAATTATCTTTTGGAAATAGCCGAAAAACGAAAGAAATCAACGTTAATTGATGGATGATGAATATATGTAGACTCAAAAAAGAATTTTGAAGATGGAAAGAGTCTCAGACTACACCTTTATATGGAAACACTCGAAAATTCGAAAATCAGTACAAAAAAGTACACCAACGAAGAACGATTAATCAACAGAAACTAATAAATTATAATTAAGAAAAGCAAATGAATTTGATAATGCCAGGAACTTATCGCATATTTTATTATCAAGTATCCATACATGTAATAATATTCATACCCGTAACAAAAAGGCCACGATTTCGAAATCACAATAAAAGTCATAATAGCTTGAAGTCTGAAAAAAGTGCAGTTTATATGAAATCAGCCCTGGCTCTCGTTCTGGGACTGATTTAAATTTTAATTAATGTCCACAAATAATTAAACGGACGGATGATAAGAAAGGTATATATCTAGCTCTATTGTTGCGTGGACACAGAGTGTATTCGGTAATTTATGCGGTGATAAGTATAATTCAAGAGAGCGTGTAACTTTTTTTGAAGAACGTTTGGCGCCACCCAGTAAAACTGAGTTGCACACAATATATACAGAACGCAGCTCCGAGCAAGACGCCAGAGTTGCAGAGTCATTGTCAGAAATGGGTCAAGATATAAAGCGATTAACGAATTTAGCTTATCATTCAGCCCCAGCAGATGTTAGATAAGTGCATGATAAAGCAAAGTTTATTGACTCATTTATAAGTACACAAATGAGGCCTCGCATTTTAAGTCTTAATAATAAAAGGTCGAAATAACTTTACCACGTTAGAAACAACTTTATATAATATAGCGTTTTCACCATCATACTTTCGACCTTTCACCGTCGTGATTTCGTTGCTTCGTTATTTTGAGTTTTCACAAGCGTACGTTTGACTTTTTATCATCGTAAATTGCCAAATCACGCACAAAAGAAATGGTCGAACGTAAACTATAAACGATACAGCATTGTTAGTTTTAATTCGGAATAACTAAAACAAAAGATTATTCAGCCAAAAGATAGAAAATGACAGAATGATAACATTTGTGTCAACATATTGAATTATAATTTTCTTGGGACAACGGTCGATAAAAGTAACTGTGATAGGATCGAGCCTAATGGTGACCGTAACCTCTCTATCTGATTTTTTTCTTCTTTCTACGAAGGATCATAGGTACTGAAAACAGGCGTCCGTCCATCTGTTTTCTTTTAGCTTAATAAAACGGGAAAATTGACATGCCAGGTCAAAATCTACTGTAACGTATACAACTTTTAGAAATATCGATAGCACGGAACATGACCTACTTTTTACACTGGTCATTCGTGCTTCAAATGAGTTGGTCTAAAAAAATTCCTGCCCTTTCAATCCAGATTGAAAGGGATGTATAACATTTCCCTTGTAATAAATATTCTAAAAGTGCATTAACATCACTTAGACAATTTCTTTCTTTGGATGTCAGGGTTCACCTTACTATAAAACTTAACTATATCCCAAGCACATTGCCTCGAAGGTGCTTGAACATCTGTTTCGCAGCAAACCCTTGTTACCTTTATGTGAAAGTGATAGCAGGATTGTCAAGCAACTGTAACGGGCAAGAGAGATGTACTTTTACTTTGTATTCATACAGATAATAAAACAATAAACAATTACGTCACATCATCCTCGGGAATAATATGAAAACCAGATCGTTTGTCATTTTCATAATCTGACCAGGTTTCCAGAAATAATCTCAAGATATAACACATAGTCCTTAACTATTTAACATTTATGCAGATACAAGATGATTCAAAAACGAAAATAGTTTTGATTTACGGTCTGTACATTTTTACATATTTGAAATAATAACTGACATTTTCCAGCATTGTAAAATCATGGTGTTAATGCATTTTTACAAAGCATTTGGAATATTATCTAGATCTTTTTATAAATCGGTGATCAATTTTTTACTATCATGGAAGGAGATTGCGGTCGAAAAACTAACTCTAATTTTATTAGACGTCGTGTACTTTCTGAAGACGAATATATAAATATATTTTAGGATTAAAATATTAGATGATTGTACAATAGATTGTTTATTTGAGTATCTGTAATGATATTCCTTTAACAAAAATAATTTTACATATAAAGTCCGTCAGGTAGAAATTTACTTTTCACAAATTATTCATATTATAAATTAATTCAATTTTGTAATGCATAATGTTATGCTATGATGATGTATAAATGTTAACTGGGTATAATATTGTTTTTCAAAGAAAATGTCGTAAAACCTTAACAGAACTGTTCAAAAGGTTTTGTAGATGAAGAAGTTATTTAACGATCAAAAAGTTCAAAAACTATTGTATCAAAGTTTATAGCCAATCTTTTATACATAAATTGAATGTGATCAAATAATAGATATAAAAGATCTTCAGACAAATAATAGATTTTTAGATGATATGATGTCATGAATAAATCGATGACATGAATAAGTCAATGCAAACTGACGTAACAGAGCAATGGGTCATTACAATGCAATAGTTAAATGAGCATACTACTTGTGTAGTACTGCAAAAGATTTGAATTATATTTGGTATCGTCACCTTTACTTATCAGTAAGAGGTGAAATCTATTTGTAGTGCCTGCACTATTACTTGTATAAAGAGGGCAGAATATGGACTTACAAAAATTGATACCGATTCTTATGCTTACTATCCCCTTCGTGAAAGGTGAGAGATTTTTAAGTAATTTCCTCAATACGATATTAAATACATACTCAAACATAAGATTGGCAATGGATTATAGTTTTGTGTACGTTTCCATTTCATATTATTCGACCAAATAGATACATTTGAATAGCATATTTACAAACATAGTCGATGCTAATTTAAAACCATAATAAAAATCATATTTTCATTTATTCATTTATAAAAATATTGCAATATAAATTTTATTTTAGAGCCACATTTTATTTTCTTACGGCAAGAACTATCCTTCACATTTTAGTTTAGAACTATATTATTATGAAAGAACTATCATTTTTATTTCTTCATTTGTATTTAAATTTCATTTGTATTGAATTGATTTTAGACGGGTATTTGGCCGGAAAACAATTTTTTTTAATTAAAAACTTCCGAAGTTCCTGTATGAAAGAAGTATAAATATATAATTCCCTAAGAGTTTATGTCGTATGCATAAGATCATTGCCAAACGGTTACAACCTTATAATATTTTGTTAGGGAACAATTCATTCTCATAACAAACAACTTCCATACGTGTTAGATTACAGAAACATTCTTAGTTTCAACCATAGAAGGAACATAAGTCTTACTTTCAAAGCTATAGAAATATCATTAGATATATGTTTAAACCTTTTCAGATGAAACATGAAACGAAATACCAACTCCAGAAAAAATATATGTGTTTGATTTGTTTTGCTGCAGATTCCGTGTCTTTTAACCATGTCGGATTGTTAATATCTTAGTACTACTACAGCATTGTCTTTGTTGTTGAAATAACTGTTCCCAAAACGTCCCAAAACGTAGCAATTTGTGTCTCAACAGGCTAAACTGGTTGTCTTCAACAAACTAAAATTAATGATGATATAAATTCCATGTTTTACTTTGCATACATAGCTTATCTATTTTATCTTTCAGAACTATATTTACCCAAAAACAAATGGTGTTACGTGAAAATGTTGCAGTTGGCCATCCATTATTTTAGATGATATATACATTTTTCCTATCACTTATGGTTCATTGAATCAAATGCATTATATGTGGAAGTTTTAATAGTCCTGACGTAAGTGGGATGATACAAATTCCTTCATGTGTCATGAATAGCCTCGATCAAATGTGTTCGCAATTTATAACAAATTTGCATTTTTTCTGTTAATTTCTGCTTTTCAGAATTTATTATCATTAGATAATAGAGTTATAAATCTTATTCTTTCTTCGTCTGTTTCATTGTATTGACATAATTATTTGTAGGACAAGATCATTATTATTTGTAGGACAAGATCATTAATACATGTATTTGTAGGACAAGATCATTTTACTTGTAGGACAGGAAGAACTCAAAGAAGTATGTGGTTGTCAAGATAAGTGGATAAGATACAATGGGTCTTGCTACTTTATCAGTGAAAATGCATTCTCTTTTGCAGATGCAGAGGTATAATATATGTTTCTTTATATGTTACTTTATATCTATGTGATGTAGTGATTCCTTAGTGAATTTTAATTTGCGTCTGGGACATAATTAACCTACCATATAAGATTATGGAAAGCTCTGCCCATCATAAAATGTCTCGTAAAATAATGCTTTACTTCTTTTGATATCATGCCAAAACCATTAAACTAAACATAAAACGGTCTTATAACATAATACAAGTATATTCGTTTACGTTATTCAATATAAAATCTTGGTAGTCATTATCTTCTTTTTCGAATTCGGACTTCAGATTGCCAAGCTTAAATACAGGTTTAAATTATATAACAAAACCTGGATACTAGTATTATTGTTTCTGTATGCACATAATATATGCTTTATATATTTAGGAGCAATGAGTTTCTCGTGATGTTATCATTTTGAGCAAGCTTTTGGTTTCAGACTTTCTGTGAGCAGTCATATGCTCATCTGGTTCATATAGACACAGCTGATGAAAATTCTTTTTTGAAGACGTATTTGCTCAGAATGAAGGGTATATGTCTTACTTATTTGTTTTATTTTTTCCTAATGTGCATCATAATTAGGAAGAATAAACATTTAATTGGGGAACCACACAAAGTGCAGTTTTTCAACTGACGACTATATAAGTTATATTGTACCGGATATTTAAAAGGTATTTTCATTTTCTCTCAATGGTCGTTGTTGTTTATGATTAAATAAGCAAGTCACTTAGTTTTTTATTCTTTTTGAAATTTTCTAAGTTTAAGATACTTTTTTATCAATTTACCAAGACATGAAAAAACAATTTATCCTTACAGATGCTAATTACTGGATAGGTTCACATGACCGATTGATTGAGGGACTATGGACATATGTTGACACAAACCAACCTTTGACCTTCACGGATTGGTCTCCTGGTCAGCCCGATTCTTGGCATGGACATGACGAAGATTGCGGGCTCCTGTATTTCCCTCACAAATATATGTGGGATGATGGTCCCTGTGACAATAAAATTCACGCAATCTGTGAACTGAGGTACGTAGATCTTTTTATTCTTCTCCCAAGTAGAAACATTAACTCTTGCTTTGTGATACGTCGTATTTTTTTTTAAATTCTCATCAATTTCAATCTTCTTGTAAATGTGTATTATGTCAAAATTAAACAATTAAGAAAAGCGGATTAGAGGTACGATTGACCACATGAATCTTAGTAGGGCACCACAGAGGATGTTTGATATGTTGACATTTGTGTACGTGTCTTTAAATAATAAAATCTTTACCTGACACCGTTTTTTCCAGAATAATCATATGTATTGTGTAAAATGACCTTAAATAAAAAGTATTGCCAGCAGAAATTATCGATATTCAAGTTACCTCTGAAATAATGTGCAGATTTTTCAACTTTGAGATCTTCACTTGATCTATGTACGAATTATCAGATATTTATGTTTTAAAACTTTTTAACCTAAGTGGAATTCCATTAATCATTAAGATTTGACCTAATAAACTCTTATTTGTTCGACGTATTATGACTTAATTTTATCAACAACATTTGAGCTACGTCACAACAAAACCAACATAATGGGTTTGCGACCAGCATGGATCCAGACCAGCCTGCGCATCCGCGCAGTCTGATAAGGATCCATGCTGTTCGCTTACAGACCCTATAACAAGTAAATAAACTGATAGCGAACAGCATGGATCCTGATCAGACTGCGCGGATGCGCAGGCTGGTCTGGATCAATGCTGGTCGCAAACCCATAATGTTGGTTTTGTCATGACACGGCTCATTTTATCTCTGAATGAAGCGACGATAGGGGCCCGCATATCGTTTACGTACAGATATGTCGAAAAGTTTCAAGATAATTTCATTGCTATCGCATGTTACTCTTTTGAAAAAAGTTCGTTTAAATTAAATTAGTAAGTGTGTCACGATTAATAAATGACTTGTAGATAGCATTTATATATTTATGTGACACAAATTTTATCTTCTTTTTAAAAGGATTCTATTATCTGTTACTCATGAAAGTGCCAGTGTGACTTTAAATCCATACAGCAAACAAACTAAATATTTAAACAAAGAACAGATGAAATATTTTCAAAATAAATTATATACTCCTCCATCAAAATTGTTAGCACTGTGAGGAAGCTAAACACATTCGCAATGATGGCTGAATTTTAAATAATTAAGCTGGGTAAAGCCCGTTTTAAACATAAGACTGATTATATTTTCGGAGATTATACGCGAAGACAAAACATAATTTTGCACCCTATAATATCAGAATAATTTAGATTATGTCCTCTAGTTTAAATAAATTGATAAATAAATGAAAGATATAGCTTGGTGTTTCTAATTACATTGTTGTTAAAATTTGTCATTTTATGTTTTTATGTAACGTTCGTTTAATTCCGGCTATATTGTTCTTACGATAATTTCACCAGGTTGCCAGAGGGAAACCTATTGGAGATAATTGGCTGATCGTTGTAAATAAATGTAAAATTGGAAAAAAGTCAAACTTTCAAAACATCCAAATGTTGTTGTATTAAACCAAGAAAAAGGCCAATTTATTATCTATTTAATCAAAGCAAAGCGCTACTCTTTTCACATCCACATTCTTACTCTTATTTCTATCTTTATTTTTATTTTAATAATGAAGAAATTTTAATAATGAAGAAATTTGAAGTTATTTGTACTTGTGCTTTGTAATTTTAATAACAATAATTTGATATTGGTGACCAAAATGTCGATTCAAAATAGGTATGATAGAAGTTTAATGTTGTGGCCAAGAATCCAATGCTATTTACTTTTATGAAAAGGAAAAGGTTAATGAAATACAATAAACCATTGAACAAATTTAATTTTGGTTATTGCAATACATTTATTTTAAATCGTATTAGAATTCAATATCATAGTATGATTAGTTTTTTGTTTCTACCATTTTTTTTAAAAAAAAACATTATTCAAGTGAAGCAAGAACACAGACGATTTATTGACAAAATAAGTTGACGAAGTTTTATGTGACATGTCATTTTTTATTCATCTTCTAATTCTTCCATGAATTGATCTAGCATTTCTTCAGACATAGTTGTATTCTTTTTTATCGCATTGGCGAGCTCAGATGGCGAACATCCTTCGGTATCAATACAAATACCATTGAACTTCAGATCGTTGCCTTCACAAAACTGGCGTTCTGGATTTGTTATCTTGATCCCTGGTCCTTCCATTGGTTCACACAAACAACATCCTACCGACTTATATCCTTCTTTACATTTCGGGTAGCACAGGGCACCATGCAAATCTTCCTTTTCGCGGCACCTATGGCGTGATGCAAGACTTAGAACTATTCTTGGTCCACCATGTGGTTGACAAATACAACAACCAACAGGAGAGAAACCACTTTTACATCTTGGGTAGCAGCGAACGCCGTATTTATCTTCTGTTGCTTTACAGCTTAGTCTATGAAACAAAGTGGTCTTTATTCCTACATCGAGCTTTCTACACGTACATCCGTCGTCACGATATCCACTTTTGCATTTGTTGCAACACCCCCAAAGAGTACAGCAACATCCTTTCCCATATATATGAGCATCACTCCAACAACTTGTCCCATCGTCTCTGAGTCCAGCTCCACATGGAGCTTTGTCAGTCGGACGACCCACTCCTCTTCCGTATGAATCAAGCCAACAGCTTGTTCCATCGTCGCGTTCACCTTTTTGGCATGGTAGTTTGTCAGGAATACGCCCAGCTCCTCGAGGGTAAGTGTCTTTCCAGCAGCTTGTACCGTCATCCCTTAAACCGTCTGGACATTTACGAATTTGAATAGGCTTTATTTTTGTGCTACAATCAGTATCAGCTGAAAAATGAGATTTAAACATAAATTAATACTGGAATTTAGTATTAACAGGATATATTTCGTTTGAGTGAAAAAATGGAATATATTTGCACGAAACATGATAACATGCCATATATTTTCACGAGCCGGGACGGCGAGTGAAATTATGGGGCATTTTATCTTGTTTTGTGAAAATATATACCATATTTCACGAAAACGAAAAAAAAAAACGTTTTTATTTAATTTCATTATCAAAGGAAAATTGTTACGAGCCCCCTTGTTTGCTACGCAACTGCAATTATACAGCGCGCAGTAATATAATGATTGTCTTGTTTTGCACGCGATGTTTAGCGCTACACTGTGACGTCACGTAAACAACTCTTTAAACGTCTGTACAGCGTTTATGACTGAATTAAAGATACTGGTGTTCGGATTTATTTTCTTAGTTAGAAAAATCTGGAAACAAAGTGATCCCTCGGAAGCATTAATCACAACAAAATTACAAGAGAATTGCAGACTCGGTTTGATTGAGTCTGTACATGAGGGATAATGAATACGTGCAACATCCCTCACGCCCCCTAGCAACGGCTTGAGCGGTACTCAATTCTCAACACTTAATAGTGCTGGCATCAATGATCCCGAAGGACCAGAAAAATATAACAACACTGAAGTGAAGTACGGGGCAACGTTTTACAGCTGCCACACGACACTTGACACCTGCTGTTGTGAAGTATAAAAATCTGGAAACAAAGTGATCATATCATTTACTATCTCAAAACAAAATTTAACAAAAGTTGTTTTGTATTTATCAGACTTTTAAAACAAAATAGCAAAAGAAGTCCCTTAAAATAAATATGAGTTTTGACTCCGCCCAAAATATATTTATATTTCATATTTATTTTTACAAAATACGAAATATATTTGACTGATGTAGCACCATATTTAATGGATAAAATTAAATAGATGTTTATATTTTGTTGCGATTACAATCTATCCATATAATGAAGAATTTAGTTTACAAACATTTGCAATAAATGCATTATATAGGCCAAAACAAAAGCATGAATTATTGATTAAAACAAGTATTATATGCTCAAAATGTTTTTTCTCAATATCTATATCATCAGATAAAACAATAAGGTATTAAGTGTAGAATGTGTGCATTCAGTGCCAAGCTTACCTTTGACGAAGCAAACGATGACAAACAGAAAAAAGATTTCCTTGCAGTAAAATTTGATTTGTTTTTCCATGCTTAGTTGCAGATTATCCAAGTGTCCCTAGCTGGCAGCGGTGTTCTGTAATTAATGAAATATAAACTGTGAATTACCTTATCTTTACTTCACTCTCTAACTCTGCTTAATTTTGCAAACATAATTTGACCTAAAAAAACGAAATGAAAAGCATACCAAGTTTGAAGAATCACAAAGTATTAGAACTTTCGTTTAATAAATAAGTCTTATATGGCTTTAAGTGTAGATTAAGTTCATTTTGTATGACTTCTCAAATGAAGATAACGTCATTGTTATATAAGAGTCGTTAACTTGTTCAAACGTAAAGGATTGTGGCACACTGATTTTCCAATAAACTTATTTGTCATGAAGAATGGCCATTACCATTTTTAAGTACGATTTAAATGATTCAGTTTCATTTTGTCACCAAATGTAAGGTACCAAGATATGAGAAATGTTTACTTTTTGTTAGATACGTCACAATTATTTGATTAAAGTCCGACTATTGATGTTTAATGCGTGACAGCCCAAATTTTTTTTAGCGATATATGTACCATATATCAAGCAGTTATAACCCAATTACATATGTGCAAAACAACGAATATGATGTTTAAGTTTCTCAAGTGCTCAATGGAGTTATGCTCAAAACTGATATATTAGAATCTACTCTTCATATAATATTGAAGCAATTTATATCAAGTTTGTTTGATAAATTCTCAAAAAGTCACAACGTGGAAGATTTTTGACGATTTTCATATTCATTACAGAAAACAGCATATCCATGGAAGTTTTTTTTAATTAGTTTACACATTTTATCAAGTCTATAAACATATTATAAAGATAATTATGCATGAACTTTAAATAAAAAAGAACACTTTAAATAACCCCATGAAGATTACAATACGAATAAAAAGGACAAACCTTTTCGTGTAGTCAGAGCGGCGTCCTCACAAATACAAAATATTTTCGGGCTCATGTTTATATAAACCTGGGAAATGCGCATGCGTTTTCCCTGCTTCAATCGTTGAACCAAAGTTATAGATGTCATTGGATGTATTTAGTATATTATTACCGCCTGCACCTGAAGTCAAGGTTTCCTTATGTAAAATATGCATATTATCATGCGTAAATGTACTCGTTTTTTATCTTAAACTATCTGTTATTAAAAATGGTTATAAACATGGTAAACGTAAGATGGCTGATTTGTGCCATTCATGATTTCGTCCTGCGAACTCGCCATGCGAAAATTTGAAAATTAACAAGTTAAAATGGCGGGGGCGCACAGCAAAAACAAGCTAATAAGCGAGGGTGCCAGTTTAATTTACAAAACTTCGCCCAGCGGGGGTGCACATCGAGATTTTAAGAATAAAATGGTAGTGTCGCGGGACGAAAACACGACAATTAGCGGGGGCGCTGAGTGAGGTAAAATAAATAAAACTTCACAACATGCACTCGCTAATTAGCGTGTTTTCGCACCGCTATTCCGCCAAGCGAAAACTCTATAATTAACAAGTTAAAATGGCGGAGGCCCGGGCGAAAACACGCTAATAAGAGGGGCGCTAATTAGCGTGCTTTTGCTTTGCGCCCCCGACGTTTTATTTTTTTTAAATCTCGCCCCGCGCCCCCGGCAGAACGAAGTTTTATGTATTAAACTTCAACCTGCGCGTTCACTAATTAGCGTGTTTTCGCTCCGCGCCCGCGCCATTTTAACTTGTTAATTATTGACTTGTCGCTTAGGGGGTTGGGGTCGCAGGGCGAAAATGCGAGGGGCAAATCAGCCATCGTAGTAGCGTAATGTCAGACTTATGAATGTTTGTATGTAACTTGTGAACAATACGAGGGGAAGTCAGAAAATATCAGGACTTTTGACTCGTTCTCGAAAACCATCAATCTTTCTACTCTTTTTCAAAATATCGTCCATCTACGTCTACGCACTTTTGCCATCTTCGTGGGTCTTTGTATTTCCGCTGTGAAGCATGACGTAGACCTATGTTTTAGGTACTGTGTAACAGGAGATATCAAAGCCGCTCTGGTCGTATATTTCTTTCCAGCAAGCAATTTTTTTTTCAGTTGGAAACAAATAAAAGTCACATGGGACGAAGTCTGGGATATAAGGAGGGTGAGACAACAATTGCCATTTGTAAGAGTTGATAACCTCCACTGTAGCTGCGGCGGTATGGAATGGGCTGTTATCGTTAAGAAGAAGGACATTTTTCTGTGCTTACCTGGGAAGCATTTGTTCAGCTTTTCTCTGAATTCAGCTTTTCTCTGACTGCTGAAGTTAGGGGTTCCTTACGTAAAATATGCCGCTATCATGCGCCTAAGTAAACTCGTTTTTCTGCTTACAACTAAAACCAGTTGTTTGAAGGTTGAAGTTATAAACTATTTTGAAAATTTTAAATGGCCTGATAAGATCATGAAGGGGCTTCTCGAACTCGCAACCGAAAATCTAATTAACAACGTTATAAAGCGAGGCCACAGAAAACAACTAATAAGTCAGTATGCTCAGAGGGAAAAATTACAAAACTTCGCAAAAAACTGCACGTATTGGCGATTTAGTTATAGAAGTGTCGCGGCACGGAAAGACAATTAGCGAAAATCGCAGAGTATGTTTAAATCATGAAATTTACTCAATGCTAACTCGCTGGATTGTTTTTGTCGCACGCTTATTTAATACATTCTAACACAAAACGGCTGAAAACTTTACATTTAACAAGTTTTAAATCAATGCAATTAGGCTTGATTAGGAGTGCTTTTTGCTTTGCCCCACTGTTTTAGAAGTCAGAAACGAAGTTTTTCTGTATTCAATACTTACACCTGTTCACAACTACATAGACAATTGCCAATTGTTATTTAAATGGATTGGTGTATTAAGTTTATTGACACATATTTTGATTAAAATCTTATTTATCTCTTTTATTAATTGTGAGGTAGGTTACTCCAGGGCAACATGTCGACAATATTCTCGTAAACAATTGCCTGGATTTGTAAAGAGGGTGAGTTGATAAGAGTTGATAACCTCCACTGTAGCTGCGGCGGTATGGAATGGGCTGTTATCGTTAAGAAGAAGGACATTTTTCTGTGCTTACCTGGGAAGCATTTGTTCAGCTTTTCTCTGAGATTTCAGAATAGTACTTGGCGATGACAGTTTGACCTTTTGGCGTGAAATGAGTAAGTATTATTCCTCGTGAATCCCAAAAGGCAACAAGCATTACTTTGCCAGCCGAAGGTGACAGCTTAAACTTTTTAGGAGGTGAGAAACCAGCTCGTTTCCACTGCTTTGACTGAGCTTTTGTCTCAAGTTTGGAATAATGGACCAACATCTCATCTCCAGTGATAATGCGGTAAAAAAACTGATCTCCTTCACGATTAAAACGACTTAAATGTTCTTTTGCACTGGTTACTGTAGTTGCATTTTGATCTGCGGACAGTTGTCTAGGCACCCACCTGGCACTTACCTTGCTCATGCCTAGCCTCCTCCGAAGTTTTTTGTTGACAAAAGCTTTAACATATGCTAACATTGTTGGGGTCACCGCCTCAGCTGGCCGCCCAGTCCTAGGCCGCCTGTCACAAACACTTGTTCTGCCTTCACGAAACTGAGAAACCCAGTTGTAGAAGGTTGAACGTGATACATATTTTTCAGAAAATCTTTTTTTAAGCCTCTGAAAGATGTGACAGGGCTTTTTACCATCAGTAACCAGAAACTCTATTACAGAGCGTTGTTCCTATAACAAAGAATCCATGATAGACGAAACACCTCATATAATCATATATCAGAGGGAAAAATACTGTGTATACTATCATTGAAAATAAACTGACCACGTTATTGGCGAATGATTGTAGTTTTCAGCAATATATAGCTGCACGTGGAAAGACAGGAGCATGAAAAATCCAGATATTTTCTGATCGTCCCTCGTATTAGTGACTCAAATATAAACATCGTGGATTGTTTTTGATACCATATACTTTAACTATTTAATACATTCTAACACAAATTTACTTGGTGGACTTGTAGCATTCATAATGCTTTTAACACTACTTGGACTCACAATTGACATTTTGCAACTGTTTTGAATTGGTGCTTTTGTTGGAAATGCTGCTTTACTGTACTTACTTCGTTTATAGATTTACCGTACTTTTTTATTAATGAGAGTCTAAACATTATTTATCATCGCGCACATCATACATACACTTGTTCAAAATTTTGATTTTCTGCACGTCTTACACTTACACTTACACAATAACATAGACTTATTGCACTCAATAGAATTTTATGTTTAACTTGTTCTGAACGTTGCATATACTGGATTAAATGTGATTGGTGGTATTTGAAGATTCTATTCTAACACATATTTTGAAATTAAAATCTTATATTATTCTCTTTTTATTAATTGTGACGCTAGGTTAACTCCAAAGGGCAACATAGATAGTTGAGGTGAACAATTTTTTTTCGCATAAAATACTCTGCTAACTTTCCATATGGCTTTATCTACTTATAGATTCAGATCCAAATGTCATTTCATTCATTCTTTAAGTTTTTAGTCTTGTAGATGATTTTTTAATTTCTGTGAATCTGATTAATGAATTGTTAAATTAACATAATATGTGACCTTGGGAAAGATACCAGACCTTGGGAAAGATACCAGAGAAGGTCTCAAAATTTCGACAAGCAGTGATGCATGTTCTGAAGGGAGTTAAGTATTTTACTACTTTTTAAGGAGTTTGATGTCATGATTAATTATTATTATTATTATTGTTATTATGTCTTTCAAAACTGGAACAGACTCATATGGAAAAAAACAAGAGCCTGTGAATAAGTTTTTTTTTTGAAAATATGTAAACCCTATGTAAGAGATATCTTATTTTTACCGACAAAATATTTGCATCGTTGTATTATATGGCATTGAAAAAGGGACAATTTGTTCTACAATCGCAATAAGGCATCTGAGTCATATAATTAATACAGTTACTTTACGTAGTAGTAATGTAACGAATGAAAATAAATTATTAATCATTTACAGATAGTGGAACTGATTAGATTGTTTTATCCTACGTTAAATCGAATTTACACCACAATATCATAACCATTATAAAAACACTAATCAGGAATAAAGTTTCATATCCGGGAGTTATGTTTAACAACTCAAGTAAAAAAGGGATTTTTAAGTCGAATAAAATTCTTTTATCAATAGGGCGATATTATTTAAGTAAAATATCCGGGAGTAAAGTTGAGCGGGTGTCATAAATTAAACATGTGCAGTAACAGCTTTCGGGTGTTGCATTTCATGTCTCAAGGTTGCTTTACATTCTCTTTCGCAGATGTGAATCAAACCAGACGATAAAAAAGCTTTCTTTGTTAACAATAAATGCTTTTTGATACTGTATGTGTTTCAATGATATTTTAGGAGGGTTTGTCGTTTTGCTCTAGTGCATATGTAACACTATTTTAAGATGACCTAAATATACCAGATTATTTTTCATTTTTGAAAGTTGCTATACAGCATGTTTTCTTAAAACTACAATTAAGTACATGCGCATGCAGTTTGTTCGCCACTGCCCTGCTCTTAATGCCGTTTTTATTCTTCTTTACAGTTTTGTAACTTCTTTTCAGGCCGGTACATTCCTTTCTATTCTCCAACATGTCTGTAGGAAATTCCGTTAAGGTATTGCTCCTATCTAATTCAATTTATTATATATTTTGTAATAAAAATGCATTTTGTTTTGCTTTAATCAATAAATTTTACTTGTGAAATGAAATTAGAAATAATTTGCTATTTCGTATTGATATATCAATAATTATATGTTCTGATTCTTGATTCTAAATCCCTCTAGGAAGTTAATGAACATGATGGTTTGTGCAAAAAATCGGAATGAGGGTGCATACTTGCCTTACTGCCACGTGAAAAAAATAGCATAATGTCATTTAATTAGGTCAGGGAGTTTTTGCTCAATCATATGCCTATTGACATAATTCTTCTTTTAAACAGGTTCAAATTCATCTGAGTTAACAACGTGATGTTCAAAGGACGACAACTCGGACAATCACTTATTTACAGTATATTATTCATGTATGGTTTCAAAAATAGGCAACACAGACTGCTTTTTATCATTTATTCATGCATTCATTCTAAGATAAGTAAGAAGATATAAAATATACGTACAATATAATACTGTCTTATAAAAAATTATTTATTTATAAGTTTATAATCTTTATAATCTTTCTTAAAAGCTTTCAGGGCGCCTATCAAACATAAATGTAAAATTGTGTGTACCTGTTACTTACGAGCAAGTAAATTGGACACATACAGATTTACAAAAGTAGTTTGCTGACAGACAGATTTTTTCAACAAAAAATACTAAATTACAAACACAGAAGTTGCTACTTGTTAAGATGATGAAAAGGACTAAATATATCTCCGGAATCAAGTAACAAAGAAACATATTTATATAAATGTATATCTTCTATACCTGTTTATTAAATATCAAACAACAAGAGTCATTGCGGTCTGAACATTTAACTGACAGCGTTTTAGAAAAGATGACACGCGGTCGAATGATTTTAAAATTTACTTAAAGTATTTAAAGTTTATGCTCAAATGATGACTGCTTTAATAGCAACATGGCCTTTGAAAGAATTTTAATAATATAAGATTTGAAGGCAGTAAAATTGTTGCGAAGGTGTTTCCTTAAACTCTGTGTTTTTAAATATATATTAGTAATCAAAAGTATCAAAAGCTTGTGTTGAATATATATAAGCCGTGCCATGACAATAATCAACATAGTGCGTTTGCGACAATCATGGATACATACGACCAGCATGAATCTAGACCAGCCTACGCATCCACGCAGTGTGGTCCATGATGTTTGCTATCAGTTTCTCTACTTGTTATAGGGTTTGTAAGCGAACAACATGGATCATGTGATAAGACTGTGGGGATGCACAGGCTGGTCTGGATCTATGCTTGTCGCGAACGCACTATGTATGTTTTGCCATGGCGCTGCTCATATATTTATCTGTCATTTGGATACTCACTCTAAGGTAAATGTATAAGATATAACATTATGGCATACTGTTTGTTAAATGAAATAAGAATAATGGACAACAAAAATCGTTTACAATTCAAATAAGTTAATATCTCATTCGTTATAACAGATCGTTAAGTATAGCGCTTTGATCTAATCTTTTGTATGTAATCAAGTCCACCACTTGTTTGCCTTCCTAAATACTGCAGACAATTATTCAGATTTTGTATTTTATCTGCGTTTCTAAGTTTTTTTCCAAAAATATCTCAAAAGAAACGTGAAAGAAAAAGAAAGAAAACGAACAAAAAAAAAATCTGTTTTGTCCGAACCATCAAGCTCCGTCATGGTCAATGTTCTACCCCATCTGTAATCCGACACGCTAATATACATAATATCTACAAGCTGATATAATGAATTGTTAAAATAACTTAAAATGTTACTTAAAAAGTATATTTCAATCAACGATATAATTTGCTTATACACGTTATTTTATTGAATGTAGTATACTCATAACGTATAACAATATTACGTTTCGTTGCGGTGAACACAAATATTCAATTGTTTAAAGAAATAAAAATATCAAGTATACTATTTTTGCTAGTCATATTGCAAATGACCAGTCTAGTTAAGCATGTACCGTCCGACTAGCTCAAAAGGAAGAGCGTTGGACAGTAAATTGCGCAAACCTGGTTCGATTCCCGGATGATGCAGGTAACTTTCGTTGTGATTGATTATGAAATCCTTTCTACGGTCATTCGCAATTTTCCCCTGCTTTGGCAGGTACAGAAATTATTAGTCCCTTGCAAAAATGAAAGCAACTAGTACTGATAACTAATTGCCCTTCAAGGGACGATGCGATGGCTGAAATCTACTCTGGTAAATTCAGTCTTACTGCCGTGATCCGTACTGTAAACTTCCTTCACCACTTAATAGGTACGTTAACATCTGTATTTAAAGAAGAAAATTTGACAATTGTAAGATTTTGATAAAATAAATATAAAACAGCATTTGCTGGTCAAATAGCAGGACCGGCAGGCCTTTTCTTGACTTCAACCTTCATTATTTATATTTTCACTAAACAGTTAACTCTTATGAAAAAAGTGATCTGAAAATGATTGTCAAGTTGTCATTTTCGTTGATAACAACTTCTTAAACATACAAACAAACCATTACTTTAAACAAAAAGAAAAAAAGAGACATATAAATAAAACGTTTAAAGAGTCACACGAATGAATACATTTATTAGCTAACAAGTATTATATGATATAATTAAAACACTTGTTTACAAAAGATATCTCATCTACATGTATGTATCTGTTCTACATCTATTCTACTTAAACTCTTAAACAAATTGTCTCATAACGTCTTACATAACAATATAAACATATAAAGTTATTACTTCAATCGATCTAGAATGAATTCATTTCATTTCGTGGGCATGACATTTTGGAAAAAAAAAACAGTATTGTCGGTTCTTAATTTCGCGGATTACAAAATAAGAAATTAAAATGCAAATATTTCTTTTCAAAAAATAATCGTTCAAAAAACGACATCAAATTTAGTTTAAACTTAAAATCTTGGATAATCCTATCCACGAAACCACGATCATCTTTGTCCTACTAAACAAAATAACATTTGAGTAATCACCATGTTCTATTGATATTTGTCTATGAGATTGAACCTATCCCACTTAATCAACTTAACTCATCTTTATAAAATTATCAAACAATAACATTCAACAGCATAAACAATTAGTTCATAATAACTATTTCAAATGTTTAATAATAAAATGCGGAAGTTTAAAAGGATCATACATATTTTCATAACTTGGCATTCATACTAACTAGTTCATACGTTATATAATAATATGCATAAAAAACAAAAAAATTTTCGTAATTTTAGGATTAAACTAGTAATAATTTTCATTTTATACAAATAATATACATAAGCTAATAGGAAACATAAATTTTAAATTGATTTTTATAAAACTATTTAATAGTTAATATTAATTTTGCATTATAAAATCAAAAAAAAATAAAAAACAATCATTTTTAATTTAAATTTTTTTTTACAAACATTCTCTCTAAATTTTAAAAAAGAAATTTTATATTTTTATAGATAATAAAAATGCAATGTTATTTATTTTTTAATCAAAATTTCCTTTTAACTTTTTATATATGCAAAAATGTAAAAATGGGCATCAGTTTGGACTACCGTTGGTAATGAATGATTTAATGTTTGGGATTTAATAAAATAAAAATTGATGTTCATTACGAAAAAGTAAGGGGTTTCCCCAAACCAGTTTTTTTATTTTTTACATAAAAAATTTTTTCAAATTCCGTTTTAAATGTGGTTCAGCATAGGCATTAGCTTACTATCTGTATATTTTCTAAATTCTTCTTTGAATTTATCTGAAAGTACTAGTATCAACATAAAAATTCAAAAACTAATTACTCAAGCTATACTGGATAAATATATAAGTTATCATAATTAGTTTCAAAGATATAACTATCTTGAAATCAATTTATAACTGCATGTATCTTAAGATCAATTTAAATCACTTTAATCATTAATATATACAGAACCGTTATTTCAATTAAAAAGAGTTATTACATTGTTATAAAATGTTGCTCATTCGCAAAAAATTTCACTTTTCTTTAAAGTAAAACACAAAGGCATGCAAAAGTACACGCATCAATTATTATTTTAAGATATTTCTAAGAGGTTAATTATTTTAAAAGGAAAAATACTTCAGCACAAAATCGGTCAATTCGTACAAATCAACATGAATTTTACATATTTGTTTTTTTCTACCATCGGGATATAAAATAACACTAGAATGCCATTTACCTTACTGATATATGAAAATAGCACATATGATGCGAATTTTCTTGTAACATATATCATTTAATTAATCAATAATCAAGATAGTAAAATAGGTAAAAAATAATAAAATAACAAGATCTATGCTTAAAATGACCATCAACAATACTTGGGAAAATTGAGTTGTTACTATTTCTATATCTCTTTACGGTTTGACTTTTTTTTCATTCTCTACAATACTTTCCTAATAAAAAATGGAACAATTAATGAAAAGACCTTTTGAATACACAACAGGGAAATCTACAAATTAAAAAGGAAGTAAAATTTACGTTTGCGTCTTCTCATTTAATATCAATTTAAAACTATTTCTACTTGTATCTTTATCAATAACTAAATCATTCACTATATATGTATTATTAGTATCTAATCAATTAAAATTAGTTTTTATCATCATTTAATGGATCTCACTATCTCTTTCCTTAAGAAATGTCATTACGGATTTTTACTTTGACTGCTCTTTTCTGCAAAAAATAATTTGAACAAAATCTGCAAAAATACACACTTACTTATATATCAAGCATCATATTTTACATCAGTTTTAACATGTCAATATCGTATTCAAAATATGAATTGTATAAGATTTTTTTTTTCAAAAATATTTTGGCTCACATATGAATATTAGGACAATGGTATTTATCGGCAATGTATTTCTATCTCCCAACTTCCTAATAAATTACGCTTTAATTGACTTCAGCATATTATGTAAAGACTAATACACATCAAGATGCAAGTTATAATGAAAAAAAAGTATTACTTTCAATTAATATAAATAGTGCGTTGCCAATTTCTGTATTGTAGTCTTTACTATGATTATAACAAATAGTAGAACAAGATGGTGCAAATAATAAAACATACATTAAGAACAGAAAAGTAAAAGATAAATATTAAGGAAACATGAACTAACTCAATTACAACTGACTCATTTCAAATTCTTTGTGACTTTTACGGTTTTTTTTAATAAAGAGACATTTTTCAAGCTCATTTTAAACGGCACGTTTGTATATTATAAATATTTTAAACCCAATGAGCGTGCTTTCCAATTTTATATGATGAGATCGCCGTGTACAATTAAGTTGATAATCCGATGCGTTGTCAAGATGAAGAAATAAATAATGAAAATAATTTATTCCTAACTTAACACGATATATAGATAAAATCTATATGCAATGAAAATGTATCCTCTAATCAACTAGAGCGCAAATAAAGCATTTAAATATTCTATAGAGAAAAGGTTTGGCAGTCTACAGAAAATAAATAATTTA